AAACTAAAAAGAATCTATTAGATGATTCGTTATCGTCGGTCTCGTCTTGTGGTATTCAAACGTCTGAGAAGAAAAAGTCCTCAACAGGTATTCCGCGTTCCTCGTCACCAATCCAATCGAAATCAACGTCATTAAATAAAGGTATAAGACAATCACAAGTATTTGCGAACAGATAACCTCTATTCCCCTGTGGTTCATTGCCTGTATTTGATAAGGTCAATTAGTTCTACTGACTGAGCTGTATCGGTCATATCTCTCATAAAAACGATGCAAGTCTCAATTGATTGAAAACAGGTGAAAAGAATCAACGAATGAACTGAAACGAGATACACAAATGCATACATATCCAATAGAACTAATACCCTTTTTCTCTTTCTCAGCCATCTCGATTTCAAAAAATGAACATTTGTTTCAATATGAAAAATACCGTCGTATGAATAACTATCTCTCTCTATTTTCAGTTAATAGCTTTTTTTTATTTTGGTTCAAGCTTGTTAATGAAGGATGTAACACTGCAATGGTCGTACGATATGTTCATTATCTAATCTCAGCTACAGATTGACATTCTTCTTTAGAGAACTAAAGCAAAAAGTGGCGTAATTCTTTCTATTCTTAACAAATGGGAAGGTTCACCTGCTCTTTTGTTTATTGTACAATTATTTTTGTTCAGTGTTGCTATTTTAATCTCTCATTTCTCTCCTAAGTAAATGAACGATGAGAATATAACAGCTCATTTGTTATTCTATTGTCCATCTATTACGATTCTGACCTGATTAAAAGACAAGTTGAAGAAAGGTATTAGCTTAATAGTGTCTCATCTAATCACGCATATATTTCGAGTTCTTCTTCCTTTTTTTTTTGTCTAGTGAGTCTTAAGACAACAGTTCAACAGGAACAGATGACGTAACTCAGTTGACCAATTTGACAAAAGACGAGAGAGAAAAAAAGTTCTTTTCATCTTGTCGTCGACACCGAGGGTGGAAGAGTAACCGATGCTTCTTCTTTTTTTTTCTCTCACCCTCAACTTATGCGTCTTTTTCTTTCTCATTTCTGACCGTTTTTCTTCCTTTCATTCAAGAATCAAATCAGAAAATCTTTTTACTTATCACATTTAGACACATCATCATCTTCATCCGTTGAACATCAAACTCGTTCAATTAAGAGTACTCTTCTTACTGAACTTCTTCAAACTGTGAAGAAGTCACCACCAACGAACGAAACAGAAGTCGAAGCACCGAAAGTAACCTATCAAGTCCAGAAAATTGACCCACTTTCTGCTCCAAAACCAATCCATAAGGATCGTATCAACGAATTTGCTTCACTTCTTTCATCATCTGTTCACTTGGCTCAACCACGCGCTGAGAAGAAACCAACCACCACATCAAAATCCCAAACTAAACGTTCGGAAGGTTCTACCTACTCATCAACTCTTCCATCTGTTAACAGTAATCGTGAATCCTATCATTCCACACAACCCAATCATTCCGATGAAAGCCAAGAGAAGAAACATATCGATGCACGTTATAACGAAAAATTAGACGATCGTGGATCAATTAAAATTAAAACTGCCAATATAAAAGCGTTATTCGAACAGAAAATATCCGATACAAACAAAACATTATCCCAATCCAACGAACACCTACTACAGACGCCCGAAACAAAACATAATCATAAAAAAGTACCGATTAGTTATGGAAGTTTGAAACGAAACCTACCGGTTTATCAACCAACATCGCCAAATAATAACACTAGACGACAATCATATTCCGAAAATTCAAACATGAATAAGTATAACGATCATACTGCCACAACTAAAGACGTTGTCATCGAAGAAAAACAGGTAATATTGAAATATCTGTCTTTTTTAGACATAAGATGATAGATGAACACAGCGAAAACGAAGAGGAAAGTTTGATGAGACAATAACACTAGTTTCCGTTTGTCCGTAAGGCTTTAACTTCATTTTTCTGCAACAGAAGTGACCATATGGTGAACTCATCGTTAAAGAACGGCTAGACATTATTAGATTGAACATTAGTTGCGGAAATTATCTTTGTTTGATTGTTGACTTAATCAGCATAGCGTTCACATAGTTGATTCTATGCAAGACTTAACTATTAAATTCCTTTGTCTTTCTATTTAGCTTGAAAATAATCACACTCGTCATGGAACTGTTGATCAAATCGTATATTCAACAAGCGATTCGTCGATGAATTCGTCAAGTTCGCCAAGCAATATGTACTATTCCGAATCATTAATTGCGCGAGAAATACGTGAGACCAAAGAAAAGGAGGACGAATTAAAACGACAACGTAAAAAATGTGGCTTCTCTGACGATGGATCCACTACAATGTCTCACTCCATTAATGAATCTATTAAATCGGAATCTCTATCTTCATCAACGACACAACCTGTTCGCAGTACTTCCTTCATGTCCAATTTAGACTTTTTTGCATCTAAATCCAACAACTCCAATCTTGACTCCCAAGCAACAATATCATCGCCACGTCGTTCGATTACTTCGTCACAAAATCTTGTTTTCGAACCACATGAAGATTTCAAACAAATGAGCAATGTTGTTTCTCAAGAATTAACCCGTTTTAGCGAAAATGGTATGCCTATTCTTCGTACAAGCTCAACAAATGGAATGCTTCCTCGTTCCGTATCCAATCAAAACATCCTTACAGCACACAATACCAACAATATAGTCCAACGTGAAATCGAAGCTATACGTGCAAAAGAACGAGAACTCCGACAATTAGGTCGTATCCAACATACAAGTGACGAGCATGCTGATCCACGAAAGTATCAAGAATTTGTTTCAACATTACCCAAAAGTCAATCGTCTCAAGCAATTTCTACAAGCAAAACACGCCGTGATAGTGAGAACCAGCACGTATTACGCCCTCAAGGACCAATCACACCAGCAATGAATGGACATTCAAAACCGAAGATTAATACCAATTCTAATAATTTATGTAAGTAATCATCTTGTTTGCATTCATCGGATAGGAATTTTGGCATTTGTAGCATTGTCAGCTGTGCGAAATAAATTTTCAAGTCCAAATACAAACTCAGTTGCGCCTAGTGCTGGTCCTGCTGCTAAAATCGTTGATTATTCCAAGGTATCATCGATTGATAGATTGAAATTTGAAAAACGACAATGTCAAGCGAGAGAACAAGAATTAAGGTAAAAACTTCTGAGTATTCCTTTCACGAAAAATCATTTGCTTCTGTTAGAAAACAACGTAATTCTATTAGTGGCAGTTCATCATCAACCAATACGACAGTTAATGGTGATTCGGGCAATGTTTCTCAAGAAGAACATGACGATGATCAAGAACGTTATTTTGATAAAATTGAACGAATGAAACGAACAGAAAATGAAGTACTTTGACTAAAAACAAAAGGAGTTCCTCTTCTTTTTCAATCAATTTTCATTTCATTCATTTAGAAAGCTCAAGCACCGCTCATTCGTCCAGTAAAGAAGCTTGACATGTCACAAAAATGGGAACAAATGATGGCGCATAAAATCGATGATTAATTTTCCACACACACACACAACTCATTCTCCTTTAGTCAATTCATTGCTTTGATTTTTCGCTCTCTTCTTTCTGAGTAGTTCATTATCATTTATTCTTCTGTACATAGTTTTGCTACAAAATGTCTTCAAATACATACAGCAACAAGAACAAAGCATTCGGTTCTGAATTCATTTATCGTCGCTGTATGCCAATCATTCATGTTTATCATTCCATATTTTTCTCCTTTCAGTGTCATTTGTTCATTGTTCGTCTTCACTGTATATGTCTGTTCCGTTTGAAAAAAAAGCATATTCTTTTCGATTTTCTTTTGTTGTTTTGATCATTATAATAAACATGAACATTACCAATCCACCCATTTGTTTTCCTCGACAAGAACGAAAACGGCAATTCTGATTTGACTATACACCGACAGTGATATGTATATATACGACAACAACGAACGTTCCTTTCAATCAAATATTTCTGATCGCGATGGATTGTATTAGGCTCCTTCTTCTATTTATCTCAATAGCACTGACCATTTCAAAAGACCGAACCATCCGTCGTTTAGAATATGACTTTCAAGGCAATATAAGTTCATTTGAAGGTGGTGGTGGGATCAAATTTCAAATCGAATTTACTCCATTCGACAGAAATACATCAATGATTCAGATCGAAATCGAACCATGGATTCATGAAAGAATGTTGAACATCGATCATCCACCTAATCTTCGCATCTATTTCAAACGGCGGAAACATTATTTCCCAAGAATAAATGCTTATTTACGTTTGCATACATATCCATCGACGATTGTTTTGAATGAGAGTGCAAAATTATTCACAATCAATCCAATATACACACGAACTCTTTCACTTGAACTATCTGGCAACAGTGTCGCACACGTAGCTGTAGAAGTTGCTTCTAAACTTTATGCTCGAGTTTCTGATTCAGCACAATTATCAATTCGTGGTTTTGTAGCCGGTAGTGGTTTTATTTCAGTTAGTGGTAAAGGAGAAGTTAATGCCCAACGATGTTTAATGGACGAAGTGTTTGTGAATGCATCGAGTGCAAGTAAAATCAATGTTGCTGGTGCACAGAGAACTGGTTTCACTGCTTCCGGATTTGGAAGAATTCATTATGAACAAGTTAATCCGAAAAAATCTTTCTTTTATTATCCTCTTTCGAGTACTGCAGCGAAAGAATTGCATACATCAATTCAATTATGTTTTCTAGTTATTACTTTTCTAGTTTAATTGTATATAGATATCATTTTGAGAAGGATATGAAATGAAATATATGAAATCAGATCTATATCCATTGTTTGATATATTTGAAAAGATCGATTGATCAGTAGGAAAACGAGGTTCAAGAACATTTATTTATTCGTAAGAATTATAACAACTTTTAGTTCATACACGATACACAAAACTACTTTGATTATTTACAAGTTAAAAAATATACAAATATGTCTATCTATACTCTAATTATGGTTTCTATTTCTTCCGATTCCGTGTAGTAATCATTGATTTAGCGCGAGNAAAACTAAAAAGAATCTATTAGATGATTCGTTATCGTCGGTCTCGTCTTGTGGTATTCAAACGTCTGAGAAGAAAAAGTCCTCAACAGGTATTCCGCGTTCCTCGTCACCAATCCAATCGAAGTCGAAATCGAAATCAACGTCATTAAATAAAGGTATAAGATAATCACAAGTATTTGCGAACAGATAACCTCTATTCCTCTGTGGTTCATTGCCTGTATTTGATAAGGTCAATTAGTTCTACTGACTGGGCTGTATCGGTCATATCTCTCATAAAAACGATGCAAGTCTCAATTGATTGAAAACAGGTGAAAAGAATCAACGAATGAACTGAAACGAGATATACAAATGCATACATATCCAATAGAACTAATACCCTTTTTCTCTTGCTCAGCCTTCTCGATTTCAAAAAATGAACATTTGTTTCAATATGAAAAATACCGTCGTGCGAATAACTATCTCTCTTTCTTTTCAATCAATAGCTTTTTTTTATTTTGGTTCAAGCTTGTTAATGAAAGATTTAACACTGCAATTGTCGTACGATATGTTTATCATCTAATCTCAGCTACAGATTGACATTCCTCTTTAGAGAACTAAAGCAAAAAGTGGCGTAATTCTTTCTATTCTTAACAAATGGGAAGGTTCACCTGCTCTTTTGTTTATTGTACAATTATTTTTGTTCAGTGTTGCTATTTTAATCTCTCATTTCTCTCCTAAGTAAATGTACGATGAGAATGTAACAGCTCATTTGTTATTCTATTGTTCATCTATTACGATTCTGACCTGATTAAAAGACAAGTTGAAGAAAGGTATTAGCTTAATAGTGTCTCATCTAATCACGCACATATTTCGAGTTCTTCTTCCTTTTTTTTTGTCTAGTGAGTCTTAAGACAACAGTTCAACAGGAACAGATGACGTAACTCAGTTGACCAATTTGACAAAAGACGAGAGAGAAAAAAAAAGTTCTTTTCATCTTGTCGTCGACACCGAGGGTGAGAAGAGTAACCGATGCTTCTTCTTCTTTTTTTCTCTCACCCTAACTTATGCGTCTTTTTCTTTCTCGTTTCTGACCGCTTCTCTTCCTTTCATTCAAGAATCAAATTAGAAAATTTTTTACTTATCACATTTAGACACATCATCATCCTCATTATCCTCATCCATTGAACATCAAACTCGTTCCATTAAGAGTACTCTTCTTACTGAACTTCTTCAAACTGTGAAGAAGTCACCACCAACGAACGAAACAGAAGTCGAAGCACCGAAAGTAACCTATCAAACCCAGAAAATCGACCCACTTTCTGCTCCAAAACCAATCCATAAGGATCGCATCAACGAATTTGCTTCACTTCTTTCGTCGTCTGTTCACTTGGCTCAACCACGTGCTGAGAATAAACCAACCAACACATCAAAATCCCAAACTAAACGTTTGGATGGTTCTACCTACTCATCGACTCTCCCATCTGTTAACAGTAATCGTGAATCCTATCATTCCACACAACCTAATCATTCCGATGAAAACCAAGAGAAGAAACATATCGATGCACGTTATAACGAAAGATTAGACGATCGCGGGTCAATTAAAGTTAAAACTGCCAATATAAAAGCGTTATTCGAGCAGAAAATATCCGACACAAACAAAACATTATCCCAATCCAACGAACATCTACTACAGACGCCCGAAATAAAACATAACCATAAGAAAGTACCGATTAGTTATGGAAGTTTGAAACGAAACCTACCAGTTTATCAACCAACATCGCCAAATAATAACATTAGACGACAATCATATCCCGAAAATTCAAACATGAATAAGTATACCGATCATACTGCCACAACCAAAGATGTTGTCATCGAAGAAAAACAGGTAATATTGAAATATCTGTCTTCTTCAGGCACAAGAAGATAGATGAATAGAGCGAAAACGAAGAGGAAAGTTTGATGAGACAACAACACTAGTTTCCGTTTGTCCGTAAGGCTTTAACTTCATTTTGCTGCAACAGAAGTGACCATATGGTGAACTCATCGTTAAAGAACGGCTAGACATTATTAGATTGAACATTAGCTGCGGAAATGATCTTTGTTTGATTGTTGACTTAATCAGCGTAGTATCCACGTAGTTGATTCTATGCAAGACTTAACTATTAACTTTCTTTGTCTTTCTATTTAGCTTGAGAATAATCACACTCGTCATGGAACTACTGTTGATCAAATCGTATATTCAACAAGTGATTCGTCGATGAATTCGTCAAGTTCGCCAAGCAATATGTACTACTCAGAATCGTTAATTGCGCGAGAAATACGGGAGACTAAGGAAAAGGAGGACGAATTAAAACGACAACGTAAAAAATGTGGCTTCTCCGACGATGGATCCACTACAATGTCTCACTCCATTAATGAATCCATTAAATCCGAATCTCTACCTTCATCAACAACACAACCCGTTCGCAGTACTTCCTTCATGTCCAATTTAGACTTTTTTGCATCTAAATCCAACAACTCCAATCTTGACTCCCAAGCAACAATATCATCGCCACGTCGTTCGATTATTTCGTCACAAAATCTTGTTTTCGAACCACATGAAGATTTCAAACAAATGAGCAATGTTGTTTCTCAAGAATTAACCCGTTTTAGCGAAAATGGTATGCCTATTCTTCGTACAAGCTCAGCAAATGGAATGCTTCCTCGTTCGGTATCCAATCAAAACATTCTTACAGCACACAATACCAACAATATAGTCCAGCGTGAAATCGAAGCTATACGTGCAAAAGAACGAGAACTCCGGCAATTAGGTCGTATCCAACATACAAGTGACGAGCATGCTGATCCACGAAAGTATCAAGAACTTGTTTCAACTTTACCCAAAAGTCAATCGTCTCAAGCGATTTCTACAAGCAAAACACGCCGTGATAGTGAGAACCAACACGTATTACGCCCTCAAGGACCAATCACACCAACAATGAATGGACATTTAAAACCGAAGATTAATACCAATCCTAACAATTTATGTAAGTAATCATCTTGCTTGTGTCATCGGATGGGAATTTTTGCATTTGTAGCATTGTCAGCTGTGCGAAATAAATTTTCAAGTCCAAATACAAACTCAGTTGCACCTAGTGCTGGCCCTGCTGCTAAAATCGTTGATTATTCGAAGGTATCATCGATTGATAGATTGAAATTTGAAAAACGTCAATGCCATGCGAGAGAACAAGAATTAAGGTAAAAACTTCGGAGTGTTCCTTTCACGAAAAACCATTTGCTTCTGTTAGAAAACAACGTAATTCTATTAGTGGCAGTTCATCATCAACCAATACGACAGTTAATGGTGATTCGGGCAATGTTTCTCAAGAAGAACATGACGATGATCAAGAACGTTATTTTGATAAAATTGAACGAATGAAACGAACAGAAAATGAAGTACTTTGACTAAAAACAAAAAGAGTTCCTCTTCTTTTTCAATCGATTTTCATTTCATTTATTTAGAAAGCTCAAGCACCGCTCGTTCGTCCAGTAAAGAAGCTCGACATGTCACAAAAATGGGAACAAATGATGGCGCATAAAATCGATGATTAATTTCCTACACACACAACTCATTCTCCTTTAGTCAATTCATTGCTTTGATTTTTCGCTCTCTTCTTTCTGAGTAGTTCATTATCATTTATTCTTCTGTACATAGTTTTGCTACAAAATGTCTTTAAATACATACAGCAACAAGAACAAATCATTCAGTTCTGAATTCATTTATCTTTGCTGTATGCCAATCATTCATGTTTATCATTCCATATTTTTCTCCTTTCAGTGTCATTCGTTTATTGTTCGTCTTCACTGTATATGTCTGTTTCGTTTGAAAAAAAAAACATATTCTTTTCGATTTTCTTTTGTTGTTTTGATCATTATAATAAACATGAACATTACCAATCCACCACCCATCTGTTTTCCTCTACAAGAAACGAAAACGGCAAGTCTGACTTGACTATACAGCGACAGTGATATGTATATATACGACAACAACGATCGTTCTTTTCGATCAAATATTTCTGTTCGTTCGCGATGGATTATATCAGGCTCCTTCTTCTATTCATCTCAATAGCACTGACCATTTCAAAAGACCGAACCATCCGTCGTTTAGAATATGACTTTGAAGGCAATATAAGTTCATTTGAAGGTGGTGGTGGGATCAAATTTCAAATCGAATTTACCCCATTCAACAGAAGTTCATCAATGATTCAAATCGAAACCGAACAATGGATTCATGAAAGAATGTTGAACATCGATCGCCCACCTAATCTTCGTATCTATTTCAAACGACTGAAACATTATTTCCCAAGAATAAATGCTCATTTACGTTTGCATACATATCCATCGACGATTGTTTTGAATGACAGTGCAAAATTATTCACAATTAATTCAATATACGCACGAACACTTTCACTTGAACTATCAGGCAACAGTGTCGCACATGTAGCTGTACAAGTTGCTTCTAAACTTTATGCTCGAGTTTCTGATTCAGCACAATTATCAATTCGTGGTGTTGTAGCCGGCACTGGTTTTATTTCAGTTAGTGGTAAAGGAGAAGTTAATGCCCAACGATGTTTAATGAACGAAGTGTTTGTGAATGCATCGAGTGCAAGTAAAATCAATGTGGCTGGTGCACAGAGAACTGGTTTCACTGCTTCCGGATTTGGAAGAATTCATTATGAACAAGTTAATCCGAAAAAATCTTTTTTTTATTATCCTTTTTCGAGTACTGCATCGAAACAATTGCATACATCAATTCAATTATGTTTTCTAGTTATTACTTTTCTAGTTTAATTGTATATAGATATCATTTCGAGAAGGATATGAAATGAAATGAAATTAAATATATGAAATTAAATCTATATCCGTTGTTTGATATATTTGAAAAGATCGATTGATCAGTAGGAAAACGAGGTTCAAGAACATTTATTTATTCGTAAGAATTATAACAACTTTTAGTTCATACACGATACACAAAACTACTTTGATTATTTACAAGTTAAAAAATATACAAATATGTCTATCTATACTCTAATTATGGTTTCTATTTCTTCCGATTCCGTGTAGTAATCATTGATTTAGCGCGAGTTTTCGTTTCATCCTTAGCTTTTTTCGCACGAGGTTTCTTAACGACTGGTTCAGCATCAAGTTTTGTCGATTTAGTACGAGATCGTTTTGATTTGCTTTGATTTTCATCCTCGCTTAACGTAGCTATTGTCGATAAAGTTTGATTGTTCAATCGATGCGAGCCTAAAATATGCATAGATTTGCGACTACAGGTAGAAACAATAAGAATTTTAATTACGTGTAGAAAAACGTGTTGAATAATGTTTCGATCGATCGATAATTGGTAATGGTGATGGTTCACGAATCGGTATTTCTAGAATAAGTTAGACGATGAGTTTTGCTTCTTTGGTACTGAATGAGAACAGACCTTTCTCCTTTTTTGCTCTTGGTTTTCTTGTGGTACTTTTTGTTGTAGCTCGATTGGCTTTTTTCTTTGGTAAAGCAACGATATTCGTGTTTCCATCATCGAGATCCACTACCGATTGTTTACGCTTTCGAGCTGGACGTTTGATGGGTTCAATTTCCATTGCTGGCTTTGGTTTTCGTGCTGTACGCCGTGTCATATGAACAGGTTCTGGATTAGCTTTTGGTTCAGCAACAGCATGTGTTCGTCGTTTCGTGTAAATAATCGATTTCCTACGGAAGAGAAAAGAAATTTACATTAGAAGGAACAAACTCATGATTGAGCTTCTCCTACTGAATGTCAGCAATTTCCAATTGAGGATGATCGGACTCATTTAAAGTTTGCTTCTCCGGTAACAATGTCGGATCTGAATGAATAAGAAATGGTATTTCGTCTGAAATATTGGGTCGAATGTTTTCCGTATCTTGACTCTTATCGATTTCTTCGGTTTTAACATTGTCAAGTAAAAATGTTTGACCGAATCGACGCGTTGCAATTTTTGGTTTAATATTAACTACGAAATAAAATAATAATTATCTAATATTCGAAGGTGATGTATGTCTTACTTGATTGATTTTGATCAATAGTCGAAAGAACCGGTTGTACAGGTTCCGAGTCACCATCATCTAAGAGAAGTGTTGGTGAAAAGTACAATCGTGCTGGTGGTTTCGGCTGAGAATAACTTGGCGATGCTTCAACTTCAGCAGTAGATATCGATTCGATTGGTGTGACCGTTGTCATTGCTACAGATTCAATAGGTATAATAGTCGTCACAGGTAAAGGTTCAGGCTGCTCCATTTCAACTTGATGGGATTGATTTGATTCAGTGGATTTTGAATCTTCAAGTTTCACAACGAATGTTGTATCGACAACAGGAAGTGTTCGACGTGCGGAATTTAAAGGAGGCATAACACTAAATCGTTCCTCTTTGCTTTGAATCAAATTTTCTGTTGATGGAAGAAGATTTGATCGTCTTATTGAAGAACGATTCGATAACAATCGGGATTCTACGAACGAACAAAATTGGAAAGAGCAATTCCTCGGCGAACAACATACTTCGAATCATTTCAGTTAAAAGTGGTGTCACCGTTTTATCATTCTATTTAAACATACAATGAATAATTCAAAATTCTGTATTGTATTGGAAATACTTACCAATAATTTCGAAGTATGTTCTTCTTCGTCGACTTCATCGATTGTATGAATATTCGCTAATGGTGTTTCTTGATCAGTATTCTTCGGTGGATGAATATCATCCAAAGTAATCAAATTCCTATAGACAGTGCAGCGTGGAGAACGTGTATGCAAAAAAAGTGCGAAAACATACTGATCGATAGCAGAGTGAATTTCTTGCCAATGATCATTTTCTTCTCGAAGAATTTCCTGAATAGCATTACAATGTTCTTGTATTGCTGCACGGACAGTTTCCATTCGCTACATGTGGAAGGCCAACTGTTATCAAAACCAGTGGATTGAAAAGAAAATATATTACCTTATCGAAGTAATCAGTCAATGATTGTGCAGCTACTTCAGTTAGATTATCGAGCGCACGGACTTTTTTCTCTTGGTTGGCCAGACGTTGTTGACTTTCCAGAATATTGTTTTCGATATCGAGTTTTCCATAGAAAACATCTCGAAGTTGTTTATTGAATTGCGCTAAGTGGATAAGAAGAGTTCGTTAATATCAAATGAAAAGACATAATTACCATTAACACTAGCATCGATCAATTTTCGAGCTTGTCGGCATTTATTACGTGATGCTTCAAAACGATGTCGATCCCATGTCAACGGAATGTCGAACACAGTACAGTTAATGGAAGTAAACATGGTAAATTTATCAGACAAATGACACGATGGCAGTGTTGAAGAATAAAATAATCGTTTCTGATTTCAGAACAAAGACATTGTTCAGTTGTTCGCGTCAATTATATGTATGTTGTCCAATGAACAGATGCATAGATGTCAGGAAACACATTGTCCACATAGGTCTCAGAACCACATGGAAAGCAAGGATTCGTACTATTTTGACCGGATCTTTGAAAAGAGCATTCGTGTCTACACATCGTTCGTTGTTTGTGTTAATTGTGCTGTGCTTTTCTTTTACTTACTTGATAAATCGAAGATTTAAGAGATTTTTTATACAGTTTTGAAAATATTCATACAAGATAGTTAACGTTCGAATGAACATTCGTAGGAGTGGTGAATTCTTTAAAACTTTTAAATTCATGTCGTCGGCTAGACATAACTTTAAAAAAACTATTCATTCACCGGACATTTGAAAACGTTACACTGTCGCCATCTATACTATTACTTTGTCAGAAATCGGACATCAGTAACAACCAATCAAGATACATCTGGGGAATTATTCCTACGATACGTCCGCCTCTTTTGACAGATGGATGATTCGATTCGATCTCAAACATATCTCACTGTACAAAAAACATCTGTAGCTAGTTTTCTTCAAACAGGCAGTCATCGAACATCCTGGAGTTGGACATGCATATGTATCGTAGGTGCGTCATTATTCGAACATTTTCTATATTAATCAGCATGATCATGTCCCACTAGCTTATACTGCACTAACTGCCATCCGTTTGTTTCAATACGTAGAGTGCGTAGTCAATCGGTGACGTGTGAGCTATTCTCATGGTATTTACGAATACCTACCTAGATATGCCACCCACACATATAAACTATGCAATGCTTTCTGTCATGTGACCGCACACATAGATGATGACAATCGTTTCTTTGTAAATATTTACTGTAGTTTATAACTTCTTCTTTTTTGCGAAAATTATGGTAGAGAACATACAAACTGCTGAGCGTTGTTCGCGCTATTGACGTTGATCGATGACATTCATTTTCGTCAGAAGCAGTGTCCTCTATTTAAAATACGCGCGTATCACTTCAATCGTATACTCTTATGTATCATTAGTCATATGAGTGTGTCAATTGCATGTTGACGATCGAACTGGTGTATATATATATTGACTGATGAACACATCTTTCATTTAGATGGCGAATAATACGAAACGGCCGTTTCGATCTACATCGGATTTGAATAATAATCAAATCGTGTCTCCTATGTCTTCCACAGTGAAAAAGAAGAAAACAGCCGATACAACAAAAGAAAAACAATTATATACAATCGGCCAGATCAAAGAACTTCAAATGCTCAATTTTATGTGTCATAAAAATTTTTCTATGAAATTTCATCCAACTCCCATGCAAATCGTTACCGGTGCAAATGGTTCAGGGAAATCAACCATAGCCAATGCTATTTGTCTTTGTCTGGGCGCTCAAGCAAGAACTACCGGTCGAACAGCAAATGTTCAATCGTTCATCCGTAAAGGAGAAACGTATGTCACAATTATCTCAACAATACTTTCATCATTTTCAATTTGACGATAAATTTAGTTCTGCAGAATTGACGATCACATTAGCCAATGAAGGTGCTGAAGCGTATAAACCTGAACTTTATGGAAAAGAAATTCAGATCGTACGAAGGATCTCTGCAGCTCGATCATTCTACAAAGTACTGGGTAAGTTTCTATTTGTTCGTTACCAATTCAAAAGATTTGAATGAACGGAATTACTTTGTTTTTAGGTGAGCATCGTAAGATCATTGGCAGTGGGAAAGAAACTGTTGCTGAAATTATTCAAGCATTATCAATTTCACCCGAAAATCCATTATGTGTTTTGCATCAAGAAATCGCCAAAACGTTCTTGTTGAACAGTGATGCTCGAAAGAAGTATCAAGTGAGTGCGATATCATTCACAAGTCCTTAATTGGACACACCTATGTTCTAGTTCTATATGAAAGTGTCTCAATTGGACCAAATCAAACAAGCTTATGAAGAAGCCGTTTGTACTGTACAATCAATTAGTCAACGAATAAATATGATGAAAGAAGTACGATCCTCACTTTAATTATGTGTTAATGGTAACGATCAATTCTAGAAACATGTTGATATGCTTCGAGCAATGGAACCATTAGATCAACAAGTGAAAAAGATTGAAATCCGTCGTGACCAAGAAGAGAATAAGCACAAATTAGAAGTAGAATTAATCGTAGCACGTGGCAACGAAGCTCAACAAGTACGATGATTGAAAAGATGAGAATGTGGATGATATTGTTCGATTCTAGGAATTGTCGACGATAAAAAATGAACTAGATCAAACACAGAAGAGCAAAGATGAAACAGAAAAGCGATTCACCGAAATAACAGTAATGAAGAGCGTTTGTTATTTTGATGAGCACTTTGACTTTTTGTTTCTTTAGAATCGAATGAACGATCTCGATCGAAGAATAAAAGAGTTTTCGCTCGATAAAGAAGACGTGGAAAAAGATCTTTCCGGTCCCAACGGTCTGCGGGAATTGAATTATCAATTTTCCAAAGAAAAGAAAGAAATTGAATTGTTGATTTACCGATTATCACGTGACTGTGAAAAATGTCATCAATCGCTAACTGAAATCGAAGAGGAGCAAAAGCGCTTGAAAAAACACATGGTAACTACGATGTCTTCAACTTGAATTATACGATTCATCTTTGACATATAGGATGAACATCAAAATCTGAGCCAAGAGTCGAATCAAAGCGATCGCGAACGTCTGCAGGTTGAAAATGAAATTCAAACTCGTGAAAATCAACAATTACAATGGAATAAAGCGATGACGACCTACACCGAAGAAATCAATGCAAATAACGAAACTATTCGTACTAAAAAATCAACACTTGATCTCATTCAAAACGAACTGAAACAGAAAAAACAAGAACTCGATGAATTGGAAAAACTGGAAAAAGATCGAGCAAGTGCTTATGGAGCATGGATGCCTGATTGTCTCAAGGCTATTCAAAACGACAATAGATTTAAGAAGAAACCTATTGGACCTATCGGTCGATATATACGTTGTACTGAACCACGTTGGGCCTATGCTGTAGAAAAACATTTGGCATCGATTATGTCAGCATTTATTTGTTCGGAATATCATGATGAACGTATTTTACTGGAACTATTTGCAACCTATGCAAGTGGATATCGTCCAGTGATTTTCACGATGAAATATCGAGACAGAACACCAGATATATCTGGCACACTGGAACGAATAAGCCGTGCGAATCTTTTGTCGTTTTATCACGTTCTCAAAATTGAGAATGTTGTGGTTGAATGTGCTCTGATCGATTTGAAGCAAATCGAAGCGACGATTTTGATAGAGAATTTAGAAGCTGCGAAACAACTTCGACGAACTGGTGCTCTGCTTTGGGAAAGTGTCAATAACAAGGTGAAACGAGTTGTAGAAGCATGGACATGCGATGGTTCGAATGTGAAACTGGACAAGGCGTTTCGAATTTACACAAATGATCGACAACCGCTTCGATACTTCTCATCAAATACTACACAGTCGTTGTCGAACGAAGAATTAAATAAAGAGATAAAAGATTTACACGAACAAGTCAATCAAACGAATGTATCAATTGACGATTTAAAAGCACAACGACAAAGAGCGGTCACTGAATTAGAAACGATGAAGAAATCAAGCGTAGAAAATCAAAAGAAACTGAAAGAGTTGATGAAGGTCAGTGATACCAATTTCCTTTGTGTACTAAACTAATCAATATTCTGATTTTCAGGCATTAGATCGAATAAACTCCGTCATGCCAATCACGTACGACTTCACTACGGAAGAATTGGAAGAAAAGATGAACGAATGTAATCTCGCTTATATATCAGCAAAGGCGAAATTTGACGAAGCCATAAAAGCAAAAGAATTGAAACATCAAGATCTCGTTGATACCACGCAAAAGTATGAAAATATCGTGAAAAAGGTTGAGTCGAAAACGAAAGAAATCATGGATATTGACGAGAAAATAGTCGAAGAACGATCGAAATATCAGGACATGAATCAACAGATATCACGATTAACAAAGAAATCAACTCAATTGAATGAAGATATTGAAAAGTATGAAGAAAGAATAGCTGATTTATCCAAAAAACTCCCTAAGGTAGGATTACACACTCATCATTGATCTCGAGCATTGTTAATGGATTTATCATTTAGAAATCCAAAGCATCGAAGTCAACAAACCGTTCTGTTCGTGAGATTCAACTCGAACTCGATGGAATCAATCATTTTCTCACATCGAATGAAGACACGTAAGTTAAATTCTGTTTCACGTATGAAAACAATTGAATTCTTTCAATTAGACAAGAACAACGTCGACAAGTTATTGAGGAATTCAAAACCAAACGAGATGCGGCTTCGACTTTTAAAAAGCTTTGCGACCGATGCCAAGCACAACTAAAAGTAGAGATTATCGTCATTTACATGATGTGTCATTGAAAGTTTTTTCTATAATTTTAAGCATCTTGAAACGTTTGTCAATAAACGTAAGGAACGTTTTGGTAGAATCGCTGATCAACATCAATTTTTACTTCGACGTAAATTTGAAGATTTGATGGAGAAACATTATTTCAACGATTGCGATATTAAAATTGATCATAAACGTGAAGAACTTGAAATTATTGTAAGTTTCTTTGACGAAAATCTCTTCCGAAGATCTGCTTCCTTTTGTGCATAGATCAAAAAGAATCAGCGTAGCGTAGCTTCGTTATCCGGTGGTGAACGCTCGATATCGACATTCTGCTTTCTGGTTGCTCTTTGGGGGTCGATTTACCAACCATTTCGACTACTTGATGAAATTGATATTTATATGGTAAATAGAATTGACATTCCTTATAGTTGAACATTACTAGTTTCATTCACAAATATTTAGGATAATGAAAAACGTAACTCGTCTCTTGAACTTCTCTATGAAAATACTCGGTATTACTCGTCTTCCCAACACGTTATCTTTACTCCACAAGCGATTGATCCACAAGTATGGAAAACTCGTGAAGTACCCATATTTTGTATGCCAACGCCGAAACGTTCTTTGGAATAGCACTGTCTTGTTTTTGTACCATATGGATTTAGTTTTAATACAAGAAAAAATTTGTTCTAGTCACAGTCAATATCTTTTTCTTTTTTTTTCTGAGTGTTTTGTAAAAAGAAAACCAAAGATGAAAACGTGTTTTTCCTGATTTGAGCGAGAAAAATGTATGAAATATCTCGGCTCAAATTTGCTTGCTTTTTTTCTGTAAGACCATCGCCTGCATATAGATTATTTCGTTGATGATTCTTTTTTCTTCTGTTGTCTTGTAATAAGATGAACAAAATAAAATTTGTTATATAAGTTTGGCTAGGATAATCCATACAATGAAAATAGTCTTCTCCTTTTTCTTTCACTATTTGTAAACTTCTAGAAGTTTGCAATGATATTTCTCTAGCTTTTGCCGAAAGTTATTCAAGAAGCGTTGGTTGTACTAAGCAGCCTATTCACCAATCACTGTTCAACCATATCTGACAGAGATCTCAAAAGCATTCTCTCAAATTCAAAACATGCGTCAATTGAAACCCGAAACTGAATTTCATTGTTTATCGCCTATTCGGGGCCGATGGTATCAGACAATCTGACAGAGATAGCTAGGAAAATGCTTTTATTTGTCACTTATCATTAACAACAGTCTCTGGTTACGCATATTACCTGATGATGTATTCCTACGAAAACTTATATTTCTTCGCATCTATCAGATACTGTATGAACAAAAACTTCAAATTATGTGCAGTTGCAGTGAATAGCAAAAAAATCGGTTCGTTTGTACTGCACAGTCGAATTTATTTCACGTAATTATAGAAAAGTTGCAGAAACAAATACGTTTGAACTTGAAATTCAAGCAAGGCTCATCTTTTAATCCGTGTTCGCAGATGTCAGCACTACACACAACCAAGAAATACTTCGATGTTCTTGCAACACAACAAAGAAATAATACGGGTTTGAGTTATGTCGCTATCCGATCATATCCAATATCCAATGTAGTTCAACTAATTACTTCTATTCAATTCAACAGACGAATGAAAACTATATTTCCGGCCTTCAGTGTGGCTAATCAATAGCGTTTTATTCACTCTTATTTTCGTGACGATTCTGATCCTGAAGCAACATCATAGCTTCTTGAAACACATATCTCTATCCATGTTGACAAAATTATCAAATTTTCCTTCAGTGTCGTTCACTATCTTCCTTCGAACTGCATCCAATCTCCGGTCTGATTTCGAATTAGGAAAACAGATGAAACTGCACAACGATAACAAACAGTTTAAAAAAGTTCTCGAACTGTTCGATCATCACAACAAAAACAACAGTGCTCAAACATGTTACAACTTAGTTATCACACAAGTATTAAAAGCATGTGCGCATCTAGGTGATATCAAACGTGGCAAAATAATTCATGAAATGGTTTTCTCTCGTGTCGACAAGGATGTGTACATACTAGTATCCTTGATTCATATGTACAGTAACTTTCGAGAGCTAGTCAGTTTTCTTATAGTTTCATTGTTGATTTAATAGTGCAATGTGGAAATGTAGCGCAAGCTGAGGTGTTATTTGAGAAAACAGCAAATAGGACATTGCCAATGTATGGGGCGTTGATGAAAGGTGATGACTTGTTGATTTCTTCATGATCGTTTCAAATCAGACTCTTCGCTTCAGGTTATTTAACGAATAATCATGCACAAAAGGCAATTGACGTTTTCAATACAATCGAAAATCCTGGTGAAATAGCTGTGAATCTGTTCTTGAATGCTTGTGCACAATTGGGAACGCGTGAAGCTTCGGTTTCAGCAAAGCAGATTTTGAGAAAAATGCCAAAATCATTTCATTCAAACTTATATATCAGAGCATCTCTATTGGATGTATTTATGAAATGTGGTGACGTCGTTTATGCTGAAAGGATATTTGGAAAAATTGCAAAGAAAACATCAGCGATGTATGGTGCGATGATTAAAGGTAATATACAACATCCGAATGTTAACGTGTATGTTTTACATCTTGTCTGCAGGCTATTTAGAGAATAACGAACCTATGAAAGCAATCGATCTTTTCAATCAATTGGATAAACCTGGTGAAGTGCATGTGAATCTTTTCTTCAACGCTTGCGCACAATTAGGAACGCGAGAGGCTTTAGTTATGACACAAAATGCTTTCAAACACGTGCCAAAAGCATTTCATATGAATCCGATCATAGTAACTTCATTACTAGATGCATTGATGAAATGCGGCGGGGTTACTGAGGCTGAATCGATTTTCGAAGATTTATCCAATAAAACAATACCGATGTATGGTGCTATGATGAAGGGTAAGTATTGTTATCATTTAATCGGCTTCTATTCAACACAATCTTTTCTTCTAGGTTATGTAGAGAATAACCAGATGAATAAAACAATTGATCTCTTCAAGCAAATTCGAGAACCGAATGATGTTATTATGATTGTTCTGTTTAATGCATGTGCTCATCTTCGCACGAAAGAATCATTAGATATTATTAAGCAGGCATTGAGAAGAATGCCGAAATCCTATTATTCGAATCCTCGATTATTGACCTCATTGCTAGACGCATTGATGAAATGCAAAGCTGTCGAAGACGCTGAAAAATTATTTGGAACGGTACCAAGGAAAACATCGCCAATGTACGGAGCTATGATGAAGGGTGAAGAGGACTTTTTCTATATAACATACAAGAAAAAAGAAAACATTTCTTTAGGCTATGTGCTGAATGGTTTGGCTACTAAGGCGATAGACCTGTTTGTTAAAATTGAAGATCCTGATGAGGTGAACATCATCATCTTTTTTAATGCTTGTGCACATTTAAAGACAAAACAAGCATTACAGTCGGTCCGAGAAGTTTTGAAGTCAATGCCAACGTCGTATCATTCCAACTCACTTGTTCTTAGTTCACTAATCGATGCTTTGGTAAAATGTGGCAGTATCACTGAAGCGGAGTCCGTATTCAAGCGATCAGAAAAGAGAACATCGTCTGTGTATGTAGCTATAATGAACGGATATAATAACGATGAATCACCATGGAAAACACTGCGCTTATTTGATCAAATGACAATTGATATGATCGAAAAAGATATTGTAGTTTGTCTGTATTTGATTAAAGCATTATCAATGATAGGTGATTACTCCTTGTGTCAGTTGTATATCAAGAAATTTCCATGTGGTATTCCGAATGACAATCATGTTGCATGTGCACTAATCGACATGTGGGTATGTGAAAACATTGTTTGATTATTGATCTTTGTTTTCAAACAGACTATTGATTTAAGGGAAGAGTTGGTCAAGTCGATGAAGCGAAGAAAATATTTGGAAAAGTTCGTGATGAAAACTACGTTACATACACAGCAATGAGTTGGTATTATGCAAACACTTTTGCAAATTTTTCTCGTGATTCTTCCTCTTTTAGTCCATTGTTTTGGTTTAAATGGATATGGCAACGAAGCTGTTGAACTTTACCATCAAATGTCTAAAGAGTTTGTCAGTGAAGTGACAAACATTTGTGTACTGAATGCTTGTTCACATTCTGGGTTGGTGAATGATGCTCGTGCAATTTTTGGCAATATTCCAGTAAAGACTGAGAAAATCTATTGTGCAATGGTAAAGAACAACTATTTATTCTGAAATTCTTCGGTATTTATTATGGTTATTTTTTCATTCAGATTGACTGCTTAAGTCGTGCGTCATGTCTTGAAGAATCTCAACAACTAATTAATGAATATGAGCGATTTAATCCACCTCTCCTACCTATGTACAGTGAGTATTGTTTAATATAAATTGTAAAACTGCGATTACAGTCTCAAAAGGATATTAACAACAGACTGTCTTGTTTATAGCTGCAATATTATCTGGTGCAAGAAATTCAAGGAACACTGAATTATCACAAAGAATTCATGATAGAATGCAGAAACTGTTTCCTCGAGATAAAGATTCGCTCGCTGCAGCGACAATTCTTCTGGCCAACGTGTATGCGTCGACAGGAGAAAGTGAAAAGGCATCAGATATTCGCAGTAAGTTGAGCAAATCGGGTGCTAAAAAGAAAATTGGTTTATCATGGACTACGATCAATGGAGAAGTATTTGTGAGTCTTCAATTTTCATTATATATTTTTAAAAAGCCAAAATTTTCAAAGGAATTTCGAGCGCATGACCGGTCGCATCCTCGCTCTAATGAAATTTATGCTGAGTTAGAGAAAATCTCCGAAGTACTTGTTGAACACAACCACGCATATGACTCAAGCTGTATCACACGTGTGCTCAATGAAGATGAAACTGTCGAATCTGTACTTAATGGCCATAGTGAACGTTTAGCGATTGCATGGAATTTTGTGTTGAATCCAAAAACAACAAGGATACAATTAAGAAAAAACCTTCGCATATGTAGTGATTGTCGTAAGTGATGCTTTCCGTGTGCAATTCTCATTTTTTCTTTCATTTCTTTAGATGCAGTCACCAAATTAATTGCGATGATTCGTCAGTGTGAAATTGTTGTGCGCGATGCTAATCGAATTCATCATTTTTACACGAATGGACAATGTTCGTGCAACGACTATTTTTGAAGCAATTCCTTGTCATTACAACTTTGTTTTAAAGTAAAACGGATTCCTCATTGTGTGAAAACTCGAAGGCAACCACAAAAAAACCAATCGTTAAACATATTTTTAAATTATTCACACAGAACGAATTTATTCAACAGCAAGGCAACTGACACTGATATCATTGAGATTATGTGGAGTTAGTTCAATATGAGCAGAATATTTGAACCTAATAGATCGACATATCGAATCTTTCAGATGATCAAACGTCGATAATCTTAACATTTGTCGCGACTTCTCCAGAAGTGATAACAATGTCAAAATCATCATCAATTTCATCTTTCATTAAACTTCTTATTCTTTTGTTGTCAGTAAAAAATGGACAGTTTATGATGTCGGTAAAGTGAGCAGCATACTCGAATATTTCTTGTCTGAACTTCGCGATGTTATTCACTGAAAGGATCGTTATATCATAATTCTCCAACTTCTTAGTAATTCTTTCCTGATAAATATTCTTGAGAGAAGAAAAGTCATGCTTTGATCTATTTGACATAGAGTAAAACGTGATTGTTATCGACGAACAAGAAATAACAACGTCTACTTTCCTCAGTTAAATGCTCTACATACACATAATTTCCACTTTCCTCTTAGTTTTCTTGGTCAGAACTAGTGATCAAGTGGGATGTCTCACCAATGTAAAAGATTTTCAAATTCAACTCAATGACACAAACTTAGACGAGCAAATCCAAAACTTAACATCGCGTTTGATTAATCGTACCCAACAAGTATCATTTTGTTCGTTCAATCTATCCCTTTTACACACAACACATCAAGTTATAGTTCGATATTCACGTCCACCCAAAGTTGAAGCTGATCAGATAGTCGTGAAAACCGTCGTTGAGTTAGTTCGGAACACATCGTTAGTGACCACAGTGCAAGGAAAATGTACAACACATGTATGTGATTTGGAATACACAATAAGTACCGTACGATGGATGTTATCAGAAGGAAAATCGTACAGTAATGTACGAAAAAGGCTTCAAGATCTCCTACATACGCAAACAGGCAGTCAATCTATTTCATGTTTTCAGTGGTTTAATGAGTATCAACTAAAAGATTGTCATGGTTTCACATGTCTCAACAGAAAGTTACCAGATGTTCGCTCGGCTCAGTGCGTAGCCACCGTGAGACCACCATATGTCGAACTTGAAATGTTCGCTAAAATAAATAAACAAAGCGTTACTACTGAATATACGTTTATTTATTTGTGTAGAACTTATTATTGCAATAGCAAACTCACTGATAGTAAAATTTTTCTTTTTATGTGGGAAAGAGTCAATATGAATAAATTATTCAAAACGATTAAATTAACAAATTCTCCAGATGACGAAACAACAGTTAAAACAACAACGATGAGAAGAACAACAATGATAAGAAGAACAGCAACAACAACAGAGAAGAAAACGACAACGACGACTTGTTCAACAGCTTCAACAAAACTCTACACTTCATTAATCTTACTGTTTCTTCTCCTAATCAATACGATTTTCTTTAAATATTGTTCGTAATCGATAGTTCGAACGATACTTTCCCATATTCCCATTTCAATAAATATACCATCACTAAGTACTTAAATATATCTCACATATACAAGCATACCTATGTGTGAATATGAACTATAGGTATGAATAATTAAAACTATGCCTTTTTCTCTAGCATGATTTTTATGCTAGGATTTATTTGTGAAACCTCCATTTGTATTCGAACTCAAATTTAGTAACTATTTTCATTCAGATATCGATGGTATAAACTAAATCGCCATGAATTGATAAAGGAATGTTCATGTAGAATATTCTAAATAGTCAATCTTTATAATTAATGGAGTGCTTTATATCTTTATCAAATAACTTTATCTCATTTTTCATGTACATTACCAATATTTAATAGGTCCTAAACGATTTTTGTTCTTTTTCCTCTACATGTAGAAATGTTTATGACATCATCGAGCGACTATCAACCTGACTTTTTTTCTATTTATATATCATCATAGACTATTCTTAGACGATTAAACTAAAGAAGAATCAACTCTCAGGTGAGAAAACGAAATTGCTGTGGAAGACGGCGTGGCGTTAACAACCTCATATTTGACTCCGTCCTTTCATATCGTTGTTTTCTTTGCTGCGTTATGATATTCCTGAAGATGTTCAATCAACGAAATCGAAGTATATTTAAAATACTTCTGTTTAGTTTATCAATATTGTTTATATTCTATTATCGTTTCCCAATGCAAGGAATCTCTGTGAAGTTATTTGAAAAATCGAATACTTACCTTCATTTATATGAACAACGGTTATCTTTTCTAAGAGCAACTTCATTTCTTCCAAAATTTCTTAATCATCGAATATCATTGAAAATCAATTTAACGTCTCTTTCGAGAGAATATTTTTCGAACTTTTCACACAATTCACCAGTTAATGTATTCCATCTCAACATTACATGTGCACAAAAATCTCAGATTTCTCGTTCAATATGTGACATTTCTCTCACATTCTATTTAAATAATTCCAAACAATTAAATCTTTTCTCAAACCAAGCCACGTGTTCATTGTCTATCTTGAGAATCAATTCGGACATAATCTCGATTAGTCTGCATGAATTATTTCCATCTGATTTTCAGTTTTATTTCCTCCAACTTTGGTCTCATCATAGCAATCATCTCTTGGCCACAATGGCCACCGTCTAATGAACGTTTGGACCAAAATATTCTCATTCATTGTTCTTCTCAAGATTTATTTGTTCACGAACAAAATTCTCTGTCTAAGTGGTTGGATTTATTCACTATTGAACAACGAGAACTTGTTCCATTTGAAAGAGCAAAGAATTGCTCTGTATGTTCAAAACAATTTCACGATTGGGTATTCGATTATCAACAATGGCATAAGAACATCACGACTGTTCTTCTTTTCAATCAAAAAAGCAAAACAAACGATGAACAACGAAATGAGGTTCTTAAACATGATATTCGATTCTTAATTTATGAAAAACAGTTGACTGGTATTGCTGATCGATTTATTCATTTGATTTCAACATATTTTGTTGCTTTATTAACGAAACGTTTATTTATTTTCGATGAAGACTGGCCAGATTTTCATGAGATATTTCAGTTAAGTTTAAATTCTGATCATCAGGCATTCGCATTTTTATTTGAGAAATTCAATTTTTCAAAAAAAGTGCAATCGTTTTCATTTGATCGATATCTCAAAGATTATGACTATGATCAACAATTTCCCGAACGCGTTCTCATTTTCAAAGGACACACAGGTGGTGTTATTCAAACAATCGACTCAAAAACTAGTGTTTACCGGAAATTTCTAACCGAAGATCTAAAAATGAATACGAACAATATCTTTGGTTGTCTTTATCATTCGTTTTTCGCTTATAAACTATCGGAAATCGTGCAAAGAGTTGCTTTATCGAGTACAAAATTGAATTCATTTGATCATTCATCACACGAAATTCTTCAAATTCTTTTATCGCCCAATTTTTTCACCATTGGTGTTCAAATTCGTGCAGGAGACGCAACAATGCAGCGAAAGTTGACAGATCAACTCTTGAATGACACTCAAGAAAAGCGTCTTCTCGGACGAGTTGAAAATTATCTCAATTGTACTTTGGATTTAATTCATCAAAATCAACAGTCGAACGTCATTCCAGTTGTTTTTCTCATGTCCGATAGCTATGAAATTCGTCGATCTGCTTTGAAACGTTGGTCATTGTCACTTCAAAGTCAATCACGATTGAAAAACGATCGTTTATATATTTTATCCGATTCCAAACCTGTTTTACATATTCAATATACAAACAATCGTTTACTTGCTCTACAATTGGGAGTTTTTCACATGTTCCTGTTTAGTTTATGTGAACAACATTTGATTAGCACAGATAGTGGTTTTGGTCGCATTCCTGCATTTGCATCATTGAGACAAAGAAATCTTTATTCACTTTCATTGAATGAGCGTGCATCGTGTTGAAACCAAGGAATTACGTTGACAAGTGCAGGACGGAATTGGTCGGGAATTTAAATTTATTAATAAAATCTTCGATTAAAACTCTTATTGGAATGTATGCGATCCGAACAGAAGATGAAATAAATTGAACAATATCAGTAAATTTTTATAATAAACTGTAATTTTAATCTATCCCTCTATGGATCTGTTTTTCATTGTGAATCTATGTACCTCGATTGGCTTCACCGCATGTATTCGTTTACAATGGTCAGGTTTTCATTTGAATCTGGGTTCATATTTAAAGAAAATATTTTCTTCTTCTCACGTTTATTTTTGTACAAAAAAACGATGAAAAAAGTACTATCCAGTTATAAATCGGTTTTGTTCGCATATTTTATTATTTTCCTTTCAGGAAAATAATTTTGTCCTTAAAAGAAAGAAGTAAAATTTAAAAAAAAAGGTGTTGAAATAAGTTACCTAAATACTGGATGAATTTCCAATACGAGACCAAGAGTATGATGATAATAATTGAGCTGATTATGCCCACAATAATTCGGATAGAAATTCCAAAACAAAACTTCAACCATTCACAAATTTTAGTGAAAAAACGTCTCTATTGACGAAAGCTAATCATTAGATGAATTATGTGAGCATATGAAATTACGTACCGCTAAAAGTTGCACATACCCAGGTCGAACAATCCGACCGGTTCCGTGGTATTCCGGAGATTTCACGGAAGTAGTATTTCCGATGAGTGGATCCGGTGACTGGATTTATCGGGTTTCTACCGGAACCGCTCAGAAATTCACGACCACATCGGTGTGAAGCTAGCAGCACGAATAAACGATATGTTAGCTAAAAACGTTTTTACTACATATGTCCCGTCCATGCAAACCACACCATTCGACTCAGAATTTAATTCTGTATCGAATAGTGGTACTTTTATCCATGGGACAAACTTTACAAAGATTTTTATCTATATCTTTGTTCATGTCCTTTAGGCTTACTTATAATCCAGATAGAATTTTTCCAAAGTTCGTCCGGTGAATAAAAGTGCCACCAGTCGATGCAGAATAAAATTCTGAGTCTAATGGTGTAATTTGCATGGTGGGGACATATTTAGTAAAAAGTTTTTAGCTAACATATCGTTTGTTCGTGCTAGCTTCACATCGGTTGTGTAATAGCTATATGCGGTACAGCCATATAAGGATATGTTGGTATTGTGGTGTGAGCGGTATTCAGAGGCCGTAGCGAATAACTATTTTCAAGTTTAAAGCTTGACACTAGATGCCGCTATATCCTTATGTGATTACATCATCATACCGCTATACCAGGATATGTGTATACCACCATACTGTTGGACTTCTATGCGGATAGGCTTTTCATACTAGATTCAGTTAGTATGAGATATGTGTCGTCGGTTTTTGCCATCAATTAGTTTTTAGTTTAAATCTATTTTGCGACAAAATCATATTCTTCAGCTTATGCCCCCGCCAGTATTGTATATTGATTTTTTTATCTGCTGCAACTTTTCCGCATGCAGTGAGACGTTCGATATAAATATTTTTCTCTTCTGCTGAGCACTCTCATTAATTCGAATATAGAATGATTATATTTACGTCATTTATTCTCAGTCAATCGCGATCTTTTATGGCAAATCTGCAGACACTACGGCCTTGCACCAAAAATTGTCCGCCTGATCCAGCTCCTGTACAAAGATACAACAGCACGAGTGAGAGTCAACGACGAGCTATCAGATAGCTTCCACATTGACACAGGCGTCCAACAGGGCGGTATTCCATCATGCATACTTTTCAACATCCTCTTTGATTTCATTATGCGTAGTGTTATTGTCACTGCAAAACAGATGGGCGTCACCGGAATTCAACTGGCGTATGGCAGCAACGACTTTCACCACACTGACCACGACAAATACGAAGAGTTTGACCTCCTGGCTCTAATGTACGCGGACGACCTCGTTACAATGTGCGACAACATGGCTGATCTCGAAATATTCATTCGTACATTTGAGCAGGTCACTCAACAGTTTGGTCTCACAATGAGCATTAAAAAGACACGTGTGATGTCTCTGAAACCGCTCCGAGAAGACGCAACGCGAAGGCTCATCAAGGATCAGGAAGTGCCAGCCAACAATTTTCCAATTATCATCCGCAATCAAACCATCGAAATCGTCGAAGAGTTCTCCTATCTTGGATTTCGCGTCAATCGTGAACAAACAATGGAAGAGGAAATAGAAACACGACTGTCCAAGGCATCAACTGCGTTCAATATGCTGCGTCATGCTATCTGGTATAGAAAGGTAATATCGATCGAAGCCAAGCTCAGAATTTTTCGTGCTTGTGTCCTTCCCGTCCTCCTTTATGGCAGTGAAGTGTGGACAACAACGACACGTCAGGAACAAAGACTAAACACTTTCTATTTTAGATGCCTTCGAACGATCATTGGTGTAAACCTCGGCGACCGAATGTCCAACGACATACTTCTTCAACTGACAGGACAACTGCAACTTGAAGAGATCCTCAGAAGAAATCGGCTACGATGGTTTGGTCATGTCAATCGGATGACGGATGTTCATGGTAAGCCATCCATTACAAAGAAAGTGATGTTTTCCTACTTTTCAGACAGCAAACGTCCTCGATGTTCAGGCGTACGGAAACGATGAGAAGACAAGATACGCGATGATCTTAACTGTTGCGAAGTTCGTAACTGGCGACGACAGACTCTCGACCGTAACAAATGGCGAGAAATCATCAACAAGAAGGCGCAATCGATGGCACCAAGACCGAACATCAAAGAAATCGTGCGGCAATATAAAGAGAGAGCAGAACAGCGCAGAATGATCATCCGAGATGAACCGGCGCGCAAGGTGACCGAAGCGCTGACACGAACCGCAAACAACAGCTACAAGTGTCCAGAATGCAAGAAGCTGTTCAAGCCACAAGGAATAACCAACCACGTGAGGCGCTGCGCCGTGATGTGGTGCAGGAAGAATAACATTATCCGACGCTAATTCCTTCGCCTGCCAAAAAAGCTGCGTTTTTTTTCACCATGCGCACGATGATGGGTGCTACTGAAACCAATCCGAGATGGATTGGAGGTAGGACGCGGACAAATAGCCATGGTGATCTAGCGCTACGACGATCGAGCAAGAAACGAACGAATGAACGATCAAACAGCTGCTCTTCTTTCTTTTCTTTTTTTTTTTTTTTTTTTTTTTTTTTTTTTCCTTTTTGTACTCTTGATCTTCACCCAATACCAGACGGTAAGGGTCTAATAAACTAAACTACGTCATTTATTAGAAACATGATATGAACGATTCTTTTTTTCTTAAATCAAATCAAGTTAATTCACTTCTCTGTTCATTTAATAGCCATAGTGAACGATTAGCGATTGTTGTAAATCATGTTTTTCGTGTAGAATTCTCACTTTTCTTGCATCTTTTTAGACACGGCCGTCAAACTAATCGCCATGATCTGTCCGTCGGTGTGAAATTGTTGTCCGTGATACTAATCGGATTCATCATTTCTATACAAATGGCCAATGTTCATGCAACGACTATTTCTCAAGTAATTCTTTGTCTTTTCAACTGTATTTTAAGATAAAAATGGACACAATTCATCATATTCGTTGTCTAATACACAAACTTTATAAAGAACTTGTCTCCAAAGTGATTGCAATTCAAACATCGGTCTAACTATATCAACTATAATTAGCTCATTTGAGTTAACTTTTCTTTTCATAAATATATTTTAAAACAACAGACAACGACGTTAAGAAGTCGACTTAGATTTCGCCCTATGTGATTTCAAACATGCCGTTGAACAAAATTTGTAATCGTAGTATGTAAATGGTTCATCGGAGATTTTATATGCACACTGCCAGCATCGACCTAAATGTAATTCATCGCGTTTCTTTGTTTCAAAGTTCATATGAACAGCTAATGTCTTCTTTTCAGCATCGGATAGAGCAAGGAAAGCTATTCGTTGTTTTTCCTCGTCCTGTTCTCGTAATTGTCTTTCTTGATCACTTCGTTGTTTATCTGCTCGACGTTTTTTCGTTTGCCGACGGCGTTCACGTTCAGCTGTACGTTGTCGTTCTAATTCTTCCGTCGTTATACTGGGTGCAATTTGACCAAGATTGTAATCGTATTTATCTGGATAATCGTTTCGAAATAATCGAAACGCTTCTTTCGTTTCCTTATTTTTGCATAAATTATACGGGTACTTTCCTCGCTGATTTGCAAGAGATGGATCAGCACCTTCATGCAGTAATCTCTGGATTAGTTTCAAGTGTCCACGTTCACTAGCAATATGTAAAAGTGTATCAAGACTACCAGCAGTTTGATAGTTGAGTATATCTGCGATGGAAGTTGATTCGTCGATAGTCTTCAAAGCGCGTAATCGTGAAATTAAATCATCAAATCGTTGAATATCATTTAACCGGCATGCCGTAAATAATTCATTGAATGTAGACAGATCTTCAACAGCTGAAACAAGTCGAATACATCAGAGATCAGCGGGAAGATATAGATCGTAATCTTACGTAATAGTTTTCGATCGGTTGGAGCGGAAGACACAACAGGTTGTTTCTTTGTCGTTTGTTTTGCAGCTGCTTGCTCAGTTTCATCATCTAATTTAAGTTAAAACATAGATTTTCTTTCTAATATCAGGAAAAGACACAAACCAGAATTATCTTCCGAGTCTGATGATGAAACAGCAGTAGCTTTCTTCATGATTGGTAGTTTTGATTTGGCTATCGATGCTTTTTCTGACTCAGCTTTTTGAAACTGATAATCTTCCGCTAAATAAGTATAGAATTCGATGAAAATAACTGTGAACAGAATTCGAGGTAAACATACGGTAGAGTTCCATTTTGGTTAATTGGTCATAGACACGTTTGATTTCATTGAACGTTGGTCGAAGTGTCGCAAATGGAATCGAACGGATTCTTCAAAAAAGAAAATGAAAAGTTCTACATGAACAAAATGAACTTATTCTATGCAAACCTGGGATCACTTGTTGACAAGGGTGCATTTTTATCACTGAATAATAACTGTTGGTTGAAGCTGGGCGCTCGAACGAAGATCAACGAACACCGTTGTACTTCAGTTTTCAAGGAAATAAACAGTTCTTGAATTTTCTAATTACGAGAGAAAAGAGAAATTAACCATGAAAGACATGTTTTCGATTGAATTTACCTGTTTTAAATGAAGCATGTTTTGACGACGAAGATTAGCACCAGCTGAACGAGCTTTTCCGCCAGTCTTTTGATCGTGTGCTGTTTGTGCTGATCCTTGTTTAGCACGGATAACATATTTATGAAATGTTTTATGTTGAATGATTTTATCGCGTTCAAACAATGCTATTGCAAAATGACCGCCCGCAGCCATGACTATGCACCAATAAGTACATAAGGGAAGTCGCTGAGCAGTTAGAATCAATTCCTGAGATTCTTCAGGAAAATTCTACAAAGAGAAGACATTAGTTTTGTGCTTGTCGAACTTCGATGTTTACCTTCTTTCCATGAAGAAGACATCGATATAAGGATAAATGTCGACCATCATTCAATGTTAAAACAATCTTCGGATTATTTCTAGCACATGAATTATATGAACCATCAGCAGAGATGTTCAATACACTTTCACTGTCACTCAAATCATCATTTGATGAATCGCTTCCGGATATACTTGATATGTCTTCTATAGATCATTACAAACAGATGAATGGCAAGGAAGATGTCAGTGACCTACTTTCCATATCCTCAAATTTTTCAGACGAGATTGCTACTTGATTCCGAAGTTTTCTTTTCAGATTAAAGCGATGCCAATCTGATTTAAAATGAAGTGTCTAATTCGATTGAAGAAAAAAAGAGATCATTACTAAATTGATATTCATAGAAACAACAAAAAGAACCTGTTCTGATCGGTCACTGAATTGAATTTGACATGTCGTACAGGCTAATGTATCAGAGATCGATAAAGCTTGGAATTGACTTTCTTGATGATGTTCTAAGAAAAGAGAAGACTAGATTAAGAAAAGTCTTTTATTCGATAGTTTGAAGTATACTCTCGATGCCAAGAGGATCAACTGGTGTTTCAGGGAAATAAACATGTTCAGTAAATGGTCGGACAACGTTCTGAAGACACTGATCAAGTTCTTTATCAACAAATAATTTCAATTGTTTAAATGACGCCATGAAAAAATCTTTCTTGACTAGAAAATATCAGAAATTATTTACAAGCGAAGTAAGAAGTTTTGACAACTATTTAAATCTCAAGCCAATACTTCATCGCCTCGGCGATCTCAAATGAATGTTCTTACGAAAGAAGTGACGAAATTTTAGCAATTTTACATGACTCAAGCACTACGAACTTGAAATCGCTTTCCCATTGGCTCAAATTCTACATCAAAACGAACCAATTGCTTTTGGTTAGCACGTTTGGTTTAACTTTCACGAACTCTATCATATTAACGTCAATGACCATTAGCTTAACAGCAACGGATGTTGTACAATTTTTGTTCTGATAGAGCTCTTGGACTTAAGGAGAGAGTAGAAGACTCTATTAATGTCGAAAATGTTTACAAATCGATGTTTACGATCAGTTTATGTCAATATCCAATGGAGGATTCCGATAATCAGACGTTACAGTAATTTGGATTTAGAAATGAAAAGATTAAACGATGAAAAACGGTACAAAGAAGCACTCACGTTATTCGTTGAACATGAACAAAAAGGTCAGTGTGCGATATCCGATATAGCTATAAATCAAGCGTTGAAATCCTCCACGAACATGAAAGATTTTTCGAGTGGACTGAAAATTTCTAGTCGATATTCATCTCGTATTGAGAAGAATTCCTTTATACAAGCATCGCTTATTCATTTTTACAGTAAGAAATCTGATTGCAATTGAAATATATTAACATTTGATATTATAGTGCAATTTGGCGATATCAATCGTGCTCGGGAAATCTTTCGTCAATCAGAAAATAAAACAAAAGCTGTTTATGGAGCATTGATGCGAGGTAAAAGATTTCTTTTGTATGAATTTTTATTGATTAGCAACGTAGGTTTTATAAAAAACAACATGTTCCAGGAGGCAGTCGATCTGTTCTCTGAAATTATCAATCCAGATGAAATGAACATTATGCTTTTTCTTAATGCTTGCTCGGGAATTGCTACAAAAGAAACACTGGTTACCATTGATAAAGTTTTATCAAATATTCCCAATCGTTATCGTGAAAGTAAACAGATTTTAATTGCAGCTTATGACGCATTCATTAAATGTGGTGACTTACCAAAAGCCGAGAAACTCTTTCCTAAAATCGAACGAACTGTGAGAAGTTATGGCAATTTAATGAATGCATATAACAATAACGAACAACCAGAGAAAACATTCGAACTATATAAACTCATGAAAACCGATGGTATCAAAGCCAATTTCTTGATCTATGTCTTTTTGTTGAACGCATGTGCTAACCTTGGAGTCTTATCAACATCTCAGTCTATCTACGAACAAATTCCAAAGACCTTTCTTGATCATCCCTATGTTCAAACCGCATTAATCGATATGTGGGTAAGAATTTTAATTTACGGGAGTCTTTTGATTGATTCAAGAAAAAAACACGTATTTAAGGGTAAATCAAGTTGTATAGATAAAGCGAAAAATACGTTTGAATCAATAATTGAACCAGATACGAGTACATACACGTCAATGAGTTCGTAAAAGTGAAGTTTTTTTAATGTTTTTTTTTCGAAAACATATTTCTTTTAGTCAATGTTTATGGCTTAAATGGAATGGCTCTTCAAGCAGTTGAACTCTTTCGACGGATGCCATCAGAATTAGTCACAGAAGCAACTTACATTTGCGTTTTGAATGCATGTTCACATTCTGGTCTTGTTAATGAAGCTCAAGCAATATTTTCAACTATCAAAACCAAAACCGAACACATCTATGCTACGATGGTTAATCTAAAGCAAAATCTTTTCTTTAACTTTGATCTGAATATTTCTAGGTCGATTGTTTCAGTCGTTTATCTTTATTTGACGAAGCACAAGAACTCGTTGATGTCTATGAATCGTGTCATTCTCCATCCTCATCTATGCTTAGTAAGCTTGGTTCACTATTTAGAAATAAAAGTATGATGTTCGGTGTTTTCAGTGGCATTACTCTCTGGTGCTCGGAATAGAAATGACTGTTTTTTAGCAGAAAAAATCTTCAATCGTATTCAACACAATTTTTCCCAAGATCGAGATTTATTTATAGCAGCTTCAGTTTTACTTGGTAATATTTATGCATCAACAGGTGATTTAGACAAAGCGGCCGAAATGAAGAAGAAGATCTCCCAAACAGGCGTAAAGAAAAAAGTTGGCTTGGACAGAAGTGAATGGTCAAATATTTGTAAGTGATTTTCTTTCATAGATGAACTAACATAATGGATTCTTCTTGTATAGAAATTTCGAGCGCATGATCGATCTCACCCTCGGATCTGATGAAATTTATGCGGAAGGTGAAAAGATCTCTCGAGAACTCGTTTCACGTGGTCATCAATATGATTCCAGTTGGATTACACGGGTTTTGGGTGAAAATGAAACAACTGAATCTGTTCTGTGTGGCCATAGTGAACGTTTAGCAATTGCATGGAATTTTGTTGTGAATCCTCATGCTTCAACAATTCAGATAACAAAAAATCTTCGCGTTTGCGGAGATTGCCGTGAGTTATTGTTTCATTCGTGTTCATTTTTGGTTTTTTCTTTCCTTTTAGATCAAACAACGAAACGAATTGCATTGCTTCGTCAATGTGATATTATCGTTCGCGACGCAAATCGAATACATCATTTCTATAAAACTGGACAATGCTCATGCAATGATCATTTCTAAAAAGAAAACGTTTTTTTTTCGTTCATTCATATTACAAATTTGTTTTGTTTCTTGTTAACAATAAACAATTAAACGAAAAACAATCTCTCAAAATCTCAAACAAGTGACTTCGCGGTTAATTCCAGTGTTTCTAATGGAAATCTAAAACACAAGGTACAAGTACATTTTGCCATTGGAAACATTGGTTAAATCTATACTATGCTATGATTCATGCTGCTAGTCTATTGGTTGTGAAGAAAACGTATCACGACGAAGAATTATTACCACATATACAAATACAACGACTAAAGAAAATCGACGACTTCGTTATTGCACTCTAACATCTGAATTTTACATCTGCTATTTGCAATTTGATTTCAATGTCAGCCATATCATTGTTATTATTCCGTCGCACTGTTCAATTTCAACCAATACGTCAGATTCATTTGACGAAATGCATGTGTCAAGAACGTTATTTTACTAAAAAACATGAATGGATACAATTGCTTGATGCGAACAAAAAGTCCATCGAAGTTCGCGTCGGAATCAGTGATCACGCTCAACGTGCTCTAGGTGATGTTGTTTACTGTGAATTGCCATCAGTTGGTGCAAAATTCAAACGTGATGACACATTTGCTACGTTAGAATCAGTTAAAGCTGTTTCTGATTGTTATATGCCAATCGATGGTGAAATATCTAATGTGAACGAGAAATTGAAGAGTGAAGCTGATTTGATTAATAAGAGTCCATATGAAAATGGTTGGCTGATTCAGGCATTTATTGATGATAAAGAAAAGAAGAATATCTCATCGACGCTGATGACCGAAAAGCAGTATAAACAGTTTTTAGAAACAAATAAAGAAGCTGGTGATCATTGATACTCATAGAATAGTGATGAGATAAACTTCTAGTGTTGTGATTCTCATTGTTGTTATCATGTTTTGAACTTTTCTTTTCAAGATTCAGATTAAAATGTTACAAGGTCTCTTTGACGAAGATGGCGGTGGAGACGCAGATTGTAAGTTGATGAAAGTAATACTGCTGTTGAAACTAATTTCATCAGTTCATAGTTTCTTATCAAATCACTTCGAGTTCCAGTGCGAAATCAACAGTTGAGAGACCTCCAGCTCCACGAAATCAAACAAATTTATGCGGCTTACAAAACCAAGGAGCAACTTGGTGAGTTAAAATAAATTCAATATATCCGTATATATAAATCTTTGGTTTCTAGCTACTTGAATGCTCTTATACAGACATTACTTTTTACACCAGAATTTCGTGGTACGTTACCGCTATATAATGATCCTACTTCGATTTATTTTGCTCTAGAGCCTTTATTCAGTCTTTCAGCGAAAGATCTCAATCTTCCACCATACTCCACTGATTCAGGTCAAACTTCGTCGATTGGAACGACTTTAAAAGTAGTGTTGTTTGGCCGACTCTTTTTCTCTTTCCACAACCTAATTTTTAATTGTTATCAGGTGCGTAAAATTATAGTTGAATTACAGCGACTCTTTGCGGAAATGCTCCTACTGAATCAACAAGCGTGTTCGTCGATTCGCTTAACCGATAGTTTTGGTTGGCAATCCAATGAAGTTTGTCTCCTTTCGCTCGTTAATTCTCATCCATTTATATTTCGTTTGTTAAAACAGACTTTCGATCATCAAGATGTGCATGAACTGAATCGATTACTTTTCGATGCTATTCAAAAATCTTTGCAGGGCACTAAACAATCAAATTTAATACGAACGTGCTACGAAGGCTCGACAATAAACTACACACAATGCAAAAAATGTCAAAAAGTTTTCAAACGCATAGTAATAAACTTGAAAACTACATTGCTATCTTAATCAATGATTTGCTTTTAAAGGAAGATTATCAAGATTTACCGTTAGTAGTGCAAGATAGTCCGAATTTACAAAATTCACTTGCGAATATGTTCACAATTCATGAACACTTGATTGGTGATAATCAATATCGATGTTCGTCCTGTGCGAATACTTTGTGTGATGCTGAAAAGGTAAAGAAAACAAAATTTAACGAGTAACAACGCATTTGATTGTGAATTTTAGTGGGCAAAAATAAGTAAACTGCCACCGATTTTAACATTGCCGTTACAACGATTTGTCTATGACATTAAAACGGGTAATCGATTAAAGAAAACAACACGATATGAATTTCCATTTGACATTGACTTGAAAGAATTTTGTGATGTATGTATCGATATACGCCTCACACATCATATAAGATCTGTCTATGCACATTAGGATTCTGTGATTGCGACCGTTTATGAATTGTTTGCTGTAGTCATTCATAAAGGTACATGTTATTCAGGACATTATTATGGTTATATTAAAGATGTTGATCAGATTGGTACATGGACACGTCCTCCGCCGCCGGCATCGCCTGCAGTAGGTTGCCACACTTCAATACCACTCGAAAATATGCTTTATTTCCGTAGCCAAAATCATCAAATAAACAGAAAGCATCGAACACTCGTACCAGTAAGAACACCGGTGCAAATGAACCTGTCGAATCGGAGGAAGAAACGGCGAAAAAAATTGATCTACTTCGCACGATATTGTTGTCCCATGATGATTGGTTCACAATTGATGATCTTCTAAAAGTTTGTCCAAAAACAAAAAAACCAACTTCGTTCTGTGAGAAAACATATTGATCCTGTTCTTCTAGACTTACCGAGAGAACACAACAGTACCATGGAGTCGCACACGTAATTCGAACGGTGCATTCACCAAAGTAAACAAATTTATTCACTCCATCCATTTCTCACTCTCTGCTTTAGTTTCTTCGCAATCACCCCGAAATCTTCCATGTCGATGACAAACGTGTTCGATTAGTTGAACAAATGGATGTAGACCAGACCGAGGTTGCTGATATGGATTATGAATCATCGCAACTAGAAAAACCGGAAACCAACGATGATGATAATGAACATTGGTTTTGTTTCGATGATTCAACTGTGACATGTGTCACGCAACAGCATATTCAAAGACATTATGGACTGAGCGATTGTGCATACATGCTATTCTATAGATTAAAAACTCCGCGCAAGAAGAATGAATCAAGCATGGATTGTTCGGATACGGTCTATTCCATTCCACAATGGCTAATTGATGAGGTTTCTGAAAAGAATAAAGTTTTAGAAGAAAAACGGTAAGATTTCCGCTAAAAACTTGAAAATAATGCACAAATCTATGCTACTCTACAGCGAAGTGTATGACAAGTATCAAAATCAGTTACCGGTGACGATTTATCCAGGTGAATGGTTTGAGGTGATTGATGGTTGTCGATTGAATTTAAACAATGCCAATCAAATGCTCTTTCCTGATCCATACGGCGAACATATGTTTGACAAACGCACAAAAACCAATGAATTCATTTCTATTATAAAGGTATCACATCCTCATTCTTTGTTTGTCACCTCAGCCAGCTCATTTTAGACTTTATATGGTGATGATACAGATTTTTTCACCTCGAAAAAACTTCGCTCTGGCCAATTACATATCATTAGTAGATTAATAAATGTCGATGATGATCTTACCTTAGATAAAAACGATCTTTCCACTTATCGAAATCTTATTGTCTTCAAGCATCCATCAACACTACCGGATACGGTCATTCAAGGCGAAGAATTCGAACCAATTATGCTAAATATAGTGTACGGCTTTCCTGATGCACATATTCATGCATCGCGTTTGCAAAACACTCGACATGTATCAAAGAATACCACCTTAGCGGAATTGAAGGAAGTCCTCTTCCGAGATTATTATCAATATGAAGATCAGCAAGTTTTGCGCCAGGTTCGAATGGGCAAATTGAATTTAGAAGAAAAGAACAATCGAAAACTACGACGAGAATATAAAATTGATGAAGAAAAACAAACACTAGCACAATTGAATTTGCACGATGGTGATACGTTAGGAATTGATAATAAAAACTCTTTGTAAGTCATTCCATCTGTTTTCTCAAGATCGTTAACTTCTTCGGTATTTGTTTACCAGTGTACCAAGCTGGAAAGATGCTTCATCAAATAGTGCTAACATGGGTAAAACTCAATTATCATTGACGATCAAAAACAATGTTGATTCAATAAATACCAAACCAATGACGTATAGTTGTTTCAGTACGACTGTAGGTTTGCACCGTAAACAAAGAGATTCTATCTATTTGAATGCTTTCTAGCTGATCGGTGAAGTGAAACGCAAGGCAATTGAAGCATTCGGTATATCATTAGATCCATCTATGTGTCGACTGTATATTGATGATGACTCGGATCTGGCGAGCATTCCTCGTACGTCAGATATCTCTTTTTGACTCGGCAATTTTCATTTTTGATTTTATTTACGTCGGTTAGTCTATGATCATCAGACAGTTGATACAATCGATTTCAAACAAAGTGCTACAAATTTGTGTTTAAAAGCTGGACAGGCACTGAAAGAAAACGAAGTTCTCGTTTGCATTCAATCAGACAGAGAACCAAGTCCATTAGAGTTAATTGTCGATTGCAGCATGACATTAACTGATCTGTGGAATCTAATTAAACAAGGACTTCTTATGAATGGTAAACAAATTTACTCTAAGTTTCTCACGTTCATTCGTTCTTTTGTCTTAGACGACGACAATGATTACCATCTATGCGAAGTGAAATCCTCGTTGATCAATGATGGTCCACCATTGAATGATTTCGATCAAAATTTAGTTGTCAATGGATTGACAAATGGCATTCAATTAGCAATGCGACCAGGCAGTGTTGCACCGAGAAATCATGTTCGATTGAAGGTTTACAAGATTATCAATAAATATCATAAGCCGATGGAAGCAAGTAAGAAACGCCAGCGTCATAGAAATTATGTTTTTACAATAGGTCACAATTCATACTTGTAGTTCATACACGATGGAAATTTGAATTGAGTGAATTGAATGAACGCTTCGAGTTGCCTATCACATCTCCATTCAATGTTCTTCGTGAACGTATCGCGAAATTGATTGATTTCAAAGTGCCATTGGAATATGAAAACACTGCTCAATCTTATGAATTCATTCGTCTCTATGATATTGAAGATGAACAACCAACGACGATCGTTCATGAACCAGTTCTTACTACTCTCAAGTAATCATTCCCTTCTGTATAGATCATATTCCGAGATGACTACGTTCTCTTTTTCTCTAGACAAGCTAAAGTACGCGATTTGTGTTGTTATGCTTTTGAAATTTTATCTCATCCTGAACATTTGGGCAAAAAGGATATCCTTCTTAACGTTGTACATTCGAAAGATAATGTTAATAATTATTTTCAACAACGGTTCGAACTTCTCTTACCATTAAAAGACAATAATATCGTAAAATATGAATACGTTGAGCAACACCTATTATCAACATTGAAATCAATAATGAACAAAGATATCAGCAGAATAACTTTCGCACGCTATGCCCCGGAACGTGGACAATGGATAGTGATCGATCCCTTGGCAACACCAAAGAAAACCAAGACACCTAATGTTAATCTCAGACTTGAACCATATAAATTGGCTGACATGGCAGTTATCGGTGTCTTAGAAGGTGATCATTCGACAAGTGAGGATTTTGATACCGCATACGACAAAATGAAACGGCAAGATGTTGAACAAGATAAAGAACAGAAAAGGATGAATCGTGAACGAAATCGAGCGGATAATGATCGTAACCAACAAAGTGGAAGCAGTGGGCGTCGAAGATCACCACAAAACACAATGCGAATCAATGTTGATGACTTTGATAATTGATCTTTCTTGAATTCAAGGACAGTAAGGTTCTTTATATATATACATATTGTTTTACACTTAAAAACCTACTCATTCCAGAATACATATTGAATTTTTTTGTAAAAAATTGAACGGAAAAAAAAACATCAGAATGTGATAAATTTAACGAAATGATTTGTTATTTATTGAAGTGGTTTTCGTATACCTATAACACTGTTACAATAGGGACAGTAGTGAGTTGCTCTTTTGCAAGCGGGAGTACAGAATGGTAAACAAACTAATATACAAGTAAATAAAAACAATACTATTGCTCCGATAATAGTTATGACCGTGATTGACGTTTCGACACGCGTTGTTACTGTTGCTCCGCATTGTGGACAAACAATTTGAATTGTCTTACGTGGCCATTTGTAACCTTTAGAAAATGGTGTACCAGAAGGTGCAGAACTTTTTACAAATGAATCTAAAGAAGTGAATTGATGACTACTCGTAAAAAAAACGAAATAGGCAGTTACTTGGATTATTATTTGTTGGTTGTTGCTGTATCACAGGTGCTGTGTAGGGCGGTGGTTGAGCTGCAGGTGCATACATAGGTGGAGATTGAGCAGGTACTGCATAAGTCGACGGTTGTTGAGGTAATCCTTGATACATTGGCTGCGGAGGTGGTTGATTCATATATGAATTGTCAACGTACGATGGTTGTGCATACTGATTAGAATAGATTGGTTGTTGTTGATAATAGTTTGACGGAATTGACTCGTAAGAAGGTGGTAACGCTGTTGAAAAATTATTATACATAGCTACTTGATCTGTTACTTTGATTTGTAATAGTATCAAATAAATACACTACGAAACACAGAGGCCGTTCAAGGTCACACGTATGTTTATTTTGTTTATATTGTCCAATCTATTCAAGTGGAACGTGCTTATCAATCTACTCACTCATGTTATTAGACTCAGGTAGTTTTGCTGTTTAATCAAAAAGAGAAACACATGATGTTTATGCTAAATGTATGAAGAAAGTGTGAGTAGTCTGTTCTGCCACATAATACATCATATTCAATTGTACTGTCAGAAAAAAAGACATTCCGACGCCGGGAATCGAACCCGGGCCTCCTGCGTGAAAGGCAGAAATCCTAACCACTAGACCACGTCGGACTGTCATTTACATTCTTTCGTCACAAACACTCTCTGATAGGATCTCACTAGAGCGAAAGAAAACTTTAAATTTCGTCAACATATGCATACTTCACGAAAATGCTCGGTCATCATTTCGTATCTGAAGACAAAAAAGGAGATTCCGACGCCGGGAATCGAACCCGGGCCTCCTGCGTGAAAGGCAGAAATCCTAACCACTAGACCACGTCGGATCGATCATAAGATCTTATCATTATCCACTGAAGTATCCAATTCACACCGACTAGTGATAGAACAGTGCTCTGCGAAAAGAAGTTCACAAATGATACAATGATGGTCTCTTGTTAGTCGCATGTCGTCATCTCTCATTCGGCTTGAATAAATGTTTATTATCTGCAAAGAAGGATATAGAGAAACTTCGTTGTTTTTTTTTTCGTTTTAATTAGTATTCCAATGCTTCGACAACATAGTCCAAATGAACGAATGCCCTTTCGACTTCAGGTATGCTTTCCAATTTAGTTTGTAAACCATCACCAATATCATGTGCTTCTTTAAGCGACATAGTTTCTGGAAGGATAACTTCCACTTCGACCAGAAATGATGTGCCGAAATGAAATGCTCGAACTGTATCTATTTTCTGGATTAGAGGAGAATGATGTAGAGTCAACCATGTGATCTTTTGTAGAAATTCAGGCTTTGCTTTGTAACCACTCAGATTTCGAACTTGTTCACGAAGTTGTTTTAACCAACAAAAGATTATGTATAGAGATATGATAATCGCACCGATGGGATCAATGACAACTACTTCTGGATCTTTGATCGAACCATCAAGTGCCTTGGCCGCTAGAAAAAAAAAACATCGATATGACGATCAAAACCAAATCAAATCAAATCTTGCTTTTACCTATAATACCGCATGCAAGAGCAATGAGATTCGAAAAAACATCATTGCGATGATCTTGTGCTACCGCATACATTGTTGGATTGGCTACTTGATAGCACAAAAACGAGAGAACAGCTTTAGTAACTAAAATAAACTCATGGTGCTAAATAGTAATTAATTATTTATTCTACATACCAATAGTTATACACATGACAGTGATAGGTGCTGGTCCCATATCGATATCACGCAATTCAGTTTGATTCGTTGTAAAATGATGCACATCGTTGACCAATGATTCCACAGATTCATAAATGACCTGAACGGATGCCGAAACCATTACCACAGATAAAATGACAATGATAACTGGTTCCAATCGAGTTCGTCCTAAAATATTTAAGAATGATGAATTAATTTCCAGTTTTGCAGAAAAATAAATAGAATGAGAGTTTTTACCTCCTGGATATGTGTAAGGATCACGTCTTTTGACAGCTCGAACGACCCAATAGAGTACACATGCTGATGCGGAATCAACTGCTGAGTCAACTACCGAAGAAATAATCGAAAGAGATCGAGAGAAAATAGCGGCAACAATTTTAGAAACGAGTAATAACTGAAAATAGAAGAAAAGAGATTTGTAGCGAAATTATTCGTTCAATTTGGATAAATCAACATACGATATTACATATTAATGTTGCTCGAATAAGCCATTCAGTATGGCGTTTTTGTTTCTTCAACTTGTTATCTTCTTTTTTAGAGTCAAGCGACGTTTGTTCATGAAATTTTTGTAATGAATCAATCAGATGATCTTGTTTTTTATAAAAACGCCGCACACGACTGCTCAATTTATCATCTTCGTCCTGATTTCCTGCAATAAAATGAAATTAACCAGTGCATAATTCACGGTCGTCACACAAATATGAAACGCTCACCGTGTCGTTTAGTGATAAGTGCTCTCAGTGAATACGGTTTATGATCTAAAAGCAGAGAATTAAGAAAATCTTCATACTTCATTCAATACTACTTACCTCCATCGGAATGTTGAGATTGGATTCTCGATATTGGCTTTTGTTGCTGCTGTTCATAGACGACAAAGAGATTATTCGATGCACTATAACTTCGTCCATAGGGCGCTTTAGATTGTTCGATACTTGGAATAGATCGTCGTGAAAGTGGATCGGAGGCGGATAGCGACGGTTCTTTCGGAGTATCATAGATTTGCGCTTTGGATCGCGCTCGTTGGTATCTTCGACCAGCACGAAATCGTCCAGCACTGAAAAAGTTTTCAGTTTCGTTAAACGATTGAACATTTAAATATTGATGGCCAAGCGACGCTGCTTTCATCGATTATAAATATCAAAATGTCGATTGTCCCTCTCTCTCTCTCTCTCTCTCTTTGTTTCTTTCTCGATCAAAGACAACTACCTATGTTCATGTTCATTGTCTATTCAGAAAGTTCGAGTGAATGTCAAACAAATTATAATGACACATGGTATAAAAAGTACGACTCGAGAGTAAAAACGTCATTCAACGCTTCGTTGATTCAAATACAATGAAATATAAACTCTCCGATGTAAAAATAATCAAAAAAAAAGACTTGACCATGTTTGTCGTTTGAGTACATTTCTTTCTTTCGTCAAAATATCACGTCTTCGTGTGCACTCAGATGCACCCGCAAAATGTCCAGGACATAAACTAATATGTTGATTAAGACATGAAGTATCTCCCAAAAGGCAGAAGTTCGCTGATACATTTATTTTGCTGTCTCTTATTTAAATGAGAATAGAAGCTTGTGAAAGCAGATCTATGATGATAGACAATGATACTTTTAAAGTTAGATGAGAGATTTCTTTTTCAAAATGTGTGTAGTGGCATCTCGAATCATTTCAGTCACTTTGTTTCGATGTTCACTTCTTGGTAACTTCTGCTTCAGTCCATTCTGATCTATGTGCGTCAACAATTTTGGATGAATAAGTATGTTAAACTTGAGGTAATCATTTTCTTGATCATCTTTACTACAATATCCTAATCCACTCGAGAATATGTAGATGCCGTAGGTATTCGATAAATATTGACAAATATCCGTGTATAGATGAAATAATTCCGTGTTATTCAACTTTCCATTCAAACCAAAATCAGACATGGACAATGTGACTTTGGTTTCATAATTTGGTATACCGAAAATAACTAAAGACTCCGGCGAGGATCGTCCACCACGTCGAATATTCCAGTCACGTTGTTTATGACGACCATCTTTCGTAACGAATAAATCGCCGGCATAGATACCATTCGTATAGCCGAACTCCGATGCTTCGAAAGCAACCATCGTCGAATAAGTTTGAAACATCCGTTGCCAGTATACAGACGAGTCGCTCAAATCAGCTGGTGAGCATGATGTCCACTAGAAATGAAAGATGAAATGTTGTATCAGAATATCATTCTACTTTTACTTGTTCAATATAACATCCATTTTCTGTTCCGCATAGATTTATTGATGTAGGGAAAAGTTTACCACCTAGGACAAATCCGCAAACGGTATAATCAGCATCAATATCACCAGATCGTTTTTGTGGTTCGATGAATTCCTCGATAACAGCCAGAACTGGCAATCGTTCGCCTAAAACTCTATTCTCGATATATTCACGTAAATAATCAATGCGTTTCGTTTCATCTTCTCCGCAATTATAGATCAGAGCGTGTTCACTTGGACTCATACAAGACCAACCAGCTGCGCCACTAGCATCCAATTTGACGAATGCGGAAATGCCATACTTGTCATTTAACTGATCGATAGCTCGAATGACGGCTTGAGAGAAAACCTAAAAGATCCATTGAATCGTTCGAAAAATAGATTTTCCATTGTTGTTGTTTTTTACCTGAATGTTTTGCGGAGTATTTTCTGTATGGATAGGATCGAGATGTTCTAATGTTTCTATGTACTGTTGGTAATTGTCAATAATAGTTCCATCGGGCGAGACAGCCAGTAGTTTGGGTAGAGCAGTAAATGCTTGCGAACGTAAGAAAAAATTGTGTTTCGCTTTATCGTTTGTAGGTAAATCAGGTAATTTCAATCGATCAGAATAAGGTTGAAGTTCTTGTTGATGAAATTCTGTCATTTCGTATGGAAATAAAAACGATCGACTAGCATCTCCAAGAATTTCATCGATATGTCGTTTGAACATTCGTACATGATACTCCGGATGGAAATCTGCAGGTGATCGTTGGGCGAATCGCTCGCAAATTTCCGTGTATTTACTCGGATTTGTTTCGAAAATACTTAAAAGTTCTAAAAGTTGTCCATCGGAGTCTTCGTAGAATATTTGAATTTGAATCGAACGTTGTAAACGTCCTTCAATATTTTTCTTCAACGCGAAATAATTTGCCAATTCGACTGAATTCGGTGGTGAATAGACAATAAGTCGACCGCCTCGACGAAAACCAGTGGATAACCAAAGTGCAGGTAATAATGATCGATCACAACCTCGCATACCAAGAAAAACAGCTCGTTCGGATTCGGGTACAACGAGCGCTACATCATCGAGGATGATGATTTGGTCGCTATCATCAAATGCTAATGCAATACGTCGAGCTAACTCAACACGATAACTTAAATCCGCTGGATGTTCTACACCCCATGCCGCTAACGCTTCTGAACAAAGACCAGGAATGTTGATTTCACGTGATGTTGGTTGACTACCAGCTTGTTGTGAACTTGAGCTACAGCTCTTTATAATATCAAGTAATGAGTTTGGCATAATGATATCTGAAATAATACAATTATTGTTAACAACAATGAATAGGATCTTATTTCGGATATTCTTTTGTCTGGCGAGTACTTCTACTTATTCATTGCATTCACTCAATCAGTTCTTCTGAATAGGCCATAAGACTGTTCTATTGTGAACTATTGAGCGATCTCTTCTATTTTCTTTTTCTCGTAGATAAGAAAGGAAAAGCAATTGAGGAGACTCTGTATAACATCGCATGTTTAAGCATCGCAAGAGAGAAAAATGTTAGAACGAAAGGAAGAGAAATGTCCCTGCATCCTGGAGAACACGAAGAAAAGAAAATAGATAGAATTCTTAGACTAACCAATTGAGATTAGAAGGAAATCGAAGTCATATGCTAAATATCATAGTACGATCTGCTTGTTTATAGTGCGAACATTCATTATGATAAATATTTATTTGTTGATTCAATTTCCGAGGTTTGTCTTGATAAGACATAATGATAATTGATTCATCGACTGACAATGAATAAATTCGTGTTTTTAATCGGGACAAAACATCGAAAATAGAACTCAAAATTGAGTTATATCAATTTCATAATCGAATATCCGACGATTAATTCAATCATAGATAATAAAAAATGTTACTTGATACGACTAGAATCTACTAAATCGTTTAATTTCATAATAAATGAGTACGCGACTGAATTTCTAGTAAAATTTTTCTGCTTTTATTTCTTTTTTATCATTCAAAACAAAACAAAACAAAGGGTATCAATTGATAACTGCTGTAAGTAATTTGTCTCTTAAACAAGAAAGAGTAATGAGAATAGCTTCTTCTGTACGTATTGTGCGACTTCCTTGTTGTGGACAGGTATTGAGATAGAAATGAAATAGCTGCTCAGCTGTCACAGAATCTTCTTCTTGTGCAAATGCTTTCTCAAGACCTTGCAGACCACCAAACACGATCAAAGCATGTCGAAAACGAGGAAATTCAGTAATTTTATCGTATGATGTACCACGCTCAGATGTCCCAATAACGAGATCATACTTTGCTGGGTGACTATCACCGTCATCAAATGGACAATCTTCAACAACTGTTCGAATTGTTTCAGCTTTCCGTACTTGATAACCCCAATAGAAAGCTACATGAAAATTGCGTCGTTTTAAGATTCACTTATTTAGATAATCTCACCGGACTCTAGACGAGGCGTACTCGGACTGACAATTTCACCTGGAATTCGTTTTTTCTTATTTGTCTGTTGAGTATCATCTAAAAGGACAAAACAAATAAAAAAAGCCTTTTTATGTCTTCGAACTCGCTTGAAACTTACTTGAAAGCTCTTTTGTTTGAAAGTATTCTTCCGGTGTTATATCAGTTCGTCGAACTGTAACACGGAGGCCTTGTTGCAAACGCTTATCAATCTGTACTTTGGTTTCGTAGAGGCCTACATCAACCCATGATCCTTTTCCGTCAGCAGGTCTCAATGGTAAAGTTACACCTTCCCGATACAGCCAAAACTCATTCGTACGCAAATGGTGTGGTGCATCTAAGGGATTGAGTAAACCGGCATATTCGAGTAATTTCTGTCGAGGAAAGAATTGTTTTCGAAGATATTGTGGACTAAACATGCATAGAAATCGAATGAAAGGAAACGATTATTTGGTTGAAAATCTACCATTCAAGATATTCGAGAAGTCGAATAAGTTGTTCACTTGCACTAAAGGGGTTATTATCAACTTCTTCAACAGTTTCGTCATCGTTGAAAACAATGATTTCATCGATATTAAAAACGCATGCTGCACGACCAATTTGGCCGGCTAGATAAGTTCGTAATTCATTCGATTGAGCATTGCGCAGAATCGAAGCTGGTAAAGCGATGGACAACGTATACGAGCGACCCTTGATTGGTTGAGATGTTGATTTTGATGTTGTTGTTGTAGTCGTTTCTTGTTCGAAAGTTTCGACTTGTTCAGCGTCAAGTTGCTTTCTCAAACGAGCATTTTTCCATGCACGAAGTTGTTCTTTGTATCGACGCCAATCAGTTGAATTCACGGCTGAGTTTGCTGGACGCACAGGTCGAGAAATACTTGGATCGTCGGACATTTCTTCTCAAACGTATGATTATGATTATGAAAAAAATTTCGATACTCTCTAGTTGGCTCAATTTCTATTGGTCTTCTAAAGTCAAGCAATCCAAATGGTTCTCCTCTAGATGTCGTGTTCAAATAAGAAGTTTTCTTATTCCCAATATCGGGATTCTCAATCCAAAAATTTAGTTGTAAAAGAATTTATTTCGATTAGACAAAAAAGATACACATGATGAATGTACTGTTATTGTTCTTTTTAGATCTTTGGATTATGTGGGTGAAGGAATTTCATTTGATATGCCTGATGGTAATGTTCGTTTGATCGGCGGTAACTGTGGACTGCTTCGTCTTAGATCTCCGCTTACTGAGTTGACTGGTGTACGAGCATCTGTTACTAGCCGCTTACCTATTTCATATTTTTGTGAGAAGATTTGAAATCTAAATGAGATGCAAATAAATTACCTGATACACTGGAATGTGCTTCACGTGAAACGGTATGAATGACTTCATTCGTTTTGCCTGATCGAATATTTCCAACACAAGGTCTGGATAGAGCCAAATAGGAACGCAAATTCAACGAGGGCACACACGGATCGATTGAGTCGTTTGTATAAGCGGAGAGTAGTTGTGTGCTAACATGTGACATTGGCATTAATGTTCTTTGAATATCATACTCCTGTAGACGGGGTAGATCAGCTAATTGTACGGTGAATTGTTGGGCTTCATTCGAATCATTTTGTTGACGAGTTGGCGATGTACGCTGTGGAACAACACTTTGATTGATCTATTAGTAATGAAAACTATGTTGACTATCGGTAGGCTCTTGTTTGTCTTACATTGAAAAATCGTTCTTCTTCATCCGAGACTCGATAGGAAGACATCGGTGTTCGTGTGTATTGATTTTGTTCGTGTTGTTTATTTGGATGTTGTGATTGTCGAGTAGGATGAGGAGTCGTTTTCATCGGATTGTCATTTGATACAGCTTCACATCGACGTTTTTCTTGTTTCATGTACGACTGAACAGCAGCTCTTCATAAGTAAATATTCGATCAATTATTCAGTTAATAAACAGAAACCTACCGTCCTTGATAGGAATAAACTGGCCGTATTAGGAAAATACTGTTTTCATCTTCAAGATCATCGAATTTCTCAGTTAAAATCTGTGCTAAATGCGAACGTTGCTGTCTCGCATCTGATATTCGCTTTCTAATTTCATCCGAACGCTAAAGAGAAAAGTTCCTTTGGAAAATACAAAGAAAGATTCAAACACGACAAACCCGTTCGTATAATAATTCCATTTTCTCTAGCACATCTCTCGTATTACCATCTGCAAATTCGTTTTGAATACGATCTAAACACAAATTTTAACTTCCAACCTGCATGTTCATCGTTCATATACCTTCAATTTCATTCGCTCGACGGAAATGCATATATCGTTTAACAAGATTGGCTAATTGTTGTGATGGTAAATTGACATAGTCTTCCATGGCTTCATTTAATTCCTACGAAACGAGGCAGATGGTACATGTCAATAGGTTTTTTCTTCAATCGAATTCCTACATTGTAAGTTGTTTCGAGAACTTTGCCTTTATGAAGTGCCTGTTGAAGTGTTTGTTCATTTCGTTGTGCGTCAAGACGAGTGAACATGATGCCTGGCTCAACGATTCCTTCAGCTTCAATTTTTGAAAGACGTTTCTGCAGACGAATTACTTGTTGTTGAAGATTTTGAATCAATTTCTGTTGATCAACTATAAAGCGTTCATTTTGACTACAAACAATCAAGATTGATTGTGAAGAAATTCTATTACAATAATATTCACCTTATTTCTTCTTCACGTTTCGTATTCATTTCATGAAAAGCATTCGTCAATTGTTCATATTTTGTTGAAAGATCAATAATCATTGCGTCTTTTTGTTCGAGAAGTAATTTTTGTTGCTCATCAATCATCGAATGCTCTCGTGTAGGTTGTGTCGATAACTCTTTTAGATTTTCCTTCTCTTTCATTTCATATTCTTGAATCGACGAGATGAGAAGTGATAAACAGGATTGTAGAATTTTGCGTGTATCTTTTAGAGAACGTTCAGCATTATCAAGAAAAGTCTCGGGTGAATAATGATCATCGGATGTCAATGGTTTAATCATCAGAAGACGATCGGCAAGAGTGAGAAAGTTGTTTTGTTCAAGTAAACGAATAATCCATTGGCGAAATCTGTAGATTAGCTCGTAGAGATGATAAAAGGGGAGTTTACCCTCGTCCGCTTGAATCATTTGCGATGCAAGTCTAAAAGGACAAATCATGAAAATCGAATTGAACGAAAAATTTACGTTGGAAGTCGTTTTGAAGAACGTCGGGAAGTAACAGTAGATGTTTGCTGTTCATGATCATATCGACTAGTTGGTTCAACTTCTATAATAAGATCATTTTTTGTCTTATTCGAAACTTCCAATAGAATCTTACCTAGGAGAGTTCCTTGACGACTATTTTTATTATACGATGCATTGGATAGTCGACGCCGGAGTGAACCTTCAATCACAAATGAGATACACTTCGTGTAACGATAGTTTATTTTGTTTACCACTGTTTGTGTCGAGTGATAGAAATGGTCCTCCTTCTCGTAACGATGTTCTGCGCGACGGAGAAGGTTCTGGTTGATGAGTTCGATGTCCAAGTTGATTTTTTCGTTCTTCGATAAAGGACACATACTTTTCTCGTGATAGTGAACGTTCTTCTTTATCAGTTTCCTCATCGATGTTATCACTCTACAGATACAATTATCGAATAATTCACTGTTTTTGTCTCGAAATTAACTCGAGTTCTTACCTCGGAATCTGTTTGTTCATTAGATACTTCAATAATAGGAATGGAATTTTCCGGCGTGGAAAGAATTTCATGAACGTTTTCCTCGACGTCCTCGAATTCAAATCAAAGAATGACATATCCGTAAAACTCTAATATTCATCTTACAGTTTGACTTTGCTGATGCATCAAAACATGTTTCTAAATATTCAGACATAATTCTTTTGTAGAACAAACGTCTTTTTTTGAAATACCATACCACTTGCTCTTGTTCAGCTAATAGAGATTCTAAATGGCTCAATGCTTTTTCAGCTTTCATTTGTAGATCATGTGCACGTTCCGCTTTTTCGATTAACGCCTCGTATTCCTCAAAAGCAGTGGTATTACAAGGAGAATACGATCAAACAAATCTAATTGTCTCACTTTCTCTTGTGCTACTCTATAATCTTCAAATTCTTGTTTTAAATTTTCCAATTCTTCGTCATTTTTTAGTTTCTGCATTTCCAGTTGCTCTTGCAATAAATTATTGACACGAATCACAGCCTATCGAAAGAGTGCAATCAATGTTCACACATAAAAACGATTCACATACAAATTTCCGTAAATTAACGAATGCGTCTGTTGCATTGTCAGTTAGAACATTGTTCAAATCGATTCCATCGGGTACATTGAAGAATACATTTAAATCTGGAAGATCTGCATCGATAGGTATCGGCTGACTACGAGCAGGAGTTTCAACCGGCTGTGGAAGTGTTTGTGTTTGTCTTTCCTTAACAGAAAGGGACTGGTTTCGTTCACTAGTCGGCAAGGAGTAGAAATACAAACAACTGTGATTGGAGACGCTTCTTCGTCGGTTTGTGATGCATTATCGGTTTTGGGTACTAAATGAAGTAAGGATACAACGGTATCAGTCCTGTATCGGAGTGCGTACTAGATGGTTCTTTGATAATTACAGGTTCCTAGAATCAAATTAGCAAAAATTTGATTGAGATGAAATCTGACTTCATAGTATTGCTCACTGGTGGTGGAGCTTGTTGCATAGTTGTTATAGTATTGTTCAAATCTTCAATTTGTTGTCGCAGTTGTTGAATTGTTACTTCTAACTCTGTGATATTTTTATTTCGTGCTTTGATTTCTAGATTCTGTTGAACGGCTTCTTCTTGTACTTGTTTCTGTAGTCAAACGAAGAATGTTCATTCTCAACTTCCGGTATGTAATCGAATAATGCTTACAAGATAGTCCGTTTTGGATTTCAAATCACGCTGTAATGTTTCGTTAGCTTTCTCCAGTGCTTCGATCTTGCTGTCCTTATTGATCATTTCTACAAAACAAGTACGCTTTTACCATCGATTTGTGTAACTATTCATGTGACGTACCATTGTTGATTGATTCTAGTTTCTGCTGTAATGCAGATAGCTGATCTCTGGTCTCTTTTGTCGCTTGTGCTAGTTTCTTTTTACCTCTGAAAGTAAGATAACGCGTTGGAAATGATCAAATCCAAACACGCTCACTTGGCTTGATGTTTCGCTGCTGCGTTTTGGATTAGGTAAGTGACGATATCATCGTTTAGTTCATTCAATCGATTTCCTAATTGTTTAACATGCTGAAAGCAATCTTTGACATCGAACGACCGAAGAGCTATGTCAACTTCATCTTGTGCTTCGTTTTTAACGTCATATGTATTGAATTCACTTCCACTAAAACTCTGTTTTTGCTCGCTGAAAAACTAATGTGAAGAAGAACAACTTGAATGATTATCATTTTTTTAATCAACAATTGATTACTTGTTCGATTTGCTGAAGAAGACTGGCCTTTTCCGTAGCTAGTTCTGTTTGTCCGACGATAAAAACTGTTAAACGTTGTTTATACTAACACGAAATGACCAAATCATGCAATCAATCATTCATCAATTCACCTACTTTTTGCTTGGCTATACTATCATTCAATAGACTCTCTAATTCACTGATGTCCGCAAGATGTTCGACACTGGATTTGTTTCCTTGTGCTCCGCCATGTTGATTCAGAGCCGATTGTACTGAGTATTCGTAGTTATTCAATGTCTAAATGAGACGTTAAACATGTAATGAGAAGAAATTTCAGCCACCTACAGTATCGACACGTTTTAAAACTTTGCTTAATTCATCTTTGGTATGGTCGGCAATACGCTGCAAATGATTGCGCATGTTCTTTTCGACGACTTCTCGTCCTGGGTCTCGTTCATACCGATTCAATTCATCATCATCGGAATCGTCGTGATATCTGTATGACATTTGGCAGTTGCACACGTTGTCAAGTGTGTTGATTCAATTGACAAAGAAAGAAAAGAAATTGTCTAAATAAACTTTATTTAATATCAATTTCTTTCGCTTAGATTTCAGATTCAATAGGTTCAAATCGGTTTCTGTTCACTTCTTTTCTCTACATAGTTACAAATGAATATGAAGAATACGAAACATTACTGAAAACAATCTTCGATTCATCGACGCAACTTACCACGATTTCTACCTTATTTTTGCTTTGTTGATTTATTTACCATTCACACTGTTTATGTTCTGCCTGTATGACAGTTTTTTCTTTAAAGTGAAGAAAAATGAATTGGATTCTTGCACATGCACATACGTACGGAATCATTTTTTATTTGTCCTGCCATCGTCAACCTCCACACAAACATACTCTGATGGTACCATAGAAGCATTCGTTTTGATGCTCGAAGGAGAAAATAAACTCAAGAGAATCGACCAAATAAAAATAGAAATGATGATTTTATTTCGATAAAATAAAGCACAAAGATATGATCTTCGAATACAAGTTCAATCAAGATATCAAAGATATAAAATCACAATTATCAACAGAGAAGCTATCCATTGAAACGTCATCATTCGATTTGCTTTCGATTTCTCTGTTGTCGTTGTGAGCGTAGTAGTATTTCTTCTTCCCGAATTTGATCTTGTGGATGATTTTGCAGGCAAGGTAGAATTGGTTGCCATTACTGGTCGACTGGCAGTTCCGATTGATGTCGATTTCGATGTAACTGGACTGTCAGTTATTGTGACGATTGTTTGTGGTGATGGCATTAGCTCATACTGTTCTAGCAATTGTTGTACACTGGCTTCGATTTCGACTCCATTGCACATAGGTTTATTGCAAGCATATATATAGCTTCTTTCAGTGTAAAGCGCGGGATTAGTTGTGGTTTTTATGACAATACCAGATGGATTTGTACCTTGACCTTGAGAAACACAAATACGATCGACAGAAGTCGGACCACGGCAAACTAGGTGACAAAATCCGTTTTGACACTGTATCGTTTGACCTTGATTGTTAGCACATGTCAAGTCGGGAGAGTTTAATTGGGCAGAATACAGACGTTCTTGTAGTTTTGTACGAAGTTCAACATCATTGAAATTTTTCACTAAGAGAAACAATAACAAAGTATAGTTATATATGTGTGAAAGACACATTTAGAATCTATTGTTGATCTTTCAATATGAAGACTTATAAAAACAAGTTTACTAAACTTACTTCGTTTATAAATCTTGTTCATGTCTTCTGCACAGATGGTACTATTGAAACAGAATGCTTGCACGTCATGGAAAACAACATCTTTACTAAACCAAATCTTAATCGAATTCGTACTGATCATATGTCCATTGGTAAAAATGATTTCTTGTTCATGAAGATGATTGAATGTAACGTTAGCTGTTTTGCTTTCATAATCGATTGATAGCACTGACATACACATTTGACTATCACTGTACGTTACCCGACATTCAGGTCGTGCTGTATTGATAGTTTCTGATGAATTGAACACTAGACTTTGATGGCACACGGAACAGCGAAGTGCAAAAGTTAATGCAACGAAATGCAAAACGAAAAGAAACGTGAGTAGTGAAAAATACATCGTCAAGGTTTTAAATATGATGTACGGTGCAGTCGACTACTTCCGAGATATATAGTTTCGTGCTCTGGTCTTTTGGCGGATATTTTGCTTAAATATTGATTTCGTACTAATTCCCACTTTTATTGGAAATTATATTTACTTGTTGATAAACTTAATCTCACGCGTTTTCGTCTTTCTATGACTATGGACATATTTGAGAATAGCTTAGTTTCTGAGTTCTCATACTCATATATTGTCCTATTGACGTTCTACTACATAGAGCATTACTATTAAACTTCACAAAATATTTCGTTCTTGTCCTATAGATAATATTTGTAGGATGCCATTGACGTTTATTCGATTCAGTGTATGAATACAAAGCGGATACATCTTTGTGTTAAAAGATATCTTCATGAGGAGTATCATTTATAGATTTTTGAATATGAGAAATAAAATCAATTGAATACTAGCAGTAATACCAGGCAGAATTTCCATTGTGATGCCTTTTGATTTTGTAGTAGTTGTTTCAGCTGTGGTGGTGGTCGTTGTTGTTGTTGTTGTTTCCAACATGTATATTGGTGGTTCATAAAATGGTTCTAATAATCCGTAATCTTTGAGAGATTGTCGTACTTTTTTAGCCATGCTCATATTATTACATCGATTTCGATTACAAATATATATGAAAGAAGACTCGTTTTTAAAGCTGTCGACCATACTTGATGCAATGAAGATGCCCGGTGGTAAAACAGAAAATCCATTAGGAACACAATTTCGAATGTATTGTGACTCGCCATCATAAATTAACTGACACAAGCCATTCGGACAGGGTATCGTTTGATTCTGATTGTTGTCACAGGACAAATCGTCAGTCGCATTCGTAGAATTATACAAGTCACGTCGAAGTTCCGCTCGTGATCTACCGACTTCAAGTCTTCTACCTGTATAAACATGAAATATACATACGGAAAATGTCCATTATTTGTAATCTATACTTACCTAGGTCGTGAATATAACTAATATCGCTAAAACATGAATCGTTCGAGAAGCAGTAGACTTGGAATGTACGCTCAAATTCTGAGGTATCAAATCGCATCTTCGTACTATGTGTAATCATTCGAGTACCATCTGATTCATTCAATGATTCTTGGAATAAGCCATCCAAAGTCACTGCTGCATTATTTTCTGCAAATTTAAGTTGCAACGTGGCGACACAGATGGTACTTGTGTCATTTTTGAACGGACATCCAATCGGTATTTGACCCAATTGTGCGTTTAAAGCGAACGTTTGAGAGCATTGGCGACAATGGTATGATGCGACTGTTGTTGATAGTTGAGATATTAACACAAAACTCACTAATAACCAAACCATGGCTGTTGTTGAAGGAAGAAATTAGATTATATCGAATAGCTCAAGTTGTCAGTCACCAGCATATATATATACTCGAAATATTTTTGTAGATTGGCTCAAATTGTATTTAGTTTTACAGAAGAAAAATATTTTGATCAAATACAAGTGGTACCCACGCAGATCCTGCTGACGCACTTGCTTACGAATTTCATCAGAAGTATCAATGATTACTAATTTGAACTGAAATCCAATATAATCTTACCAAAGGATTATCATCTACAAAACAACTAAGACAATATTTGACATTCGGCAACCTTGAATGTGCACTGTTTCACCATCTTCTGGGATAATAATTCTCAGTGCGAAATTTGATCAATAGATCTTAGTTATCTAAAAGATCTATTAATAGTTCTGCTTAAACTATCCATTATCATCGCTAGCCTTGACTTTTTTCTGCAATCAATAACAGCTCTTAAATTTTTGTTGTAGTCGAAGCGAATCAGATACTTTTTGTCTGATATAACACACCAAACTTCTTTGAATTTTATACAAAAACAATTTTAACTGGAGTTCCCATACGAAACGACTTCGTTCATTTCTTTCCTTACAACTCAAGTGCGATATGAGTCATGTGTACATTTGTACAAGAAAAAAAACGACTCTCCTTTTCTCGCCATATCATTGCATATGCGATCACGAACAACAATAATCGAACAATTCCTGTGTAGATGTACGCCATCAGACCGACATAAGAAAAAGAAATTCATTTTTCTCGTTCTTTTCTGTTCTCTTTCTTCTGATATTTTTCATCCCGTGTCAAATTGAGTTGCCAGTTCGACATTATGTGTAAAAATACCATGCGAAGGATATTGTTCATCGCACGACGATACAGTAGTCATTACTTAATGCTTATCTGTCTTTGGTTATTTATTCATTCCTATCATCTTCAAATGAAAATTTCGAAAATGAATACGATCGACAATAAATCCAATCCAGTGAATATTTATTCATACTTCAAAGCGAATTCGTCAGATATTGCATCGTTTGTACCTAATCACAACATTCTGCTTATTATACGTACATCTAAAAACGGGCAAAAGCTACGCATGCCAGTTATTTTAGATACTTGGTTTCGATTTTCTCCTGCATCAACATACATAACTACGAACGGCGATGTAAACTTCTTCTACCAAAATCTTCCGCAAGAATATCATCGTCATGTATATTCAACAACTTGCCCACAAGCTCATACAATCCGTGATTTATGTTGTCATAGTGCATCGGAATTTTCGATCTATTTTCAAAATCAAAATCATTATCAATGGTTATGTCGATTTGACGATGATCAGTATGTAAACGTTCCGTTATTGGTCGATTACTTGCGACAATTTTCTCCCGAGAAAGAATATCTATATATCGGCAAACCGAGCATGAAAGAACCAAAACGTGGCCATGGAATACAGTTTTGGTTTGGAACTTACGGAGGCGGAATTTGTTTTTCTAAATCTCTTTTACATTTGATTCGTAACGACGTTCATCCCAATGAGAAATTTGTCAACGGTTGCATAGCATCGAGGTATCCAGATGATACTCACATAGCCTATCTACTCCGAGTCAAGTATAATATCAATCTGACTGTTGCTCAAGATTTCCATCATCATATTGAAACAGATTTATTTACAAATCTGACCAACCCATCGAATATCGATCAAGCGATTACTCTTGGTTTCAAAGGCCCGACTGTTCCTCGATTTCAACCGTTGAAAGAACATGATGTACATTATATGTATACATTACATTGTTTATTATACCCAACTCGTGAATGCATGCGGCGAGTACGAATCTTATTGAATCGAGTTTATGAAGAAAAGCAGAGGAAAAGTTGATTTATTGTTCTAGAAGAGTTCTATTTTTCAGCACAATGGCTACTATTTGTTTTACTATGTTTTTTTTTCTAATTATTTAAATAGATTTATCACAAACAGAACAAAACCGGTTTCGATCAAAATGTACATTTAGCATTGAAAAATCTACTAAGCTTCTAATTTGAATGACTAATGTCATTGGTAGAGGGTCTTCTTCTTGTTTACATTCCCAAGGGTGACCCTGGTGATATTTGTTGTGGAAGAGCAGAAGCCGGTGTTGACGGTTGAGAACTACTTGCTGAGGGTGTTGCTTCGAGATTGATTAATAATTGTACTAACCATTTTTTAGTTGATTGATCGTCTTTGAGAACATTGTCCTAAAAGAATGAGAAAGAAAAAGGTTCGAGTTCGATTAAAGATAGTTTCGTTTTTACAAATGTATGATCTCGGAGACAATCAGGAAGACACGAGCGGAGAGCTTCACGAGCACGTGGATTATCAGATAGACGTAGATAACATCGAATAATATGTTTTAACAAGCGACCACTTGCTTCGCGTTGCTAGAAACAAACGAAAATGTCTTTGACAATAGAAACTCTTCTCTGAACCTGTTGAAGAACCATTCGTCCAAGAACCATGGCAACGTGTGAGAACCGATCGAACGTTTGACAGATATAATTCAATCCTGAGTCATCGGCGAGAATTTTCTGTAGAATAAATGTTGCTACTGTCTTAGATAATTCACTACCGGATTGCATAATTCGTAATGACAATGGAATAATCTCAGTGGTTAGCAAGAAATTGATCACCTCTGTTTCATCAGTTTTAACTAATGCACCAATGACACCTAAGGATGTTAAACGAAGGTACTCAAACGGCCGTGTGGATGATTTCGTATTCAGGAACGGATAGAGAAATAAGGGAATATTTGCTTGAATGAACAACATGCGGGTTTCAGGATGAGATGCAATACATTGTAATAAAGCTAAGGCATTACAAACACGATTGGATTGCTGAGCTGTTAGAGTCGGTGGCGTGATGTATGGATAAACGGAACTAAAATGAAGAATATTCAATAGTTACGATAAAGGTTTTCATGAAATATGATGACTGACATCACTTCGTAGAGAAGTACAGCAACGGATCCAAAGGAGTGCCAAAGTAAAACTGGAAGATCAGCAACCTTTTCTCGTTTACGACTCAATTCCACTAGAGCAGCTTCGCGTGTTGATGATGAAAGTAACTCGTTGATCCAAGTAGCAATACGCTCGCGTGAGATCGGCGCGTTGTTTGCATTCGCTGTAGTTTGACCAGGACTTGTATTGGTAGTGTTAGCTGCTGCAGATAGTGAAGTGTTACTATCAGCCCTTGATAATCCTGCTGGATTTGACATAGGTAGTGACGAAGTATTGGATGACATATTTTGTCTAATGTAGAAATGTAGTAACGAAACAACTGCAATGAGGAACGATTTAGCGGGGGGAAAATCTCGTGTTTGTTTATTAGCAAGGTACAAAACAAGCTTTTCCCTTCTATTCTGTTGTTTTTTTTACGAATGCGATGAAATCTATTTGCTTTAGCCTACCTAAAAGTGTAATTCGTTTTTTAGCTTATCTTGATATTTTATTGGTTTACTAAAGAATCCTATTACAAAAATTGCCAAAATGGTGTCGCTCATTGATACACATAACGTCCGAATGAGTGTGTTCGGAAGTTTTCGAAAGATAAAAAGAACAGTAAACGCGCCTAAATCCAAATCTTGTTTTTCTTCAATTGCAATCTGTTTATGTCATCAAAAACATTAGTAATTTTACATAGAGCAACTGAATTTAACATGTTTTTTTTTCTATTTTCAATGGCAGAAAACATACTCCATTTCAAATACCCAATATGAACTATACAATGCTCGACTCATTGAAGATTTTGAAAGACGCTATGAATCATCCTATGAAATGGCACATGACATCGACTTGAATAATTTTGAATTGGTCATGACGCTCGGACAAGGCGCTTTTGGTATGTCAGTCGTGTACTCCCTAATAAAGTATTCAATTCATATTCACTAGGTCGAGTAATACTGGTAGTACTCGAGCCGGATAATGTTGAATATGCTCTGAAAGTTCTAGATAAGTCTCGAGTTGTGAAATATAATCAAATAAAACATGTTCAAAGTGAAATACGTATCCTCAATGCTATTCAACATGCGAATATTATTCGAATGTATTCACTTTTCCAAGACAACTCTCATCTTTATGTCTTATTAGAATATGTAAATATCCGATGAAGATGCAAACTCTTTTTCAACTATGAGCTGCATTTCAAGGTTCATGGTGGTGACTTATTCAGTTATTTGAATCGAGATCGATTGTTTCCTGAACATATTACTATCTTCTTTGCCGCTCAGATCGTTCTTGTATTCTTTCGGATGATTCTATAATCAAACCTATTTGTTCTATCTTTCAGGTATTTGAATACTTACATTTGTTCAATATCATCTATCGAGATCTGAAACCTGTAAGAGTTCAATTGTTCTTTTTGATTTTAACGATGATTTACTTAGGAAAATATTCTAATGGATACTCATGGATATTTAAAAGTACAAGAGTTCCTTTTTTCGAGTTCATTTCATCACTATCTTTGCAGGTTGCTGATTTTGGTTTTGCAAAACGCATTCGTCAACGAACATACACACTCTGCGGCACACCTGATTATTTCAGTCCTGAAATCATCCAATCGAAAGGTTTAATCAAAAGCAAAAAATACCTTATTAGATCATCTTTCTAGGTCATGGTAAAGCAACTGATTGGTGGACTTTAGGAGCAAGAATGCCTTGATATTCTCTCAAAACTTGCTCATTAAACGAAGGCTTTCTTTCGTTCTAGGTTCTCATCTACGAAATGAACACGGGTAATCCACCGTTCAAAGGTCAATCCGAAGATCTGCTTTTCAAAGCAATATGTCGAAAACGACCGCCAATACGTAAAAAATTCTCAGTCGATCTCAAACATATTATTCTCCGATTACTTCAAAAGAATCCTACGAAACGATTAGGTTCAAGTGCAAGAGGATCGACGGATGTCAAAGAACGTAAATATTAACATAAAAAAGGCGAAAACGCCAGACACACATTTGTTTTTCATTTGTATAGATCTTTGGTTTGATGAGATCGATTTCGATATACTTTACACTCAACAACTTCCATCACCATTCTATGAAAACGTTCTACGAAAGTCCTTATCTGATTATCGTCGTGAAGTACTGCAACGCAATGAAAAGCCATTGGTAATTGCCGAAGAAGATGATTATATCGAAATGTTCAAGGATTTCTAGTGTGAAGGAGATTTCTTTCTTTCTTCCTCTACAAGTACACTAACAAAACATTAAAACATTTTCTATCATGTACGCATATGTCATTGAAAGGAACGTCATTCAATCGAAACGTATTGATCTATGATGATTGTTATTTTGTTTCTCACAGATCACAATACTCTTTTTATCGAATGATACGAATGCTGAATAACAAAATCCTATTTGCCTTATATAATTGGATTTGATTTGATACATATTGGAAAAGAAAATCGGAGACAACTTCTAATGCATTCTACTGTTTACTTGTTTTGATGTTTGTCTTGTTCTTTGATTTTCACCTGTACATCTTTCTCTCTCTTTTTGATATGTTTGTAAGGATGACTACACAAGGTGTGGGTGGTCTCGTGTAAGAATCAGAAAATATGAAACAAATTATTACACGATTGCTGACAAATTAACAAACAGAGTATGAGATATGGCCGTTTCGAAATTTGAACACTTACCGGATGAAATCATTCTCGCAGTTTGCTTATATCTACGACCATTTGAAGTTATTGATGGCTTTGGTCAACTTAACTGGCGTCTTACCAGAACAATCAGTCAATTTCGACGCGATTCAGACATACATCATTTAACCTTGACTCAGTATCAACGTTGGTATTCGTATTTACTACCATCAACATCGAAACATATCACCAAGTTCGTCCTAAGTAATTGGAATGCTCCGGGACAAATTCATTTGTTCAATCAATCAACAAAATATTACACTTCACTTCGTGATTTCCTACCAAATCTCACCCAACTTCGTTTAATCGATTTTAGTAATGATGATGTAGATATTCTTCCTAAACTCGCAATGATCGATAAAATTCTTATTGATATCGATGCGTTAAGACCGTTACTCTATTCGACGAAACTTCTCCTCGATCGATATCTTTTCTGTTCATCGTTTCCATTTAAAGAAGTTCGTCTGTGGGTTGGTGATAATGGCATTCGATTACAACACAACACTGATCTAATTGTCAATCCACATCTTGAACAATTGACAATCATTGTTGCACATATTGACGATTTGATACTTCTTTTCAAACGTTCACCAAATCTAATCAAACTCTATGCTGAAATCAATTCTTTCACAGCCGATGAACCGAAACAATATGCAACAGCAGAAGTGATGCCAAAGAAACTAACCGACTTTCACATTCAAACAAACGATCAAAAGGCCTTGACGTTCGACGATCTATTTNGGGTGGTGAAGATTTCGATCAACGAGTGATGGAACACTTCATCAAGTTATTCAAGAAGAAAACTGGCAAAGATGTTCGCAAAGATGTCCGTGCAGTACAAAAACTCCGACGAGAAGTAGAAAAAGCGAAGCGAACATTGTCATCTCAACATCAAACAAAGATCGAAATCGAATCATTCTTTGACAATGAAGATTTCAGCGAAACATTAACACGAGCCAAGTTCGAAGAACTCAACATGGATTTATTCCGATCAACAATGAAACCTGTGCAAAAAGTAATGGAAGACGCTGATTTGAAGAAGAGCGATATTGCCGAAGTTGTTCTCGTTGGTGGTTCAACACGTATTCCAAAAGTTCAACAATTAGTTAAAGAATTCTTCGATGGCAAAGAACCATCCCGTGGTATCAACCCCGATGAAGCTGTTGGTAAGTCATCTGAATTTCCTATGAAATTATGTTCATCGATTTATTTCATTGGTTTCTGCTTTTAGCTTATGGTGCTGCTGTTCAAGCTGGCGTTCTCTCAGGTGAACAGGACACTGGTGATATTGTTTTACTCGATGTCAATCCATTAACGATGGGTATTGAAACAGTTGGTGGTGTTATGACAAAGATCATTCCACGTAACACAGTCATCCCAACAAAGAAGAGTCAAGTCTTCTCGACCGCCGCTGACAATCAACCAACAGTTACCATTCAAGTATTTGAAGGTGAACGACCCATGACCAAGGACAACCATGTGTTGGGCAAATTCGATTTAACCGGTATTCCACCAGCACCTCGAGGTGTTCCACAAATTGAAGTCACCTTCGAAATCGATGTCAACGGTATTCTGAAGGTAACTGCAGAAGATAAAGGAACAGGAAACAAGAACAACATTGTCATCAACGCAAACAACAACCGATTATCACCAGAAGAAATCGATCGTATGATTAAAGATTCGGAACGATTCGCAGATGAAGATAAGAAAGTGAAAGAACGCGTTGATGCTAAGAACGAACTTGAATCGTAAGTTTCTCTTTCTTTTTGGTTATTTGTGATAGTAAACTGGTTTTCTTTTGAAGGTATGCTTATTCGTTAAAAACTCAATTGAGCGATAAAGAGAAACTTGGTGGCAAGCTTTCAAGCGATGACAAATCAACAATTGAAAGTGCTGTGGAAGAACAAATCAAGTGGCTTGAATCGAATCCAGCTGCTGAAGTAGATGAATTGAAAGAACACAAGAAACAACTTGAAGAAATTGTCACACCAATCATGACCAAACTGTACGGACAAGGCGGCGGTGCAGGTGGTGCTGGAGATGTTCCTCCACCTCCTCCACATGGCCATGATGACGATAGCTTGTAAGAAGCAAGATTAGGCTAATGAAACGATAGGAGGTGGTCAGATTTGTCTATATTTATTTATGCTTGTTATGTCCATTCCAATGTTTTCTCTTTTTGTGTCTCATTGTGTCATGAAACAAAATAATTGAGCACTAACGCGCTTTTTGTTTATCTATTTGTTTAGTTCACCGTCTAGTTTTTTTTATTTATATTGTTATTAGTATACGAAACGTGCGACTTTTTTGTTTAAATATATCTACACCGACACTAAAATAAAACTCTTAAACTAATTCATATCATACTTCTACCTCGATTGTAGTACTACTTTTCACAAACGGATTCATCTGCTTTTCGTTAACATCACATTATTGAATGAAGCATAGCTAAATACATTTTCCTTGGAAGACATGCAATGCTGCGGTCCGTATTGACTTTGCTACAGCCGATTTACGCGTTGACTTATGCCGAAATCTTGAGGGTGAGGGTGTGTTTGCGCTACGCTTCTGATTTGTCCATCCTTTTTGCTTGACAACTCTCGAGATTCGTCTGTCACTAACGAGGACTGTTCGAAACTACTCTTGGCTCTGTTCAAAGTAATAATATATTCGAATATATCACGGATAAATTCCAACCAATGGAAGAAGGCAACGTACATATACATCATCCCATTTGAAATCATGTCAATTACATTGCCTCATTTTCCTTTTTCCTATCGTATATAATGTGTAGTTGTGGTGAGCAAACTACGTGAACTATTTTTCTTCTTTCTTACACTTGAACACACGTTGGCAATGAAAAACTGCATACTTTACCTTTCTCTCATCCTTTTCTATCCTATTGTCTTTATTCAATCAAGTGACTCAAAAAGTGCGTTCTCTATACTAACTCAATGAAACATCGCTAAATATACACTTTTTAGGCGACTACACCATTGTAGGCATTGACTTGGGCACAAGCAATTCACGCGTTGCATTCTACACAGATCGGCAAGTCGAAATTATTGCCAATGATCAAGGTAACCGTGTCACACCATCCTATGTTGCATTCACTCCTGAAGGTGAACGTCTCATTGGGGATGCTGCCAAAAATCAGCTCACTTCGAATCCTGAAAGTAAGTTTTCCATCTGTCTCTGCTTCTCCTTTCGTCTACTTCCATCTCTCGCCTTCTAGACACTGTTTTCGATGCTAAACGTCTCATCGGCCGTGATTTCAATGAACCAAGTGTTCAACAAGACATCAAACACTTTCCATTCAAAGTCATCGAAAAGAACTCAAAACCAATCATCCAAATCAGTACTGGCAAGGAACAAAAGCTTTTCACACCCGAAGAAATCTCAGCTATGGTTCTCGGCAAGATGCGTGAGATCGCTGTAAGTCACTTCGCGTCTCTACTACTCATTCATCATTCGTTGGTTCGTTGTAGGAAGCGTACCTTGGAAAGAAAGTCACTCACGCTGTTGTCACCGTTCCTGCTTACTTCAATGATGCTCAACGTCAAGCCACGAAAGATGCTGGTACCATCTCGGGCTTGAATGTCATGCGTATCATCAACGAACCAACAGCTGCTGCTATTGCTTATGGATTAGACAAGAAAGAAGGTGAAAAGAATATTCTTGTCTTCGATTTGGGTGGTGGTACATTCGATGTGTCATTGTTGACTATTGACAATGGTGTGTTTGAAGTCGTTGCTACCAATGGTGATACTCACTTGGGTGGTGAAGATTTCGATCAACGAGTGATGGAACACTTCATCAAGTTATTCAAGAAGAAAACTGGCAAAGATGTTCGCAAAGATGTCCGTGCAGTACAAAAACTCCGACGAGAAGTAGAAAAAGCGAAGCGAACATTGTCATCTCAACATCAAACAAAGATCGAAATCGAATCATTCTTTGACAATGAAGATTTCAGCGAAACATTAACACGGATTGAGTTTGAACAATTGAACGAGGATTTGTTTGAGCAAACATTGAAGATTATGGAACAAACGTTAAAGGATAATAGTTTTAATAAATCGATGGTCGACGAAGTTCTTGTCATTGGCGGATCAGCATATATTCCGAAAGTTCAGGAACTAGTGAAAGAATTCTTCGATGGCAAAGAACCATCCCGTGGTATCAACCCCGATGAAGCTGTCGGTAGGTTCAGGTGACTAGTCTGCGATAATCAGTGAGTTCTATGTAACCTTTTTGTAGTTTACGGTGCTGCTGTTCAAACTGATCTTCTTTCGAGAGACGATGGGTCTGATATTCTGTGTTGTTTGGATTTGGCTCTTTTAAGCATGGGTATTGAAACAGTTGGTGGTGTTATGACAAAGATCATTCCACGTAACTCACTCATCCCAACAAAGAAGAGTCAAGCCTTCTCCACCGCCGCTGACAATCAACCAACAGTTACCATTCAAGTATTTGAAGGTGAACGACCCATGACCAAGGACAACCATGTGTTGGGCAAATTCGATTTAACCGGTATTCCACCAGCACCTCGAGGTGTTCCACAAATTGAAGTCACCTTCGAAATCGATGTCAACGGTATTCTGAAGGTAACTGCAGAAGATAAAGGAACAGGAAACAAGAATAGTATTACAATCGGTTCAAATACCAATTTATTATCACCAGAAGAAATCGATCGTATGATTAAAGATTCGGAACGATTCGCAGATGAAGATAAGAAAGTGAAAGAAGGTATCGAATGTAGAAATGAATTAGAAGCGTAAGTTATATTTCTTTGTTTTGAAAAGATTCAGTATTTTTGTTTTTATGTATGCGTCGTAGTTCGTCAAAGACTGAAGCAAATTCAAAAACTGTATCTGAAAACACTCAACTAACACCAAGAAAAACGTCTGCTGTTACTACAACGGACGCCATATGAACTATAAAATTGACAGCACTGTAATAGATTATGTTCAGAAAAAAACTACTCGTTTGTTTCTTTTTCTTTTCTTCAATCTGACTAATAAATTTCAACATGATTTATTTTCTTAACAATAATCGGTACTAATAACAATGAATTAGCAAATAACAAACAATATTATTGAAATTGTTGTTGATGTTGATAAGTATTTTGGTTAGCAACGTAGCGGTAATCGATGCGATTGGATGGTGGTGGTGGTGGTTGATATGTTGACGGACGATCAAATCGCGGCCGTTTGTTTTGCCATGATTGTCTTGGATTATAATAATTGTTATTCTGTTGATAAGTACGTTTATTATTGCCACTGACGAATTGTTGATTTTCTAGAGATGTTCAAGAACACAAATTAACAATTCTAAAAAGCGAAACTGAACATACGTGGCCGAAATGTATTTGGTAGATGAAAATTATTCTGTGGATGAAACTGGTGATTATTATTAAACGATCGTGGTTGATAGTTTGTTGTACGATTAAATTCTCCTAAATGCCAAAAAGTTATATTCTACGGATTTCGCACATTAGAAGTTACCTGAATTGAATTGCGATGGATTTTGTTGGTGAAAATTACCGCGTGGTCGATAGCCTTGACCACGAAATGTTTGTCTTCCTCGCCCACGTCCTCGTCCACCGCCACGATTAAATTGATTATTATTATTATTTCCTTGCTGATTGTAAATGTTCTGCATGACTTGTTGAGCAAGTTGAGTATCGAAACGTTTAATGTCTTCTTGCATATTTTCCACTGTGATCGGCTCAAGATTATACTTCATGCGGTATTCTTCAGGTATTTTAGGCATTTGTTGAATACCACCATTGCGTTGCTCGTGAGACAATTGATTGAAATTCAAATATGTCTAGGAAAAACCAAAGAAATACTAGGCAAAGTTGAATCTGAATCGTTACTGCAAGTCGAGGGATATTGTCTTGATCATTTTGACGACGTTTTCGCAGTATATCTCGATGATTTTTCCAACCAAGATGCTATGATAAATGAAATGGAGGATATTGAAATGATTTCTATCGATCGATGTCTTACTTTCTCAAGTGAATGTGTCGATTCAAATGATTTTTTACAAAATGTGCAGTAGTACGCATTTTTCAAACTTTTAATCGACGGCGGAATTCGATAAGCGTTCACACGATTACGGTAATAATTCACTTTCTCTAATTCGATGAATTCATTTAACAAACGTCCAGTAAACAAACTCTAAAGACATTCTATCATCTATTGATACATCTTTAGAAGAACACTCACATGTTGCACGGCTCGTCGATATGGCGGAAGATGCTTGAGATTCTTCTCATGCTTTTCACTTGATTCAAAATGCTATAGTGAAATCAAATCATCATCAGCGAAGTTGTCGTATGCAGAATTCGACTTACGCATATAATTGCTTTTCGTTTTCGAAAACATTGCTTACATATGTCACACCTTAAAAATGCATACTTTATCGATAGAGCAAACTTTCGATTTCAATACAAACCAAAATCCTGGTTTGCTTTCTTGACGATGAAACATACGCCATGTTTGAATGGAATGCCCAATCAAACGTTCACGTTCCGGTTCAACGTTTGTATAAACACAAAAGTCTAATACTTCCTAAGAGTAAGTATTACGTTGTTTTAAATCAATTGATTGGGAGAGAATTACTTTGATAATTTGCTCGTCAGTTTTTCCCGTGTCGTCACAATATCGTGGAACAGTCCAAACGTGATCGACTTCTTTGCGACAGATATCTTTAAAGATAGAAGTTCAGTGTATATTATATGCTGATAAGTAATTTCATACCTCGAGCAACAAAGAAACTCTGGGGTGGCATTTTGAATCGATATTTTTCATGGTCCTGATTGAATTTATTTACGAGATTTTGATAGAGTTCATCATATGACACGGCATGTTGATATTCATATTTATTTTGATTATATTCCAATGTACCACTCATACTGGAATCGACAAGTTGAACAACTATTTGAACACTTTCAAACGGAGTCTACAAATAATTCGAAAATCATCTCTTTCTCCTTGCATTATATACCTTACTTTGTTATATAGTAGCAAATTGACAAATACTTCAACAGGTGGTGTTTCAATAACACCACCTTCCTACAGATTTCCAGAACGTAGGCTAATTGAATTAGGTGAAAAGTAAAAACCTACTCCTAAGCGTTTCTTCTCATCACGACGTTTGTATCGATGTTCTGTAGAGACGAAATGTTCTCGATATCCTTCGAATTTACTAAAGGATGTTGAGCATAGTTTACACATAAATGGTTTAACTTGACCATCGTCGACAGGTGTCTCCTCTTCAATCGATTCTGCTTGTTCAATTTCTTCCTGATCGTCCTCTTCCGGTTCGTCATCTTCTATTGCAAAACTTCTAAAACATATTTGAAAAGTCTGTTATATCAAAGATTGAAGTTCGTTCTCTCTCTTACCCTTCATCATCTGGATCCAATAAAGCTTCATAACCTTGTGGTTGATCTTCCTCATTTTCATCTTCCTGATTCCATTCTTCATCTTCATCATCATTAGCAAACATTTTCTTTTCTACAACAATATATAAAAAAAAGAAACTTAACTGTTTTCTGTAATTAATATTATCTGAGCATGAAAATTGATTTATTTAACAACAATGATAAAATAAATATGACAAGTTAATCCAATTCAATCGCAGATGATGTCCTTTGCAGTAGTTTCTTCGCACCAATTGCTACAATGACGGAATTCGAGATGAGAGGATGACGTAGAAGAGTGGAAAGACTTACCACCGACTTTACACACTTCACAATCGATTTGAAACTCAACTAATTTATCGAGCCAGACGATCTGATGGAATGAAAGACGATCATTATGACTTTTGACTTCGACAAACTAACCAAAAGAACGTTAAATTCGAAGATAACGAATATTGTATTACTTTGCATTTTTTTGTAATCGGATTCCATACGAATAAATCTGGAAAACCTTTCCAGACTGCCCGATTGTGTACAAACGTATAAGTCGATATCGATTGAATTTGTTCGGGAGTTAAACATTTCAGAGCATCCTACAACATACCATTCAATTCGAAGCACAAGCCGAAAGATATTCATACTATTAATGTGGGTTTCGTTTGGAATAACTCCCAGTTAACAACGGTACTCATTGTCAAGTTGTACATATCCCAGTTTTTCTCGGCAATTTCTTGGATATTCTAGAAAATAAATTGTTCGCTGTTCCGAGTATGCCTACGTTCTTACTTCTTCGCAATTCAAATAACTAATTCGTTGATCAATTTCCATTTGACGGGATTTATAAAAACTATCGGTTTGAAAATCCAACGGTTCAGTTTGAAATATATCAATCAATAAATCTGGTGTCGGCAAGGTATAAATCAGATCAAGAAATAAAAGGCCAACTACTGTTCGAATAACTGCTCCTTCCGAATGAATACCTTCAACATCAAGATCTAACATACATTTAAACATTAGTGGATTCAAACTTTTACCGAAAGTATAATCTTCTTGTGTGCGATAGTGGTGAATGGCTAATTGTTCGACAGTACAAAATTGAATCGATCCATCGACAGGATCTTGAATGGTATACGTCACTTTACCCATTCGAGCATCGTTTGCGAGTAAACGACCAGTAACGTCAACCTAATCAATTGAGATTGTAAAAACCGGCTTTTTCCAAAGAAAAATCTCACTTCTTTCGGCATCGGTACATTCCACATGAGTTTTTCTTCCTCATCAACTATCCATGTTGCGACTAATGTTCCTTTCGACTTCGGTCGTGCCATCAATTTTCTTGCACGTTCACATAATGCTAATCGATCGCCTAATTTTACATATGGATCCTTCAGTGCTTCATAGATAGTGTTTAGACATTGCTGATGGCCGTGAGTTTTAATATAATTTTCTTGTATTAACGCTAAACGATTCCATAATTTACCTCGACGATGCCGATTATACATCGTTCGACCTAAAATTAAATGAAACTATTGGCTTTGCTTTCATATACGTATAACTAAATTGACTTAGAAGATATTGAATTAGTTCGATTGCTTGTTCATATTGTCGGGCTCGTTGTAAAACTTCGGTTAGAGATGATAAAATCCGAGCACGAACATAATCTGGAGAAAAACGACGAAAATAACCAGGTAATTGTTCACTAAAATGATCAACTTCACGCGTTCTGCTTTCCATAAACTCATAAGCAAATACTCGACTGATGATGAATCGATCATCGCACGCCATTGTTCATTGTACTTTTCGTAAAATTCCACTAAGTTATCCGTATTTTTCGCTTGTTCTAGTTGATTGTATTCCGTTTCCAGATCGATCGCTGCTTGATATCTACGATATAAAGTAGAAGAACACTGTCTTTCGTTCCATACAACCACATTGACATCTTACACTTGAAGTTGTTCAGGTGTTTTGAATGGTAGATGCTCATGACTAATCTGTTCTTCATTCCATGGTAATCGAAGCTGACCACGAATGATTTGTAATGTTTTATACCTAAAGAAGTCTTTGAAAACACGCCAATTGAGTGTATTGCATCTTACAGAAGAGTGAAACCATTTTGATCTAAATCGTCCATTGCTAACAGTGCAACAGGATGATAAGTTAACATCATTCGAAAGAATAACCCACGAATATCTTCCGAGATCTTGTAACAATTGTTGAGGATTCGTTTCAATCTAAATCAATTGATGAGCATAATCTATTCGTATTAGTTTGTATATGAAATTTCGTACTCTTTGAGTAATAGATGATCGCGATTTGTTGTTGTGCTCGAGCCAAACACGGATTTATATTGATTTGTTAAACCTTTCAAATTTTCGATCGAAGTCTTTTTCGATTTGCTAGTTTTCGACTGGCAATGAAATCGTTTGGAAAAGTCACGCATTTCTTCACTTGATAATAAACGAAGACCAGCATCTAGATCATCCAATGATGAAACTAATTATGAACAAAAATTTAACTTTTGTCATTCGAATAGATCAAACATTTCTTACTGTCTTGTACTAAGCCAATTTCAACTAGTGGTGTTAGATTATCTGTGTCATTGGCTAAATCTGGAATTTCATAGTTGATTGTCGAACGTCGGATCCATTTACATCGACGCATTAATAATCGAACGAAAATGACTTGTGACGAAGCTGAACAGAAAAGATAGATTCAAAGAAAACAAACAAACAGTTACCAACCAGATAAGTTCCGAAATTTATTGAATAAGATTATTTCGTTTTCATTGAACAAACATTTGTGATGACGAAGTAATGACGAAAGGATCAATAGGAATCTATCCAAGTAAAATTGATTTAACGAGAAGTTTTCTTCATTGCTTGGCAGACTTGTATCAGACCGGATGCGCTTCAATTTCTTCTTCTGCTCATCATCATCATCATTGGTTGATAAACGTTTCTTCACCGCTGTTGACTGATCATTATTCTCCGTTGTTGAAGACTTCTTAACCGTGAAAAATTTATCCAATCGACTTTGTTGCATGTCGGTTGATTCTTTTCAAAAGACAACGAATGTATGTAGATGAATTTGTTTTTCCAAAGATAAATATATTTATTCATATATTTTGCTTTTCAAAGAAAGAAGAATTTTAGAAAATATAAAAGTTTTGATGACGATAAATATATATAGACAACCACCAAGAGTACACATGTGTACACATTATGGGTATATACACAAAAAAAGAAAACAAAACGAGTGTATATATGTTCTACCATGTCTAGTGTAAATTATGCGCAAACGAAGCAAAATTGCACAAAAAAAGACAAATAAAGAAGGCAGCAGTAGCATGATGATGATGAATGACTAGAAGAAAGATAGAAAGAAAAGACTCATACTGTAATTGAATAAAATTAACTCGAAAACAAAAGAAAAAACAACTTGCACGCACACAGACGAAAACAACAATGAAATGACTAGAGTGTTCATTAGAGAGAAGAAAAAGAAGAAGACAAAATAAAGTATGAAAATTATGCCTTTTAAAAGTTACATATCGGTTTGATCGGTGATAATCTTATTCGCACGACTTGTTGACGGTGATTTTGGTTGAGCAGTTGGCATTGAATTCGATGCGATGGCTGGCGCCGTCGATGGCGTTGCTGTTGATGATGATGATTGTGCACTCGCTGTCGATGTTACAGCTGATGATGACGATGACGTATGTAAAGTTTGAAATGGTGAGGGCGATGGTGCACGTTTCGTTTCCGTATGTGGAATTGGCATGTGATCAGTTTTGACAACTGTAATTGTTGATGAAACAGTTTCATTCGTCGACGATTGATGAGATAAAATAGGTGTCATAGGTAATGGCTGTTTCAAATTAACAGGTAGATCATCACGTAATGCACGTCGACCGTCATTAGCATCGTCTTTAGGCACTTCACCACGTTCTAAACAACGCCAGTCAGCATTTTGGTACGAAAAATCTTTGAATTCATCTTGATTGATTGCTTTAACAATCACGGCTTCGATTGGTGTGAAAGCAACAGGCATATTAGTAAAATCTTTATCGAAATTGCTCGTATCGCGTGGGTTAACCTATTCAGAATGAGACACAATGCTCGAACACATCAACAGATCTCAGTGATATTACGTACCACTTTGGGTTTGAACGGCGGTTTAATTTGTCGACGTTCCAATGCTTCCCAATCGATTTTTCCTGCAAAAAATGCATGACGTTTTATTGCTTCTTCACCACCTTGTGCTGCTACACAGCCAAGACGTTTCGCCGGATTTTTCGTCATGAACTAAAAATCAATCAAGTTTGCTGTGTTCTCGTCGATGTCTTTCGTGATAGTTACCGATTTAAGTATATGTACGGCTTCTTTGGATAACCAAACCGGATAGAGTACCTCATCACGTAAGATTGATTCGAAAAGGCTGTCTTCATCATCAGCTTCGAATGGAGGTTGTCCTGCCATCATCTCGTACATGAGAACACCCAACGCCCACCAATCAACAGAGAATGAATAATCAAGTTCTTGAAGTATTTCCGGAGCAATATAATCTAATTACAGAAAAGAAGATTACAATGACTTCTGTGCATTCTTATTCTCGAATAGTCATACCGGGTGTGCCGCAAAATGTCGAAGTTAATTTTCCGTCAAAAATGCCTTCTTTACACATACCAAAACTAGAAAACAAAGTGAATCCTTCAAGCTCCATTCTTTAACACTTCATTGATAGAATCTCTTAGCTCTCGAGAGCACAAACTAGTGTAGATTTTCTTACTTGCTCTCGTTCTTCTGAACAAAGTATTCAAATAGTAATCGAACGAAAAAGAAACTGTAAATACATACTCAGCAATTTTACAATGACCTTCGGCGTCAAGTAAAATATTGTCTAGTTTGAGGTCACTAAAGACAAACAAGCATATGTATTTATTTGTTTCTCTCGTTTGTCATGACTTCTAGTTTACCGATAAATAACACCATGTCGATGTAAAAACATTAAGGCTAAAGTAACTTCCGATGCGTAAAAACGTGCGCGTGATTCATCGAACTTTCTTGAACGTTGAATTTGGAACATTAGATCACCACCATTGACATATTCCATGATTAAAAACAAACGTTCCTAAAACCGAACAGAAGTTTCGTTTCGTCATCGAACATTTTCGTTCAACGATCAAACCTTTGTTTGAAAACTGCAAAACAACCCAGTTAAGAATGGATGTCGGGTTGACAAAGCTAAAATTCGTCGTTCAGTCATCGTACATTCAACATCGTCATTTTGAATAATTGCATCTTTGCTAAGAACTTTTATCGCAAAAATTTCACCAGTTGGTTTATGTTCACCTAATAAAACCTGTACACAAAGGTGAGATATTGCCATCGTGAATCATGTGGCGATCTTACTTTGCCGAATGATCCTTTGCCGAGAACTTTCATAAATTGAAAATCGTCAATTGAGAAGTTATGCGGCCGTTTTGACGAACTGTCATCCGATGAAGCAGATGGTGGTGGAGTAGGAGTTTTGCTTGCTGTCGGTGTTGTTGATGCAGTTGTCGAAGATGCAGTTGACGCTAAAACCGAATCATTTCTCCATGACAAAGTCAACAAAATGATCTTACTGTCGGCTTCACTTGGCACATTTGTCTAAACGAGAATTGCACTTTAGTCATGTGGGGAAATCAATGGATAGAATGCCGAGACTCACCATTTTTTGAGGAGTACTTATATTGAGATCAGCAAGAACAGTAGCAAGTTTCTTCTTATCCAAACCGCAGTCATTCGCAACATTACGCGTGCAACGTTTATGTACGTTCAGTTTACACTCTATTGTTTTTTAAAAGAAAAAAAAACAAACAAACAAACATTAATTCAGCACTCAAATCGATGAATTGTTTGTCGAGAAAAACGATTTCTTTCCTTAAGGTTATATCAACTCATTTCATCCTTTCGCTTGTTATTATTATTAGCCCAGGTGGTTTTGTTTCTTCTCTCTTCTGTTAGAACAGATGTTTTCGTTAATCTCAAAATATTTTACCTCGACATTGCATTCCTTGATTCCATGCACCCCACAGAAGTGATCCACAATGATCACAAAAAGTAAATAATCGATATGTATGTGCGACAAATCGATGTGGGACATTAATCTTGAATCTTTTTTCACGATACTACAACAAAAGTAATTGAAGTTCGCACTCTGAATCAGTTGTCTCCTCATACTTCAAAACACGTTCGAATCCCTGGACATGTTGTAACTACTGATGCTTTGCAACGCTTGTGTATCACACATGTACAAACTAAAACAGAAGAAAATGAAAATGAAATGAAGGCAACCCGTGACACGCATGAGAAGTTCGATTGACAACACAACAAACAAAAGCAAAGGGATGGAGAGAAAACGTTCGGGAAGCAACATTCATGATTCTTACCTTGACATTGATAACCTTGTGTACGAAATATTCCCCTGGAAAAATGATCAGATTTGCCTTCTTAGTATTCTCTCTCGAGCCGCAAAATACATAATCGAAAGGAAAGCAGCGAAAGGATATCTTACCAAATGAATTCGGAACAAATTGAGCAAAATGTTGGTTGTCGAAAGAAGGTCGCCATAAATTTATGTCCATTTATTTCATAAACACGACGCACAACAGCAAAACGACGTTGAGCAAAAGCTCGTTTATTCTGTTTGAAATGTCGTTCATTGCTCACAGCTAAAACGCAATCAATAATCAACACGTTTTTTTGTTCACAAGTACGCTTACAATCACTGAATTGTCCTTGCAGTTCAATCGATATATGAATTCGTCCAGCTGGTTCGAGATCAATCCAAATGTCGCTTTTCTTATCATGAATACTGTCAAATTTGACCGTACTATCAGCAACATATTCATCCGGCGGCAATGCGGCGTCATGAAATATCGTAAAGTGTAATTGATGACCATTATGTACATCACTGGTAAATTCCTCGTTAAAGGTTGGTGAAGTTGTTTTTTCTCTCGTGTGTGTTCGTCCTAATGGTAGATCGTCGATATCGATCGATACGTATGGACTAACGAACGATAATGAAGGATTTTGAGGAAAATAACGTACTGAATGTTCAGTTGCACGAAGGTTATCGGCTTCGATCACCTTTAAACGCATGTGCCCATTGAAAACCACCATTGTTATTCACAAAACTTTGCCTAAGATTAAATTTGCAAGATGAATAAGAACATGACTATTTGCAGCTGCTGTTGACAAAATCCGGAAAGAGAGAAAAAACAACAAGAGGAATGAGAAATCTGGCAGCCATTTTTCTTTTTCTTGCAGGGAGATATTTCGATCCTTCGGAAATATTTACTTTTAAATTTTCGACGAAAAAAACCGCAAAGTTCTATTATTGAAAAAAAGATTTCTTTTCAGCGAAAATAAACACGTCAACAAATGTTCACAGACAGATGGCGCTAGTCGATGACTCTATCGAAAAATACATTATACCTGCAGGGAATTATAGTGAGAAGAATTATCACGCGTTCAGTAAACACATCATCTGCAAGACGACTGTTCGTCTATCAGATAGCGCACAAAACAACAACGAGAAAAATTAATTGACTGATAGAATCATGTCTGATGTGAGAACAAGAGCCAGTTATCATTGACGTTTTTCTTCGTCTATTTATTGAACGTGTTGTCAGCTTTTTCTCTATGTTGTTATTTTTTCCTGATAACACATTGATGTATACACATGATTTGCTTTCCAACGTCAATGTAATTTTTCTCAACTATACTTGATCGAAATGATTTCTGACGGATGCGCAGAAGGTGATAACATCTGTGTAGAGAATGGCTCTTCGACCGTGATCTTCGCCGCATGCTAAAGAGAATGAAGTCATTGAGATATGGTTACTATCATCCAAGACTTGTTAAAACGTTTTGCGTGTTATTCGATCACAAAGATGAATTTTAGAACGTCGATCAAATAATAGAATTAGTTTGTTTCACATCCAAACGAGAAGATTAGCATCTATACGCGTTTGCTTCAATTTCGTGACTCGCTTATCTTCTCAATCATCAACGGAAAAGACCTTAATTGTCAATAAAGTACAAGAAAGAAAACAAACTGTTGATAGCATTCTAGTCATTTCCGCGTGTGATGAATATTGATAACAAAAGAATACGTTCGACTCAGTCAATTACTCCCAGAAACATTCGTTTCTTGGACTGCATGTCCCTATTGAAAGAAGTTTATGATATTTTCAGACATCCTCGTCTGACACTTGCAATACTGGAAAAAGGACATCAAAGCTTCTCATTGCTAAATACACATGTTATGTTTCCTTTAGCAGCAGCAGCCTTATTGTAGGCATGAGCACGTTTTTATTATGTATTTAGAACACACAACGGTGATTCAATTTGATTGACACTGTATACAATTATGCTGTCTACACCAAGTAACAAATTACCTCGTATATGAAATTAACTTTTATGTATCGTGTCAATGAACTGAGCAACAAGAGTAGAAATCCTTGAAAACCATTACGTTGTTAGTTTTTTTTTCTTATTCCAAGAAATTTCTTAGAAAAAAAAAACACAAGTTGACAGACGAGAAACTCATTTCAGTCTGAAGCGACTACATATTCATCTTCTAACAATGGTTAGAGAATCATTTTTCTTAATTACATCAGCGCTGTTCATTCTTTTGACGTTAATTACAATTATATTTGCATTAATCACCATTTTAATTATTGTTTACAATTGGAAAAGTCAAACACGATCAATAACGAATCTTTTAACTTGCAATTCATGTTTTACCCTGCTCTATCATTCGCTAGCAACACTACTCGAAATTTTGTTTCTATCTTTTCCAGTCAACACGATACTTTGTCGAATTCGGGCGTACATCTACTATTCTTCGTGTATATCATTAAGTTATTCGTATTTAATTCATGCCATATCTCGATATTTCATCACCATTCGTTACCAACATAAGATGCTCTTAACGTTTCATTTGAATTGGATACTGATCGTTCTAAATTGGTTCATCAGTGCATTTTTCGGTATGATTATGTTATTAATACCATTGGCATTGCAATACGAATACGAATCCCGGATGTGTTTGCTTACTAGTAAAGTTTTTCTCACTTCATTGATCGGTGTTATGATCGCTTTTTGTTTTCCATTCTTGGCCATTATCTTTCTCTACGCTCTGATTCTCTACCATACAACAACAAGTCGTCGACATCTGAGTGTTTTTAACACCATGCGATTGCGACGGAATTTGAAAGTTTTTCAGATGATTCTCATGTTTGTTTGCATACTCGCTATTGGCGGCACACCTTATTTTATTTGTGTAATGATGAACCGTGTTACGCAAATCCCTTGGCCATGGTATTCGCTCTCGATTTTATGTATTTCCTTGTCCGCTGCATTGGAATCGTTAGCATTATTGTTTAGTAATTCTTTTGTTAAGAGACGATTTCTCGAATTGATTCATCTTCAACAACGAACTGACATCAATATTCTGATAGGTCAGCATCAACACTCGACGAATTATAATAATCACGCTGAAAATGTACCGTTGCATGTTTCGCTTTTGACGACAAAGGATAATTTACATGAAGAGAGTAAAGTGAACTGAATGGATTTTTTCGAAATATTTTTCTCCGTCAAGTTTTATTTACTCAACAAAAACTAAACGTTCTCTACATTTGTCCACGGGATCAGTTGACCGGTGATCGAACGAGCTTGATCAGTGCATAAAAATAAGACAAGATCGGTCAATGTTTCGACATGATTATTGTGGTCTTCGAAAGGTTTTGCCGATATCGATCCTACATGGAATGTCATGAAGAGAAAAGATGAAGATATATGCGAATTTTCATACCGAGACAAATAATGTTCGATGTGATTCCATATGGACTGCCTTCGACTGCCAAAGCTTTATTTAGGCCAATCAATGCATAGTGTGCAGTTGTACATGCTGATTGATATTCGTTGGCGATGAAATTGTGCTCGTTAGCCTGATGATTAAATAAATATGAGAAACTTTTTACAATCGCAAAAGATCTCACTTACGATATGAATAATTCGTCCGAAATATTGACGTTTCATCCGTGTCCATAGAGTTTTTACCAATGCGAAAGTTGTGTGAAGGTTCGAATCGATATTTTCCTTCCATTTTTCGACTGGAAATTCCTCAATCGAGCCTCTCTGATACCCTCGATGTGGTTGATTAATAATCAAGATATCAATGTGCTGAAAATCTTCAGCTAGGCTTTGCGCATCAGCGATATTTCGTATTTGCTTCGATACAAACTTAACTTGACTTTGCGGATAAACATTTTCCTCACTTGGATGCCCGTGAATAATAAGATCACAGTTATGTTTAGCAAATCGATGCACTAGGTTCACACTGAAGCTATTTAAACCGCTAAAAATAAGCGCTGTTCGTCCTTTCATAGTCACAGGAGATAGAGATACTCTTTAGCCTATTTTGCATGGCGAAAGATAACGCATCGCCTTGAAATTCTCCAATGAATTAACACATAAATAATTCACGTAGATAACCATACTTGACAAAGTCGGCGAATTCTAAAAGAGTACTGAGATATGTTGACACTGTTTGACGTTCTTACCTTTGAATGAAACATGATTTGATCGATTACTGAATATTTGTCGTAGATGTTCCTGGAATAAATTCAGCTTGGATGCATTGTTTCCATGGAGTAATAGAAAAAGTGGTTCGAATTCTTGTGGTTCAATCGATCCATTGGAATTTTGATCAAATAAGTAATCAAACGTCGAACGTAACACAAAATGACTGATTTCCATTGCATCGTTAGCGAACAGTGGTGTTATCAAATCGATGAACTGTTCAAATCGCATATGAATTAACTCTAGAGATGATTTGAATGGTCGATACAAGAATAATCTTTCATTGTACATTACTTTTAGCACGAATATTCTTCTGCGCTTGACAAAATCGTTCTTCAAGTATTTGCAAATGATAACTTTGGCAAGGATCGACTTGTGACCAACGAAAGTCAACTAAATAACCAAAAACAATCCTGGCCTCCTTTGACAAACACAAATACGAAACCTTGAACAATTCGATTTCGGATTGTTTTGATAGATTTAGAATATCTATGCATCAGTCCATTTTGTTGCGCCGATGCCATTCTCAACAATATCGAAACTAGTTTTCTTCTTCAATAAATTCAACTATTATTATATGCACGTAGAAAACGGCCCCTTTGTTCGATGAAACTGTCGACGATTATAAGAAAAAAAGCAATTAACTGTAGTTTCTACTCCTTAGACATCCGCCTTGAGTTTGTTCGTACTCGTAGAATCAAAAGTAATTTCATTCAACAAAAGATCTCAGAAATCGTACGATTTTACGGTCAATTGAGTTGATTATAGTCTATGGTTAAGAACACCATTATATATATTATGGTAAAAAAGTCACATCAATAATAAAAAGAAAACTGTTTCACACGACAAACTTCAACAAAATCATGCAATAACAACTTAATCGTCATCATCGCTTTCATCTTTCATACTTTGACGGATCGATGACCGAAGAAATTCATCAGCAGCATCGTTCATGCCGAATGTTTTCATATCATCCGGTTTTCGTAGTTTCTCTCCTGTTTCAATTGCACTGAATTCATATAATTTGTATTCTAAATGATCGAAACGGCAGTTCATTCCACCAAATGCAAATGGACCAATGAGAGAATGCTTTAGTTCGCCATTGTTGTAAATAAATATTGTTGGCAGATTTTTGTCTGGATAGTTAGGAATACAGACAGTTGAGACACTTTTCACGAATTTCGTTTGAGGATATTTTATGGCAAGTGAACGTAGATGATCACCGATGAGTGAACAAATAGGAAGCCTAAAAACAGAAAGGAATGAAATGTGCTTACGGATTTATTGGATTTACCCTGATTTATAAAGGTAGAGTACAACCCAAATATCTGCGCCAGCTTGGTTAACTTCCTTAACGTAGTCGATGGCAGAGATTTCAATCACTTCGCCGAATCGAGCTCGTGCAGCTTTTTCTTGCAATTCCAATAGTCGCTTTCGTCTGAAATGAAATCGAGAATGTCAGGCATCTATTATCGAATGACTTTACCTATATTCTTGTAGGACACGTTCGTCTTCTTCATCTTCGAGCTCGTCTAATTCGTCTAATGTTTTCTTATCTAACTGTTCCGCTGAAATACAAATAAATTTATGTGCCTACTTTTTGGTTTGTTCTTACCACGAGAGATTTCGAAGCGTTCTTCTTCAGTTTTGATTTCCTCTTTTGGTTCGATGATATTGAATCGCCGTAATTGGTCATTCCATTGAGTATCGGCGTTCGGATCCTCGAAGAGCCGAAAAACAGAGTCGATGTGTAGAGAAATCGAACAGAAATGCAACATACCTGCATGTTAGACTAAGAGTATCAAATCCACGAATAGAATGTGTCGATTAATGATAGATGAATATATAGGAACGTTCGCGTGAGTATCAGTATCCATATTAGGAAACAGTCATCATATCCAATAAAAAGTCAGTGGCAAATCCTGTTTTGAACATTTGATCTTTCTAGAAATATTTTTCGTGCAAAATCGACATATGACGTTTTGCGAAAATGACGTTCTCTTCTTTAAACTTATTAATTATAGATGTCGCTTTGGTCCACCGTCGGTAATTAACTCGACTTCTTCATTAACATTGAGAGTCATCAAATAATCGAAACATCGAATGGGTCATTGAAAGAATTGTACTCAACAGTCACAAAACTTCTTGATCTTATTGAGCACAGTTTTATACGCGTTCCAATTCAAGAATAATTTATTTTACCCCATACTAACTGCAGAGTAAACTATAGAATGTTGTTTATATGAGCAGTATTATACAAACCGCTTTATTTTGATGTTTGTACTGAGATGAATACATTTTCGTTCTTTAATTTTGTCAACGAGCCATGTTTCTAGACACCTACACGGCCAAAAGCAATAAAGTACAAGAACGTTTTTATTTCCTTTGATCATTGCTTGTTCTTTCTCATACTTTGCAATAAGAGTAATATCAAACTACACAACGAAAACAATGGATAGAGCGTTGTGCGTCAAATGCGGCAAACAAAAAGCAACATTTAAATGCGGAGGATGTTTAGGGGATTTCTGTTACAATCATCTGACAGATCATAAAATGGAATTGGGTAAACAACTTGATGATGTCGAAGGCCACCGGAACGTATTCCGACAATTGCTGATCGAACAGCAGAGTAATCCACGGCAACATTCAGTGTTGACAGATATTGATCGATGGGAATCGGATGCAATTGGAAAAATCCAAGCAACAGCAGAGCAAACAAGACAAATCGTACTAAAATCTGTTCGTGAGCGTATGGAACAATTAGAATTTCGATTAAACAGCCTAACTGATCAACTGCGTCAAAGTAGAGAAGAAAATGACTTTTTTGAAGCCGACATATACCGTTGGAATGAAGAGTTAACTCGTCTCACACAAGAACTAACGAAATCATCTCATATCAAACTACATGAAGATACCACAGCTCTTATTATGAAAATCACTATCGATACAGGATCCAGTGCGTGTTCTACTATTTTAACCGATTAGCAAAGATCATTGAACTAGTAGTTTTTATATTCTAGCATCACTCTTCATGCCAAAGACTGATCCAACAGCAAAATGGATACAGCATGGTATCACTGTCGCAGGCGGTAACAGGGACGGTAGTGGTCCGAATCAACTGTCGAATCCATGGGGTCTATGCATTGGCGCGAATCAAGCAGTTTATATTGCGGAATACTCAAATAATCGTGTTGTAGAATGGAAATTAAATGAAAATGTTGGCCGAGTAGTTGCTGGTGGAAATGGACGGGGAAATCAAATGAATCAATTGTATGCTCCAGCTGATGTCATTATCGATGAACTTAACGATTATTTAATCATTGCTGACCACGGCAATGAACGTGTCGTAAGGTGGCCGCGTTCTAATTCTACTACTGGAGAAGTCATTGTCTCTAATGTCGATTGTTGGGGTTTGGCCATGGACAACAACGGTTATCTTTATGTGGCTGATTACAATAAGTGCGAAGTTCGGAAATGGCGCATAGGTGATCCCAAAGGCGTACTAGTAGCTGGTGGCAATGGAAAGGGTAATCGTTTAGATCAACTTAGTGGACGGTTTTATATCTATGTTGACGAAGAACAGTCTGTATACGTTTCGGACGAAGACAATCATCGAGTCGTTAAATGGACACAAGGTGCCAAACAAGGTATAGTCGTTGCTGGTGGTCATAAAGAGGGAGCAAGTTTATCTCAACTATCGCGTCCAAAAGGGGTGATTGTTGATAAGTTGGGCACTATTTACGTAGTAGATCAAAACAATCATCGCATCATGCGTTGGCTAAAGAATGCTAAGCAGGGTAGTATACTCGTTGGAAAGAACGGTAGAGGAGATCAAGCAAATCAACTGTTCAATCCTTTAGGTTTACATTTTGATCAACAAGGTAATTTGTACGTCGTCGACAACGGTAATTGTCGAGTACAACGGTTTAATATCGATTTAAGTACAAATTTATAAATACAAACATAGAACTTCAATGAACATTTGACATCGCTAAGTAAAATACTTTTTGTGTATTTTATATTAGATTCAGTAATAAACTAACGACAGAATTCTCCTTTTAAATACAACAATAACACGAAAATCTTTACTAATCTAATAGAGCAACCACAAGAACAGATCACACCATCGTATTATATTATGTTTTTTCATCAGATTTATTTCTTCTCAGAACGAGACGTTCGCCAAATATCATCATTAAGAAAATGATCCGTGATTATATAATGTTGTAGTGGAAATAATAATGTGAATCATGATTAAAATAAAGTTGAATCGACACTTTATGAACAGTATGCCAAACGGATTTCTTCAGGTAAACTTTTTTGTCTCTAAAATCAAAATCCGGATTTCACAAATGAAGGAATTAGTTTTTAGGATAATAAATTCATACTTTTACTCCTGACGATGTCTCTACTTTACCAGCCGTCTTTTTTCTTTTCGTGATTGGCATTTCTGCGTATTGGGTAGTGTCCTCGTTCATCTGAATCGAGCATGAACATTTCGGACAAGATATTGTTTTGACCGATGTATTCTCGCCTACTTCTTCTATCAACAAACGTAGTATAAATTGTTCTCGAACACTTTCATTATGATATTTTACCTTCTAAAACTGTTGAATAGACCATTGTATCCCAGCTCGGAATGGGCGTATGGCCATCAGTAGCTATTGAGCATAGTGTAAAAGCCAACTGAGACTTAGTAAGCTGATGCTTTTGTATCAGTTGCTTGGGTGTTAATTTCTGGCCTTTTCCAGGTATTTGCTTATCAGATGGGCCAAGCATGTCTTGATATGGATGAAATGGTTGTAATGGTTGAAGTGATTTCAAAGCATCCTGTTTGGCTTTGATTAAAACCAGATAGATCCTGTAAACACGTGTTTCAGTTGGATGCTTATTGAAAACGACAATGATATTTACTTCATGATTCCCACTTTGTCATATCGAATTGGCTCATATATTGGATTACAATCCGAGACTTCCGACGAGTCGTTACTAACTTGAAATTTGTATGGCATCACATAACGATCATTATTCACATCGGGTACTGTCACCCAATCAATTCGAACAGCTCCTTGATGTCCGAGAGGTACCTATCGAACGAATATATACAACGAATTAGCAATAGTCAATCTTTAAATGTTAATTACTTTTATGGATATGAAATGATTACCAATACGGTCAGCCACATATCTGGGCTTTCGATTCTTCCCATTTTGTCCGAAATAATCACTTTTGTACCGTGGTCGATATTTTTTTTCCAGATCATGAACGATCTCGATTTTAGAGGATGTTATAGGTAATCGTTGAGAAAAACCCACACCCACGGATGATGAAAGCGCTATTGATTTTTTACTGTCGCTTTTCTTTTTCGCTTTCTCTATTCATATTATTATATAGAATACCATCCATTGAAAACAAATTCTTATTTACTTACCAGGAATGTAAACTCCCTCAATCGGTAAAGCAAGCAGGTTTTGATCAATTTCCGGTACAAAATCTAAAATTCGATGATCACTCAAAGAATTCTTTATATGCTTAGTTTACCAGTGATTATGGATTGCGGTGATACGAACAGTTGTTCTAGTTCACTTGGTTCAGTAATAGCAAGCGAGTCTATATATTTATTTTACAGATAAATTTCTTATAAAATATCATCTGATCCTACTGGTTAAATTCTGTTCATTGCAGATGCCCGATATGGGAATATCGTCGAAAAAATCATTAGATAAGCACCATCCACCTTGACTGCCATCCAGCGTATTGAACGAGGAATCTTCAAACGAAAATCCGATGTTACCTGGTTCAATACGTATGTCTTGGGCCGTGGTACTTAACATAAAGTCATTTCCATTCATATTGGTTTTTTCACTAACTTTCCCTTGGAATTATCGTGGATACAAAGGAAAGCAAATCACATTAACACTATGTCGTGTAAAGAACGATTGGTCACGACTGAAATTCTTTGTATGTATTTCCAAAGGGTTTCTATTCAAACCTTGCTGCGCACCATATTTATAAACATAGGTATCTGATAGCTTGGGGTTTTTTCCAAGCAGTGACTCACACGCGGAAGAAGAGAAATAAAAAGACAGAACAGAAAAGCACATAAACATACAATGTTGTCAGTGATTTGCATTTTTAACATAGTTACGCGACGTATATAAGAGAATCATTTATTCATAACGACAGAAAATATCAAAATATAGCTTAAATCCATCGGAATATTTATAATGGTTGTCTTTGATGTGCATTAAATGGAAGAATATACTAAAGTGCCTATCGCTTGTTCGACAAATACACGCGCGCGAAAAGAGAATGTCAAACAGACGTAGTCATGACGTCATGAAAAGTATTTCGAAATGACTAAAACACATTTCATGTATCAACGTGCTTTTGGCGACTGACTTTATTGGGGAAAAAACCTTATCGAATGACGTCGTTTCGATTACTATCACGCGTATAATTATTGCTAATAAGGCGAAAGCAAAAAGAACGAGATAATATGTGCATGTTTATCTTATCAGAAATTCATGCGTATTTTTCGTTCTTCGAGAAAAGTAAAACAATGCGACAGTTCGTTCTGCTTTGAAAACTTTCATAAATTCATGTATAGTCATAATAGAAAAAAACATTTCAGCATCCATCAGAGTTGTAGTTATTTGTTCTTCTTTCTTCTTTTGCTACTTGTCTTGGTTGTGGTCTACAAATATTTGAATAAGACATGTTGATTAATGTCTGATTAGCATTGATTACTTTGGCATTTGAACATGAGATCGCGTCGTCGAACGAACGTTTGCTACTCGTGTTAGATGTGGAATTAGAAACAGCATCGAAATGATAGCAACAATTCGGACAGCATAAGTGTTTGTCAGTATTGACTGAAGATAGAAAATAATATTCGCAGAAATGATTATGGTCGAGGAAAATAATGTTGTCTACTTAGTGGCGATACAGTTGTAGCAGAAGCTTCTACCGACCCAACTTTACTGCTAATCTTTTTCGTCGATGAGACTTCACTGATAATGGTGGAGATAATTGTTGTTTGTGGGTGAGGCTCATAAGTCCCGTCGGACTTTTGTGTACATAGCGTAAACGCTATATGAGATTTATCGAGTTGATATCGATTGATTAAGTCTTTAGGTGATAAAATGTCTTCATGAATCGGATCTAAATTATATTAGTATATCCTTTGACAGAGAATCCTCTTTCATGTGTGTGCATTACTCTGTTTCGTATTGTCGGTAGCGGAAAAACACTGCAGTGGTTGACAGTAATTAAGTTGATCCAATTTCGATTTGATTAAAACAAGTTGTAGCCTATGGTCAAAGTCACACATCATCGAATGAAATAACTCTTGTCGTTTGTATATCAAACCTCATGATAAACGCTTCTTTTGCATTAGTGTCCACTTTGACATATATCGGATTTTCATCAGAAATGTTAACATCCGTATGATCTCTCTGGAATTTATATGGACTATAGAAATGACCGTGTCCGTCGACGGACACAGTAATCAGTGCAATGCGAATATACTTGTTCGCTAAATCAGAATGATATACAGTTGGCAACTAAATAAATCTGACAGACTTCATTATATGAATGAGATTTTACTTGTAATGTTATATGATGATTGTGTTCTCGATCGGCGACATATCGTGGATGGCGAACTGAGCCAGTTTGGGGAAAATAATCACTTTTATAACGTCCGCGATAGGTTTCTTCAATTGGATAGACGAGTTTTAATTTCGTTGAAGTCGAGTCTATTATATGAGCATCGGCAGAAACTGGTACTGATAGAATCGATGCTAAAGATAAACGACTATCTCAAAGAATGCATTGTGGAGTGAATTCTATACATGGCTTAGAATTTGTTCGACATGTAGGCAGAGAATTATCAGAGGTGCATTTGACTGCAGACAAACATGAGGTAGAACTTCTCAAGTACTGATATACTTCGTCAACAGAGGCTAGAGATAGAAACACAATAAAGTACAATTGATTACTAATCAAACAAACGGAGTATGAACGATCCTAGAGGTAGCTCATCAATATCCAGAAGACTGTGGATGTCATCGCTCCATGATTGTGTAATAACTTCTAAATAGATACAATCGTAATGTATCGCTTATGCATAGTCCAACGATACCAGTCTGCGCGGTTTGTAATGAATTACAATAGTCGGTTATTTGCACGTCTAAAAGTGAAAAATCTCGTAGTAAAGATTATAATTTTCTTTCGCATTGATATTACTGGCGTCCGTGGTACCTGATCCATATTCGTCAAAATCTAAACAAAATAATAAGTAGACACACCTGACTTCCAAGCTGTAAGTGCTATATACCTGAAAGATCGGCTGTAAACGATAGGTTGGAGCACATTTCAACTCTTCTAACGCTTGTATGCGAAATATTTCTCAATTCGCTTGTTCAACCTGCTCAACAACTCCAGCAAATCACTCCGAACATCGATGAATACTGAAAGGTCGAACAGAATGGCAAAGAGGCATGAAATTACTATGCGATGAAGAAAACGGTGTCATGTGATTATTGACAATGCATTAACCTGTGTTAGTGTTGTGGAGTCTGAACAGACGACTCACTTAAAAGTTTTGTTTTGGCTATTTTCGTCTCCGAGAAGTAGACTATTTACAGAATGGATATATTTGGTAGCTCTATGTTGGAGTAGAACAACGAGCAAAAGAATTCATCTTACCTTTGCCGTTTTGGGAAGATTTTCGGACAGTCGAAATTTGCGAAAAATGAGAACGATAACGGAGGGTTAAAAAGCGTGAAGTTATATTTCAGAATGATAAGTAAAGAGAATTATGTCTGTTGCTTTGTGATTCTTCTGTTTTAATATAACATTTTATATTGATCTTGCTTTATTCTCTTCTTGGTTTTTTCCAACTAATAACTCAAATAGGTATTTTTAGTTTTGACTCATTCTGTCATCATTCTTGCGCTACTCTTGCCTTTTCTTTTTGTATATGATATTTACCGTAATACATACGTAAAGCGATGGATATAGTTTGATAAGAAATTTCGATGTGCTCGGAAAAGTGGATATTCAAAGCAAACATAATGTCATGATTCGTAAATATCGAAAGAATAAAAGTGATATTTCTAATATATTTTATTTCACAAGAAAATCATGAATAGGTGAAATTTTCATTAAATGAAAGTCAAGAAAAAGAAGTAATAAAAGTGCAAATAATTTTTCTTCCCAGCTTGGCCAAAGAATTTTGCTTAATAAGCGCGGATGAGCCCCTTCAGCTTGGGGCATTGCTGTTGTCCGTATCGGACGTTATAGATCTACTGCGTACACGAATTACCTGAAAGAACAACGATTTCATTATAGAAGAACTACTTATATTACAAGTTTATATACCGGTAATCCCGATGTTGATGATCGCAATCGCTTCGGCGAGTTCGATATTTGTGAATTCGAACTAACTTCATCATCGGAGAAGACACTTGCGACCGACTCTGATGCCAATCGTTTCTTCGGCTTTGTTAGGATGATCGCTAAACATAAGAAAAAGTCATGAAAATATGTACACTCTCAAGGCAGAGAAAAGCCTACTCTCATCGATCAAATTGGTTTCGCATGTGTTGTTCGAAATGTAAACAACTTGGTCCTGCTTCATCGCAAGATGAAATACGAATTTGTAAAACGACAGGTTGTATTCTGTTTTGAAACGCTTCCCTTTGGGCACGTTATCCATATTTGGCTCGTTTGGAACGGTATCTATAATTCATAGAACAAATGATTGTAAATGAGTAAAAGCTCTCCGAACGTATACGAACACTTTTCCTGTGGTCCAAACATGGTATTCGCATCGAATGGGATGAGGTTGAATGTATAATCGTCGTACTTTTTGTATAAAATCGATACACGCGGAAATCTATCGAATTCAAAGAATAATCTAAGGGCAGATTTTTCGAAATATTTTACTTACCTTTTTTCCAACGCGTCAATATCGGCATGCACGAGTGGTATGAATAAGCATCCATGCCCAATCTTTTCCACACCCTTTCCATGGCACATAATATCATGCGAATGAACCATACTTTGGTTCATTGGGTTGTTATCACCTGTTGTGATGGTCATAACAATACCTAAGGTTTGGTTTTGTTGTATTATGATCGATCGCAAATTCGGTAACTAAACATTGGAAGTTGTATGGAAATATTTTTTGTATTCGAAAGGAAAAACGTACTCGAACAGTCATTGGATGGTAGCGTGAATCGGGTAAATACCGACGACCATCACATTCATAGCGTGAGCGATTGTTTGCTTTCGGCTGCTGAGAAATAGACACGTTGCCAGTAATGAAATCCAATAAAGTCGGGTGCATTTGATACATTATTCCATTTTCACTGCCATAAGCTTGTTGTGGAACTGGTGGATTGTGCGTTATTGCTAGCGGTTGATTCGCGTCACAGTCTCCAACCAACGGAGCATTTTCTATCAATTGCAGAATATTGTCAAAGTCGTCTACAACCAGGACAGTATATAGAAGATACAAAGTACTAGTTTTAGAAACTAACCTATCTCCACTTGATTCAGCTCTGCGATGCAATTTCCGATCTCTGTTTCAGTGTTTGTGTCATCGAATTGAAATGGAGAAGACAAATCAAGCATAATATTATCAACCTCTGGAACTTGATCTAAACAACTTGAAGTTTTATGAATTATTTCATGATATTTCCACTCACTCGAGTTGAATGGGATATCGTGAAAAGCACCGGAAAAATCTCTGTCATGATATACATCCAGTAATAGGTCGTTTATGTTCGGCATAAATTATGATTGTGAAAGAGTAGTTAACTGTGTTGTATGCAAAGACTTTGCAAAAATAAGAAGCCGCAGCGTGCCTTCGACGTCTCTCTTATCAATCCTTTTCTCCCCTGTCTGGGCGACTTTTTTGTCTCGTTCTCTGTCATGAGTCAACTAAAAAAAAGCATCGACAACAAAAAACAGTTATATATAGCTGCAGATGAAGTTGGAAAAAACCATCCCGATTGTCGCAATAACACGTCTATGTGCTCTGAATGCTTGAGAACAAACTATTCGTGTTTTTGTTGACCTTTGTTTCTGTTTCCTATGATACATCAGTTAGTTTCGTCTGCTTGCGAAATTTTTCGTAGTGCGCTCGTCAAAATATATTTTTTATTTGTGCATTGGATGAAGAACGACAAAAAAGATAGAAAGGTGCAATTGAATTACACGATAATTTCTGCGAAATAAATTAGCAGAATTAATTGATGTAATGCGGTAGAGGCCCTTCAGCAAAGCTCTTTGAAAGAGGTTGGTAAAGTATTTGGAAAAAGTTAGTTTTGATTAAGTTTATGAGTGTTTTCGTCGCTTGGTCGATTTTGATGTCGATGGACGAGAATCAGCAACTTCGTCTTCGTCGCTTTTGTCTGCTTCAATCGGACGTTTTTTCTTGGCACCTGACGCTTTTTCTAAGAGAAACAATGCGAAATAAATATTACTGAAATAAAATCTATTGCACACGACGTACTTTCCTCCATCTTCTTAGTTTTGCAAGTGATATCGGTAAAATGAAACGTGTTATTTTGTTCAATTAACAATTGACAACTGATTCGACTAGCTTTCAAATTATGTTGCTCGAAGAAAGTCTTTGCTTCGGCCACGGTCAATTTTTTTTCATCATCGTCATCTAAAATGCATTTGCTCGGGATTAAGATGAAGAAAAGAGAATGCATACGTACTGCTGCCTGCACCCGATAGATCGAATGCAGCCAAGCTACGACTGTAGTCAGTCAACTTTGTTTTAACAAATGACAAACGAGGTAAACTAAACATAAAAGTTCAATCTACAAAAGATTGCTTGGCGAAAGCGAGTTGTCTTACCTTTTCAGCCCGTCGTTGATTTCATCCAGGGATATGGGGAGGCAAACAGTTCCATCATCTAATGTTTTTGTGTTGCTGGAATGATATTCCAATTTGTTAGCATGAAGAAATATAGAAGCCGACGGATCATCGTTGTCAGTTAGAAGTGTAAGTCGAAGATAAAACTGCTGACCAGGTATCAGTTTTACGTTTTTAAGGTCAGGTAACTGAACAAGAAAATAAGTCGTGGTAAAGAAGAGACAAACTATTCTACCTGGATGACCATAGGCTTGGTACGACACTTCTCAATTTGTCTTTTCCCATCGCTTTTGTAACGAATACGAGGATTGGCTGGCGGCTCAACTAAGACCAGCATGGTGCGTTCTCCAATAGATCTATCGATGTCTTCCAAATGCAGCTTGTCGATTGCTGCTTGTACGAATTTGGTTATTTCGTCAAGTGTCTAAAATATTGATCACACACACTTGACAACATATGCGAAAGTACATATTACTTACCAAACCATTTTCATTGAAGTCTAGCTCCGGCACTGTGTATTCTGTTTGTAATGGGTCGTTTGGTGCCAATTCTAGCACAATAGCAAAGCATCTATCGTTATAGCGACGGAAAAGACTCTTTAGACATACCGCACGGAGTCGTCGTGATAGTAACTTCATGCGATATACCTTAAATGCGATCAAAATTAGTTGATTTATACAGTGCGTAAAAATAACTAGATTACTTTGATAGGGTTCGACCGTGCTCGTGTCGTCACCGAGAAAGCACTGATCATCCTTATAGTCTGTAGGCGTGCCTGTTGTCGCTACTGAATCGTTACTTTCATTGTGGACCTCTTCATTCTCGATTATCGAGGATTGTGTGTTTAACAGTATTGGCAGGAAAGGATCGTCATCTTGAAGTAGGCCATTGTTTCTGTTTCGAGGTTCATCCAAGCCAGTGAGTTCTTTCTCTAGGTTTTCAAATGTACTATGGTCATAAGTACATTGTGGAACTGAAACCAATAGATTAAAGTGACATAAATTTTTATCTTATAACATCACTTACTATCAGACGGTTGATACACCATATGATTGTATAAAGGCGAGTATCTAGAATAATAAAAACAACTGATCTTCAATGTATTTCGAGCAATGATTGCCAGTCACAATCCATCTCATAAAACAGAAACTCATTTTTTCCCAAACCAACGCGTTATACTTCGCTTTGCAAAAAGGAATGTGATTGGTGGATCCGAAATCCTATTGCAATGCAAGCGAGAGCAACAGATCGTCGCCTGGCATTATATTACTAATAGAATGACGGAAGTCAAATAAACGAGAGTAAAAAAACGGCAACAAAAGATGGCTCGGTAAAATCCTAGTAAGTCAAATGAGTAAAAAAAGCATTTAATATGGTAAACTAGCACTTTGACAAAGACTTTGTGAGTAATATGAAAAACAAGAGCGAGTAAATGAGAGCATTTCCTTCCATAATCATTGACAAATATACGACTGTGTACCATAAGAAAATATTTACATACAATCAATACTCGGTACACCATTTTCACAGCAATTTCTACCGAACAAACGAAAGCAATGTTAATTTGTGTGTCGGACTGGAATAGATTTATGACATAAAAAACCACATAGCTTGTAAAAGTATAGTGTTATTTCTGCGAGTACTTTATTCGCAAATATTTGATCGAATAGTGTTCTGATTGGGACACTGGTAATAAAGGTGTCTCTACGTCTTTCGAATAACTAACGCAAACGGTTTACTATAGGTTAACAACGTGATGTTTATTACTTTGTCAGCCATTGACGTACACTTCTAAATTTTTGATGGAATGCAAATTTTCTATTTATTAGAAAAAAACAATGCGGCAAATTCCCGATTATTTCACTGACGAATTTATGTAAACAAAACGTATATTTCGTTTATTCATTATCATCAAAGTCAAAGTCATCTTCAAGATAAAGCTGATCGACTGTTGTTGATTGTGCACCGGATGAATTTGAACTTTCACATGAATCAAAAATCGCTTGTCTATCGCAGTTTAAACATCTGTCTGCTTAAAACAAAAAAAAACACAACATAAAGATATTTTCAACTAAATCAGTTGGATACATACGGGTGTGATAGAGAAAGTTAACACGTTTCACTTTTGTTCCACTGTACGTGACAACAATGGGCACTACGACACTATGATGACTATTTTCTGGAAATGGACATCGTGGAGTTTTGAATTCAAGTGTTTTCACATCAATATATTTAAATGTGACTGGAGCGTTTGAGTTGCCAGGATATTCGAAATAGATTTCACAAGCTAAAAAGACGATACATTACCAGCAAAACTGACATTATAATGAAAATAGAATCACTCACGTTTTCGTTTATCTAAGTCTGGTATGAACATCAAAACAGTTTCACCGCCATCCCAAGAACCTTTAGGTGGTGCAAATTTAATGCCTATATTTTCATTATTAGCTGTATTCACAGGTGCGCTCATAATGTCCGAATATACAGAAGTCGTAGCATATATAACAAAAGGCGAACCATTTTCGCTTCCGACAACAGAAAATAGTAATTGAGATTTTCCTAATTGGTAAGTATTAATGATTTGCCGAGGATCAACGGCAGAATCGATACGATTTTCATCTGGACGACTAGTATCCACGAGGCATAACGATCTGATATTTCTTAAATCATGCTGGGTTAATTTTGCACGCCTAATACGAAAACTAAAATGGAAACGGAGATTAATATTCCAACCGAACGTTTCTATGGATACAATATTTACCTTTTCCTGCCTGTTTGACGTTCATCGTCTGATACTGCAAAATAAATCGTGTTCATTTCCTTGTGTAAGATTGCATCGGAGTCCGGCGTAATAATTGGATACGGATGTACGTATCTTTCTGGTGCTTGTTCCCATGGAACGGTCACTAATGTTACTCGAATATGTGTACATTTTTGTCTCCATATGTCGGGAATCTAAGCAAAATGAATCATAAAACGATCTCAAAACAATGTCAAGAATATCTACTTCGATTGTCGGATAATCGAAATCAGGCTGATCGGTGCGTAGAAATCGATTCGCTCTATGATTGTCGTGATTCATTTCACTGTAATATCGTTCTCTGCAATACGCTTTCGGCTGTGCGAGGATACGCACCTGTTGCGTGCAATTTGTTGCCATGAGTTCAAATGAAACTCAATCAATTGAATTATTTTAAGTCTTTCGTCATCCACATATACAATGATATATATATAACTATGGCTCGAGGGACTATAGGAAAATGCCTAGGCTGAGAATGCCAACGGCATCTTTTGTTGTTCTATTAACACGTGCTTGGATATAACCCATCGTCATTCGTTTTTTCATACGTTCTGTTGACACAATAGACAACGCCACGCAGTAGTTTCTTCCCTTGATGTTTTATTTTGAGGTGCAATCGAAAAGAACGAAAATGTTGTACTATAAATGACTTCCGAAAAACCATCGTTGTGATTTCCTTCAGGGCATTTGCTGGAGACACTTCAAATTATGATTCATGACGAATTATACTATCGCAACGCATACATCTTTCTGACAAGGTAAATTTCCATCTTTTTAAAATCTTCTCAATAATACCTAAAATAAACTTTTATTTTTAGTATCAACTTGCCCGTCTGACGTCTGAAAGAGCTACACAAATCTCTTTCTGAACGATAAAGTCCCACGATATGCTATGCGCGACTTATGTGAGTCAGACGTTTGGAGGCAGCGTTCGACTCGACATTTTATTTGCAAATATTGACTGAGTGTGTCAAAGTAATTTTCCGATTTTGGTTTCGTGTTTTTTTCGAAAAAGAAAAATTTATTATTAATACTTTTGCATGGGAAAGAATGAATCGATTCAAGCAAATAATCACCGACATATGTCAAAGGATTCAAGAGTTTTACTGTGATGGATGTGGGTGAATACACAGAAAAATAACGCAAAATACATACGATTGGTTTGTGCAAATGCAATCATTTTATTTTCTGAACTCATCTCTTTTTTTCTTTCAGATATGAGTTTGGGGTGAAGGAGACCTACGATCAACAGAACACTTTCGACAGAATACGCATCGTCGATCGATTTTGATTCAGATCCGCTAATTCCAATGGTCTTCGATTGGTTTTCTCCACCTTATCGAATTTTTCGTGCATATTTATCGATTTTCTCTCACAGTACTCAGCAAACACATCGAACATTTCCTTCAGTTCCTTGTCTTTTGCCATCAAGTGAACTATGTTCTCTCCCTCATTGTTCACCGCATCGAGTAATTCAGTAGACTTCTTCAACTCCAACAGAGCTCTGACCACACTGAGACGGTTGAGTCGTACAGCGTGGAGTAGAAGTGATTCACCATGGGGATTGGTCGACTGAAACAGGTCGATGTTTGTACCCGGAATGAATTTGACGAGTAGATCTGAGTGATTGCGTTCGATGGCTATGTGAAGTAGTTGAGGTTGTTTTCGAATGGATGCTCGAGAGATGCGCAAGAATGGTTTCAAATCATTTTCAGAAAATAAAGCCTCAGTGCTGTCGCCCATTTTATTTAATAGTATTCGATCCACATCATCAATGAGAGATAGTGAAGAAACTATAAAACCAACAGGTAAAAAATTACTATTTAGCACAATACTTACATCGAACGGATGCATTTGATGCTGAATATGTCTAAACAAAGCAATAAGTTACGACTTTTATGAATAAAATTCACTGACGGTCTCTTCGGGCGGTTCTTGCTCGAAGCAAACATCATCAGTTGTTTCCTCGTCGTCGAATGGTGTAGACCTGTGTCGTTTATTCGAATTCATTCGTTCCGCCGAAGTCGTATATAACATAGTTCGCTTTTGACAATTCGCACACTGATCTAAATCGATAGAATCGTATTAATAAAGAGAAAATCATATCATTGATATATTTACCTGTAGGAAGATAATGATATACAAGTGACTCCAGGCTTCTTTTTCTTTGCTGCAAAACAATTGTCACAGGTGTTGTCTGGTTGATAGGATATGGGTATATCGGTGTTTGAAATGATACCATTTGATCCTTAACTTTAAGATTTAGAACATGCTGCGACCATAAGCTATCCGCTCTTTTACATTCGAATTTTACTTCTAAATCTGTGAGAAAAGCTTGATTAATAGAACAATTGACACTTGCAACATGATCAAACCTCCATATATCTTCGGCTTTAGTTTCGATGTGTAAAAAATCAGTACAGTCTCATTCGTATCCTGATAACCATGTCGCGGTGCATACTGGTACATATGGCAAGAAGCACCTAATGCGGATGTTGAAGATTCTAAGGTATTTGACTCTCTAGACATAATATCTGAGTCAACATCTCGAGTGACATGCTCAGTCATTCGGTCAGAGAATATTGTCGTCGAAGAAAATAAAATCAGCAATGGAGCACCATTATTGGAGACTTTCTTGCCAACTGTAAATGTTAATTGAGATATTTCAAGGTTAAATTTTTTGATTGTTTCTTTAGCCGTTGTTAATTGTGGGGTTGACTGTTCATCTGCAACAATGACATCATTTCAGTCCTTTCTTAAAAACATAGACAAGAACTTACTCGTAGAGTCGAGTACTCGTAAATCACCATACGCTTTTACGTCATCTGCTTTTTTCTTTACTACTCGTAAATTCGGAAAACTATGTTGAAACAAACCAAATTGTATTAACACAAAAAAAACTCTTTTTTTCTTCATACCACTTGATGCCACCAACGTCTTCTTCTAAAATCGGATACCAAACAGCTTGATTTTGACGATCATTATATTCTTCATTTTGAATGTCTTCGAGATCATACGGATGTATGTAGCGATGATTAGTGTTCTCATTTTCAACAGTTACCAAACAAACACGTATACAGTACTGTTCCGTAGAATTCAGATATACTTTTGGGATCTAGATTTAAATGTTTAAATTAAATACGCCTAATGGAGATAGACAACGTACGCGAATCGCTGGACTTTTGTAATTTGGATTATTTTGGCTCAGGAGAACTCCACGTCGATTTTGGTTACTTTTATAATCCGAACGGTATCGCAATTTCGACGAATGATACGGTTGTGCAATTATTTCCAGTGCTTCCACGGACGGGAGAGATGAGAAAGGTGTGAATGCTGGAAAAGATGTGGTAAGTACACTTTGGTTGATAATAATCGAAACATACTATACGAAGAAGCTGGACTATTTGTATTCATTGTAGAATGGCGTTTGCGTATTTGGAAACGAACAAATAATAATTAGAAGCCTACTATATGCTAGTTTGTATATATATGCATATGTTTAGACGCATTTGGGAAGAAAACGAAAAAATTCCCAGTCTACCTTTATTGGTCTATTCTATCCTTCCCACGTTACATCAGGATTCCCACAGTGGAAAAGTAATTTTGACTGTTCTACATGATAGTCATCCTTCGTGTTGTTTACGTTGAAAGAATACTTTCGTAAGCATTAGAATCGTTTCGTGAGATTCCTCAGTATTCCCTGCATGAAAACACGTGGTTCAGGTAGAGCAGTCGCTATTTTTCTTCCCCATATCTAACCTGCATGATTCATACAATTTCGGTACGTTCGAACTGGGCTTTTAAACGAAGATCAATAATTTCATTTTCACTATGTGGGGGAACGGGTTCCATCGATTGTCTATACTTTGAATTTGAGAGAGGTTCTTTCCTGGGCAACAACCTTCAACTTATCGTGTTACGAACATTAGAGGCCATACTAATATTGTACTTTTTTTTTCTTTTCTTTCAACACTCATTCATTCATAAAAGTCAATCATACACTAAACTTCCTATAGACAAAAAATGACTTATGATCTAGATGTACAGGAGAAAAACTGTATATTAGATTCAATCAAGGTAATCAAAACGGCATCATAAAAGCACATAAATGACTTAATAGACCTCTCATTTCACTCACAGTACATATGAAACTGCTTGCTCTACTTACTCTCCTTACATGCACTACTATCTATGTTTCAAGTTTGATCTGTTATCACGGAACGTCAGATCTTCTCACTCCGATCATAGTCTTGAACAGTGATTTCTGGGGAGGAAGGTGTACCAATGGTACGTGTACATGTACAAGTTACACATATATTTGTAGCACAAATGATACAATTTGTACATTACAAGAGCAGCAGTCACAAACACGGAAATGGATGTGGATGATGGTGTCAAACACAAGCTGCCAGCAAATGCTACAGACTTCGCAGAAATTTGCCAGTGTAACATGCTGTTTTACGAACTATTGTAATAATCAACATTTGAATGGTGCGATAGATGTAAGAAAAAGTTTTCATAGACATTTTGTAGTTATCATGCTAATTTTTCTTTCACATATATAATGGCAATAAATCTTCGATTCTATTTCCGACTTATTCAAGGGTGAAGGTGTGTGGGTGTGGATGTTATAGCGCATAGAGCATAGAAAAAGTGGAGAGGTGAGTATGTTGTCTGGCACACGGCTCGATGGCAGGACGAAAGATCTGACGGCTGGGTAGATCGACCGTAATTCCGGAACCTGTGGTTTCCAAACTTTCAATTGGCACGTTGACAAACTTATCAGTTTAGAGCTGGTCTACTCAAAGTCTAAGTTGATAAGATTTAGAATTTGAACAGTTTGAAACTCGAGTAGTCGAATTCTGAACTAAAAGATTCAGAATTGGAACGAAAGTTTTAATGGTCGGATCGAGTTAAAGATTTCTACACTACTTCTTTCTATTTAAACAATTTTATAACATACGAACCAATAGATATTTGTTATTTTTGTAATTTGTTCGTCTATATGCATATACTACATAGTGAAATTCTTTCGTTTTCTATTCTTACCATGCGTTAGGCTTTACACAAGCTCAAGCTTACGTGTTAATTAGGGAATCTCGAATCAAATTCAACTCGACGAATGCATTCAAATCTCTTCAATAGAACTTTTTATTCTCTATTTTATATTTATGTCGTGTACAAATAAAAGTTCAAATACCAATAAGTTCAAAAGCATGATTAAATACGTGCGATCAACTCTCACGAAAAACGATTTCTTTGCTCTTTCAAATGTAGTAAAAAAAATATAAACTTTTATTCACACCCTTTTGTTTTTCTATTTAACCCAGGACGATGATTCCTGAAGCGGGATTCCATGAATTTCCGACAAAATCCCTGAGGAAACTCGCCATTTCTGAGCGGAACCCGCTCGGAAAATGTCAGGAATCCGATGGAGAAAAGCGGTAACCATTTCCGGCTACCGGTTTTGACATGTTTCTGTCGGTTCCGGTCCAAACCCGATAAATTCGGTCACCGGATCCGCTCATCGGGTATACTGCTTCCATGAAATCTCCGGAATACCATGGAGCCGGCCGTTTCCGTGCCGGATTGTTCGACCTGGGAAGCCAGAAGAACGTAACTCCAAATCACTTACTGACAAGCGGTGGCTTCGTCGTTTTAAATACTACAATGTGGGTATTAAACTGGAAGCACAAAGAAAAAGACAAAATCATAGATTATTGTGGCTCGGTCGGTTCCGACCGGAATCTGGCGGCAAGGAACTTGCCGAATCCGATCGAAACCTGTTGAATTCGGTTGGAATCGACTGGAATTATACCGAAACCGACTCAGGTTTAAACGGATCCTGTCACCGGAATAATCGACTTGGGATGTTTCTGACCATTCAAGTAAAGAGAATATTTTGCTTAAAAGTAGCATATTAAATATTTGACAGTTTTAGATAGAAGACACGTTTTTAAAACAGCAGATTACTCTTGACATTGACAACCACGTGAAAAACGTTATTGGAAAATTCGAGTAAGATGGGATTGTTGATGAAAAGTCCTTGTATTCTTTTATAGATTTGGTGAAGTTGACGAATTGGAACGTGTCTTATATGGATATTTCAATGGATTCAAAAACGTCATTATCAGTGAATTTTTTCGTGGTAATTGGAACGACAATGACATCGTTCATCTCTTTCTGTTCTTTATTCTCTCACCTCTATATCATACTATCTCCGGGTCATATCTCTCTTTCCTCTTCTTTATATAAGCGCGTGTCTTATTGTGAAAGAGACACATTCTGGTCATGTAGAGTAGTCAATAAACATCGATACCGTGAGAAGCGATCAGCTACTCAACCAGTTTGTCGTTACAGTAATGACAGTCAATTACCGTCAGTTAACAGTACCCAAGCATCTCATGGTGAAGATATGCAACCGTTAAAACAACAGTCGTTGCCACTCGAATGCTCTGCTGGCCCACATGACCTTCCATATTCACAGATGACGTTTCGTGAGCCTTTCTTCGCCACATTCAGATCAATGTAATTAGAATTGGAAGGGTGACTCCGCTTTTACCAAAACTGTAAACCGAGAGAAGATCGACCTGCAATCTCTATGTATTTTTCAAGCAAAAGCGCAATCTGTGCAATACGTTTCTATATTGCTGAAAAGGGTGTCTGGTTTATTTTATTTGTTCAACATGATTACACCGGAAAAAACTCTAAAAATACAGAAGTGAAACAGCTTGATTGTTAAAATAGATTCGATACCTATGAAGTCACTTGTCAGTGTCAGTTTTGCACGAAGAGTATACTTTCTTGAGATATTTCACCGTCTCATCATGTTTTAATGATTCTGCTAGTTCGGTTGCAGTCACAGACCCACTTCGTTCATTGCCTTGTTTTTTCAGTTCTTCATTATCTAATAAGCATTTGAGTAGTTCAAGATCACCATAGCGAACAGCAAGATGAATAAGATTGTCATCATTACTCTTACAAACATCTTTATCGAAACCTGGAAGAAGAGCTCGCACAGCCCAGAGGTTATTGTGCATAATGGCTAATTTTAAGAGTCTCCGATTGGTTTTCTCCACCTTATCGAATTTTTCGTGCATATTTATCGATTTTCTCTCACAGTACTCAGCAAACACATCGAACATTTCCTTCAGCTCCTTGTCTTTTGCCATCAAGTGAACTATGTTCTCTCCCTCATTGTTCACTGCATCGAGTAATTCAGTAGACTTCTTCAACTCCAACAGAGCTCTGACCACACTGAGACGGTTGAGTCGTACAGCGTGGAGTAGAAGTGATTCACCATGGGGATTGGTCGACTGAAACAGGTCGATGTTAGTACCCGGAATGAATTTGACGAGTAGATCAGAATAATTGCGTGCGATGGCTATGTGAAGTAGTTGAGGTTGTTTTCGAATGAATGCTCGAGAGATGCGCAAGAATGGTTTCAAATCATTTTCAGAAAATAAAGCTGTAACACTTTCATATACCTTCGCTTGCAACCCTTCATCAACAGCTGGTGTACATACGATGCGGGAGGGTTGAGAGGCTGAAATGAGTTTTCTCAGTTAATCAGAAAAGTTTATGAGCTTACTGCGCAAATTGGTATGAAAATGAGCAGTTTTATTGTAAAATTACTCACTTGTTCTTTGTGGAAGGGATTTCTACAAATACTAAACATAAGTCAGACGTCTAGTGACGAATGAAGACAACCTACCAATTGAATAGTAGCATTAGGTACTTCAGCATCATCTGTGAACCCTTGCTCAACAAAGTGTTCTGCATTTTGATATGAATCCATACTATGGGCTACAACCCCGTCATATACTTTCAGTACGTACGGATCTAGAATGAGAAAGATATTGTGTACATATAAAGTAGAGCGACTACTTTACATTTTGGTCGATATTCATATACCAATGGAGCGTGCGCCATCTCTCTGCTCTCAACAATTATTGTAGCGATGGTCTTTTTATGGATCATTCTGGGAAAACGTGGCGTTTTAAACGATAGTGTGTAAGGTCTCACTTCAATATTTTTGTGATCAATCGTATGTGAGAGAATATCGTCTGGACCGAATTTAAATGTTATGCGTAAGTCTTTCGCCTCTTTACTACTAAGTGTTTTTGATAGCATAATGATCATGTCTTCATTGCCCTCAGAATCACCATAATGTGGAGCATATTTGACAATTTGCAAATCATTAGACGGTACATTGGATGCTGTCGTAGGTTTCTTGCTTTTGTTTGACTCCTTCTCATTTTTCTCCGCCATTTCTTCCGAATAGATAATCATTGATGGATCGAATACACTCGGGTACTCATCGTCCGGCCTCTGTTTCTTGCCAATCACAAATGCCAATTGTGCTCTCTTCAAATTGTATTCACTAACTAATTTTCTTGCCGTGCTTGATCCCGGAACGGTGGTGTTCAACAAATTCGCTCCTGAAACTGTAGAGATGCGAGAAATGATGACCTTATCAACTGAAGAGCCTCCTCACGAACCGTAGCCATAAAAAATATTCAATAATCCATCAGTTTTCATGTCTTTTTCATTTGGTTTATTGATTCGTATGTTTGGAAAACTGCAAATTTCGTACAATTAAACAGAATCAAACAGACCACAAAATCTTTCGTACCTTTGAAATCCTGTAGAACTCGGTGGTTGGATGGGATACCAAAGACTATTGTCTTTTTCATTTCGAATAGCCTTTTCTTCAACGTCCTGCAGACCATACGGATGAAAGTACCGACAGCTGGTTGTTTCATGAAGCACTGTTACAAGGAATATGCCAATATAATATGGTTCAGTTGTGTTGATATATGCCGGTGAAATCTAAAACCGAAGTTTATTAGATGAAAAGAAATTACAGGGGCAGTAATGATTAAATAGTTTACACGAATAGTTGGACCGGAGAAATTCGAGTTTGATTCTTTTGCAGTTAAAGTGCAACGACGACGGTCTTTCTTATACTGATCAATCGTACGTAGTCTGAACGTATAATGAGGCTGTGCAACAATTGAAAGAAGATTTTCATTGTACAGTGGTGTAGAAGTGTCTTCAATAACATCAGGAATATAGTGAACACACTTAAAAATGGCATATACCAATACGTAAAGATGGACTGATTGAACTAGATTCGGTGAGCAAATCCTCAGGGCTCTCAGCATCTATAAAAAAAACGATAGAATGAGGAAATAATCACTTGATACTACTCACTCGCATTCGACGAAGATGCCACTGAGTTAACCATGTCTAAAAAGACTAAAACATCGTGTAATATTGCCAGTTAAAAATACAAATATGAGTAGACCTTCATTTGAGTCCGGTTGATTAAGAATATCGTCTAATTAGAACAAAGAAAATTGTGATTGTTCGATGTGCATTCTGTAACTCATGATACCTATGAACTTCCTTGCTTCTGGGGATAATGCCACCTGATTGAGATCATCTGAATAAGATATTAGCGAATAAACCGAACGGATTTTATTATAATAGTTTATACCATCCGTCAATTCATGTGAGATATCTGCCACTGTCGACTCCATTGATCTGAAAGTATGGCGAGAAGCGTTATCTAATCATCTCCTTCTGCACAGTGAGCCGAAAGGATACTAGTGAAAATGGAGTACAATTATTATTTTATTTATAATCAGTAACAAACCCAACGTGGGTGAAAAAGTAAAAACGAAAAAATTAAGATGCATTAAACAGATCAACATAGTGACTATGATTTTTAGCTTGAGCAATGTCTTTCGGTGTTTGTTTCTCTTGATTTTTCCGATTGAAGAGTTTGACTTTCAGATGATGTGGAATCAATTCCAGAACATTTTTAATTGTATCAACAGCTTTATCTTCAGATACATCAGCAAGTAAATGGAAAATGTTATTACCAGAATTATCGACTTTCTCCAGAAGATCTAAACGTTTTTCCACGATAGGTTTCATAAGTATCCAATGGTTGAGTTTCGCCGCGAGTAGCAATGGTGTTTGACCATCAGCATTTGTTCGTTCGAGTAAGTTGTTCGGTCCACTTGACATCTCGGTTGTTTGTTCGATGAGTCGCAATGCTAAATCGACATAACCGTTTCGAATAGCATCATCCATCGGCGGTGGACTTTGGTCGCATTTTGAAATGAGAAGACGTGTACGACGAAATAGCTTCGATGGATTGTTTGTTCGAAGAAGACTGACAACAGCTTCTTGTAATTGATTGAGATATTTATCAAACTTTGCATTTGTTTCTAGAGGAAAAAAGCAAGTGAGTTATACGAGAGAAGTCAGTTGAGAGAAGAAGCAACATACCATCGCTTTTCGATTTTTCACTTGATTGAACAGGTGTCTAAGATATGACAACGTAAACTAAGAAAATTCAGAAGGAATATCTTTACTTCTTCAGTCGTTAGTTGGCTCATTTTTTCAACTAAAATTTCTGCTCCATCGAATTCCGTTTGGTCCATGATGACATGTCTTCGTTTATTAGTGGCTTGATTATTGATATTCATCATATCGACTTGACATCGTTGACAGATATCCGTAGCGTCTTTATTCGCTAAAATGAAACATATTGAAGTTACAATTACGATAAACTGGAAGAATTTACGAGCTAAATAGATAAATTCAACGTGTGCAAGAATCGTATCATTTTGTGTAACGACGAGGGGCACCGTAAGATTTTGCTGATTCGATTTCATGGCACATCTTGGTGTTTGCAAAAATATTGTTTTGGTATCAACAAACGATGCTTTGAAACCATTTAGTTGTCCCATAGTGCCATAGTCAAAGTATATATTAAATGCTGCAAGATTCGAATAAGTAATTTGAAAAGAATGATCGATTTCCAATTACCTTTTCGCCGATCAAGTTTAGGGATTGTCATTAGTAGATCGTCTCCACCGTTCCAATCTCCTTTTCTCGGCGTGCATATCACTGTGTCTTCATCTATCATTGGCATATACATTGTTTCATTGACCAACGAATCTTCTGAAATGAACGGGACGCATATTTTACTCTAATCTATTTCGAATCTAATCGAACTAACTTCGTCGTAAACTGGCTTCATCGCACATTATCTGAGATGTTACCGATGTAAAAGGTATTGTCGATGGAAAATGATTCCTATCCATACGTTCAGCGACGGTAAAAACGAGTTGCGATTTCCATAGCTGATAAGTATCTATGATTTGTTTAGCATCGTGGACATTTGTTGTGCGTGGAACGTCGAATTGATCTGAAAATTCAATATCGAAACACAATTACTCATAATCTTCAATATTCTTACTTAAATCCAATAAACGTAAAGGTCCGTATGATCGTAAATCGTGTTGAATCATTTTCTTACGACTAATTCGAAAACTACGAGACATGAAAACATATATGAATCAATGTTGGCTCTCTTCGTTGTGTCTTATATACCTTTTTTCGCCGCGAATCATTTCTTCGTGGGTGATGGGGAAGTATAGCGAATTATTCGAGGCATCTCGAAGAACATCTTTTTCTTGCGTATCGATTGTATATGGATGTATACAAACAATGGGAACTTTTTCAGATATAATAGTCACTAAAGTAACTCGAATATGAAGATCTCGATTTGCATCGCGCCATTTAGGTGGAATCTAGAGAGAAAAATAGACTTTCGTATGGAAAAATAAACAATATTACCTGTATTGTTGGATATTCGTATCTACTGGAATCATCGTCTGCGCGAATAAAACGCTGAGCTCGATTTTTACTTGGATCTGTTTCACTGCAATATCGTTCACGGTAAAATGCTTTTGGTTGAGCAAGAATACGAAGTTTTTCGTTGAGCTGTGCTGTAATAAGCGAGTCATCAAGACCATCTCCAAGATAAGATGTTTCAGCATAAGCAACGGGTGAACTCGAATACGATTTTGATTGCGGTGGAGAACTATTGCTGCTACTTTGCGACGGATTAGTACAAGACTGACTGTCACTGCTACCTAGAGACAAAACAACCAAATAAGTTTGAACATAGAGGATTACGAAATACTAACTTAGATCAAAGAAATCGGGTGAGCCAGCCTCGCCTGAATGCAATAAAGATGATGAATATGAGTGTATCGTTGCGATCAGAACTTACCTAGAACTCGAACAACAGCATCGGGTGATGGCGAGAACAAATGTTCATTAGGATCTTGAATATAGCAAAGAAGTGAATACTGACGCATATGTTTATCAATTGTTTCTTACCGTAATAAGTTGTATCTGCCATTAAGTTTACTGTATGAGTTTGCTTAGTTTATTCGAGATTTAATCTAAAATGTAGTAAATTCCCTCTTTTTTATACTAAAAGTAAGTTCAAATCGCCCACGTCAATCCCTCTCTTAAAGTATCGTGGGTTGGTTAGTTAATTTAAGTAGAAATAACGCACTTAAAAATCTTCCCAATGTATAACGACGAAGAAACATAGATGTAAGAGAAAGACGAAAAAGGAAAAGAAAAAGCATAAACAAGACGCTTAGGATTGATTTTATCGAGCAGAGTAGGAGAGCAGAGCGTAGTGAAATTAATCATTAACTCGTATGACTCAAAGAGAAAGAGATAAAATATCACTATGAAAAGCTTTTATTCGCACATTTGGTTTTTCTTACTAAACAAAGCACCATGAAAATCAATCAAGAAGATGTCTATTCGATGAAATGATATCGAAGAGCGATTATATAACTTTATCAGGATTGAGAATATTCAACGGATCGAGAGCTTTTTTAATAGCCTTCATTGTATTGATTCCTGATTGTCCGAACTCGTCGACCAACAACTCTTTCTTTCCAAGTCCAACACCATGCTCACCGGTCACTGTTCCACTCACACGTAATGATTCTCTAGAAATAACCGGCGAAGTCACATAATTTCAAGTAGCCAATGAACATACTTTGCTAAAGCCAGACTATATTCATGAACTCGTTCGATTTCTTCCGGATTTTTTGAGTCAACTATTACAAATACATGGAAGTTTCCATCACCGACGTGGCCAACTATAGGTCTACAAAGAGAAAGTTTCATTATCAATAAGCCCTAAATAGATTATACGACATACCCTAATAGATTCAATCGTTTCAGTTCATTTTTAGCGAATGTGATCATCCCCGGTAAAGCGCTAATTGGAACACAGACATCAGTGCTGTAACCCTACAAAGAAGACAAGATATAATATGAGAGAAAAACATTTCGAATTCGTATTTAACAATTTCTCGTTAGTTTTAATTCAGGACAACAAATGGGAAGAAATAGTACCGTTGTTTTGCTCCAGACTTTGACGCCATTCTTTTTTTTATCTCAGTACTCAGAGATATGCAAAACGATGATTATCGTTCGAAATACCAACAATATGCTAAGTGAGTGGGACTTCCCATATCTGTTTTTTAACAAAAATACCACACAGACGCATTCTTAATGGGACATACGTATGCACAACAGACTTTACACTCCAATATCAATGTCCTGCAGGTAAAACTATGCGGGGCACGCCGATCAGACTCTCACTACTAGTACCTGTATTCAAAGAGTAAAAACAGTATTTATTATACACTGGCCTTCATACAACAAGGACAATAGGATACTATTTATATTCGTGACTCATGAATACATATCGAATAATATATATATCGCTCATTCTCTCTCTACCGTTATCTTTTCAAATTCTATAGATATGCGTCGAGTAGTCATGCATGAATGAAAGCGAAAAGGTGACTTGCTCTAACCAACAGATGACGTCATGAACGGTTACAAACGATATATTTAGATTTCATTTGACGTACTTTGCAACCTGGTTTAAGAGCCTGAGCCGCGTACCATGCATTGTGTCTTGCTTTCCACAGTTCATTGCGTTTGTCGGGCTCAGTTGAAAAATCAAATTTCAGACACTCGTATGATTTACATGTCTCCTCTGCAACAACATAGATTAAATATAATTTTATACTGAAACGATCTCTATCTTTACCTGCTAATTGCCCTTGAGCTTCGATATTACTGTTGCTGCCGTGAAATTCCAAAAATAGCGTTGGCGCAACATCTAAATGTAATTTCGAGAAACGGTTGCATGCGTCGACCATCTTTTCATCGAGAAATTCGATTCGGGCTACTGGCAAACCACTCTGCATGATCGCTACAGTCGCGTCCACAGCTGACTGAAAGTCTTTGAACGGAGCAACTGCTGCCAACACCTACTCAACAACAGAGCAACTTCATTGTACATACAACAACAGTTTCCACTTACTGCTTCAGGCGTTGCATGCAGTTTCAGAGTTGCTTCAGTTATGATGCCTAGTGTTCCTTCTTGCCCAACAAACAAATTGGTTAAATTATATCCCGCCGATGTTTTTCGGCTGCGACCTTTCAGACCCGATGTTTTGATGACACTACCATCCGCTAGCACCACCTCCAGGTTCATCACATTTTCTCTCATTGTTCCCTATTTAAACGACAGTGGGCACAGGCTCGATGAAAGATGTAGATGATCAAGCTCACATATCGAACAGCCATCGTTCCCGACGCACTAGTTGCACACATGCCACCGAGAGACGCGTCCGCACCGGGATCGATGGGAAACTGGAGACCAGTATCTCGAATGAAGGAGTTGAGTGCATTTCGGGTGACACCAGCTTGCACAGTACAATCAAAGTCTTCGGCATTGACAGAAACAATCTTGTCCATTTTACTCAAATTCAGACATACACCACCCTAATGAAAATATCGTATAGATATTATCAGGAATGATATGATTGAAGTATAATACGTACGCGCGGAGCTGTTACACCACCTACACATAAAAAATAAATAAAGTTACTTTGAATTCAAAGAAATCAATGTAAGTTCACCTTCTAAGCCAGTACCCGTTCCGAAAGGTATGACAGGAATCTTTTTCGATGCACAATATTTCACAACTTGCGATACATGATCAGTACTTTGTGCGAAGACAACTACATCAGGTTCATGGCTCCTGTAAGAAAAACGAAATCGGTAAGCTCTAAGGATATGATGGGAAGGGATGTCGTACGCATGATAAGATTCGTCATGGCTGTGTTGTTCTCGAACAGCGGCAGTACTTGAGACGTTGTCATTTCCAAGAATGCCTTTCAAATCGTTTGCGAGAGCTTGCGATGAAGCCTGGCGATAGGCGAACTAAAAAGTAAAATTCAATCAAATAAAACTTTTCATAAAGTGAAATGAAACAGATGAATACCTTGCGAAGAACATTGGGTATTGATGTAGCACGAACTTTGAAAAGATTCATTTCTACAAAGGAAATGAAAAGGATTAGAATCCATCAACAATAATCAAATGCTTTGGAGAAATGAATAAAATGAGTGTGAATAGAATTACAAATAAATACAAAAATGAATTGTCTATAATCACATGGAATGGTTACGATGTTTGTCCACTCTAATATCGACATCAATAACTGTTTCTTTCCAAGACCAATGCCATGTTCGCCTGTAATCGTACCATCCACACGTATGGATTCTCTGTAAATACACATCGTTATCATAAATTATACATATCTCTACCCTCGTACTTTGCTAAAATATGAGAAAACTCATGTAAACGGTTGATCTCTTCTATATTTTCCGGATCTGCTAGTAGAATAACATGAAAATTTCCATCACCAACATGCCCAAGTACGAATCTAAATAGTAGAAACAATTATGGTGTATCGACTAGATGCTATATTTTCTGTGCAGCACCATTGAACAAGTTTGTGAGAGCTGTTACCGTTCAGGAATACGTACCCTAACAATTTCTACCGATGCAGTTCATGTTTTGCAAGAGAAATCATTCCAGACAACGCTGTAATTGGTACGCAGACGTCCGTGGCGTATCCCTAAAAGGCAGAATAAATTGCTAATTTTTATTATGTCTTCCGCAAATATTGTACATGCAGTTTAGTGTTTAATTTGTAACTAATCAATTTTTATACAAACCAATTATTGTTGGGCGTAGGATGTAATCATATAAGATTTCTCTTGTACTCACTTTCGATCTCGGTCTGACAGCTTGAGCAGCATACGATGCATTATGCCTTACTTTCCACAGCTCATTACGTTTATCAATGTCGGTGGCAGAATTGAATTTCAAACCATTATATGATTTACATCTTTCCTCTACATATAACAATAACGATGTCTTTTCAAATACATTCCTCACTGAACAAAATTCTTTCTTATATATTTCTCTCGGTATAAGAATTATGTCTGTCTCCAGAGTACATACCAGCTAATTCTCTTTGGGCTTCAGTGTTTCGTTTGCTTACATTGAACTCCAAAAACAGCGTTGGTGCAACATCTAAATGTAACTTCGAGAAACGGTTGCATGCGTCGACCATCTTTTCATCGAGAAATTCGATTCGCGCTACTGGCAAACCACTCTGCATGATCGCTTCAGGCGGTGCATGCAGTTTCAGAGTTGCTTCAGTTATGATGCCTAGTGTTCCTTCTTGCCCAACAAACAAATTGGTTAAATTATATCCCGCCGATGTTTTTCGGCTGCGACCTTTCAGACCCGATGTTTTGATGACACTACCATCCGCTAGCACCAATCAAAGTCTTCGGCATTGACAGAAACAATCTTGTCCATTTTACTCAAATTCAGACACACACCGCCCTAATCAACAGATAAGCAGATAGATTACATCATTAGAAGAAATTGTCTTGAGTACGAACATGAGGAGCTGTGACACCACCTGAGACGAAATGAAGGACACTGTATGAGTAACACTTCTGGTATATCACCTACCCTCGAGACCAGTACCGGTTCCGAAAGGTATGACAGGAATCTTTTTCGATGCACAATATTTCACAACTTGCGACACATGATCAGTACTTTGTGCGAAGACAACTACATCAGGTTCACGACTCCTGTAAGAAAAACGAAATCGGTATGCTCTGAGGATATGATGGGAAGGGATGCCGTACGCATGATAAGATTCGTCATGGCTGTGTTGTTCTCGAACAGCGGCAGTGCTTGAAACGTTGTCATTTCCAACAATGCCTTTCAAATCGTTTGCGAGAGCTTGCGAAGAAGCGGAGCATCGAACGAACTGCAAGGTAAGATCAAAGTAGTTTCTATCGAAAGTTGTAGAGGTGATAAGGCAATTTATCACCTTGATGACAGACAACAGATATTGTGGCTTTGTGATATTCATTTTCAAGTACACCTGACGAACAAAACAGAAGTTCTACAGTAAATGCTGTATTGGCATGGTGAGCATTTTATTGAATATCACACTAGTCAACGTTTTCCTTGAACAGCATTGCCAAGTCGTTACACAAAGAATTCGATCGACTCGTTGTTCGTTTTGGCTTCAGACAATTCGAAATATTCACCTTTTGATCGTCATCATCAATTGTTGGAATGAAACATATCTACAAAATCACATTGATGCTTATATTTAAAAATTGGAATACAACATATAAAAACAAAACAATTATAACTGTTATTGTTTGTCATAAAATCGTCTGTCGATTTTTGTACAATCAAAAGACATGGAACAAATCATTCTTTTCATTTTCGTACAGATGTGAAAGACAGACAAGGAAAAAAGCAGAAGAAGAAGAAAAAGATTTAGAATATTATTAAAATGGAACATATAAGAACACTCACACACATAGAATTGAATGAATGTACATAAAACAAGATTTGAATAGAACACCGGTGCAGGATGAGTAACGATAGGAATTATTAAAATAGATTAGTTATTTCCAGCACCAAATATTTCAGTACGTTCGTCATCATTCAAATTGATTTGAAGTGTTCGACGTACTAAACGAGAAAAATTTTCTATAACGAACCAACCAAATGAAAACTGAGCAGGAAAAGCTTACACGATTGCCGTTGTGCATATCGAGCTATTCGACGTTGTCTGATGATATCTTTCGTTGATGTTATGGCTGCATTTTTCACAAGATTGTCGAGTAGTTCATCGCTAGCATCAAATGGTTCATTTTCATTTGGATTTGACGGTGGCGGTGGTGGTTGTTTCGGCACTGATGTTGCTGAAGGTGGCGCCGAAGCTTTTTGTATATTACTACCTGAAGTTAGTCCAACGTAGTGATACTGCTCGAGGTAAATAATCATTCGACATATGGGGAAGACTAGATTGTTTTTTTTCTGCTGTTATCGGGTAATATAATGTCTACGTTCGTTTTTTCTACACTTGTTTTTTTCATGTCACGAAGAACAGTAAAAGAAGGAAAGGAAAAATGGGTACATTGACTTCGAAGCTGCCTATGTTGCCCTCTTCTCGCAAAAGAAATGCACTGTGCTAGTTTTTTTTTTCGTGTATTTAACCTTGAAAACGAGACTCACTAGAAGCTTTTTGTCGTAAGCGATGGCCAGGCATGAGTTGACCGTCTTTTGACGAACTTCGAACGACAGCTGCAAGGTCGCTGAATACATTTGGTTGAACTACTTTGGGAGCGATAGGTTGTTTGTAGTTTCTTTCAGCGGCCGGAGGTGCCTGCGGTTTCATATCGCAATCTTGTGGAATGTATACCGAATAAATTTTGTCCTTAGACAATCGACGACGATATCCAGGTTCATCTTCTGTACGAAATCCATTCATCAGTGCATCTTTTAACGGACTGCTCTTTTCGGAGAGTATCTGCAAAATGTTTATAGTTGATTTTAGAATTGTTTGATAGCAAAACCGTACCTCGGTGATCAATTTGCCTCGTGTTTTGTTACGCTCACCGCGATTTAGTTTCTTCAATTTCTGTGTGGAAATACGTTCGCGTGTGGTTCGATACTCCAGAGCAAATTCACTGAGAATTTTGCAGAATTGTGTAATCTTCGTTTCTTGAATAGCACTGCGAGAATAGCCAAGCCATAGGAGAAATCTGTTGAAACGGTTTATAACACGTCGATGTATTAATCTCAACAAAGCCACACGTTCGGTGCAATCGCTAAGAAATTCCGTCAACCTAGTCGAGGAAAGAGATCAGAAATTCAAAAGATGAAAGAATAAATAGTATAGCGAAAAGCGATAAGCGAGAACTTTTCATCTAGTTCAAAGTGGAGCGCAGAATGAGGTACATACGTGACATTATGGATTTTCCCATGATGTTTAATATCAACTCTGAAAATGAGCGTCTCTGGTGAATAATGTCTTTCTCAACAAGGTAAGTCTTCTTTCTGACTCACGACGAATCGAACGAAGATTTCTTCGACAGAATACGTACTTTGTTTTGATTTGTGGTATTTCATGTTTACTGATCGCTTTGAGATGGTCAAATGCCGCGCGACAATCATTTTCAAGTTTAGTTAATTTTAATTCCAGCTCGTCGAAATCAATCTAAAGAAAACGATTATTTTTCGCTAAGAAGATCACGATATAAACACTAAACATACTTTAGAGCATCGTGTAATTTCTCCTATCTCCGAGTAAAGATCTGTTGTATCAGGATACTTCTCCACAACAAGATTACAAACGTGGAAGAGCAACGAATGCTTTTGAATAGTATCTTTTACTTCAGGTACTTTCGCTAGATAATCAAGTTGAAAGCCGATCGACTAAAATGAAAAATATTGTTATTGGATAGAAAATTCTTTTGATACCGACGTCAGCGCCATTGAGGAAATTTCCGATTGCAAGAAGAACTTCAAGTATATGTCGTAGTGTCGTATTCTCTTTCAAATTTTTCATTCCATTCTTTAAATCCATTAACGGTTCAGCAATTTCCTACGATAAAAACCTTATCATATCTTTCACAATGATCTATCACAATAAAACGAACCAATTCGATATTATCAAAATCGAGTTTGAATAACCACAGTTTTAGACGAGCTTCTAGCTCAACAACAGAAGCGAGTGTTAATAAGAATTGTTCAGCACTGCCTAATGGAAGATCACTATTAGCCATTTGAGCTTCAATGATACGATTTTTTTCTTCTTCCGTTGGTAACATGGTTAATAATTTCTAAATAAATCAGAATAACAGTTGTATTACAGCTCTTGGGCAGATTTCGAATAGATCCAAACTGGAACTAATTCGTTCATTGACAAATGGCTTTCAATCAATACTACACATATCCTTGATTGTCTTCTCAAATTTGACAATGACAATTCAATCAATACGCTCCCCTTGAGTATATTCATTCGCCTAGAAACTAATTAACTCTTTCCTATGTAGTAATTGATCAAGACGTACAACGGTTTTCACCTTTGAAAGTCGTGTCTGTTACGGTATGTGTTGATATGTTCGTCAAGGTGTCTGTCATTGTCCTCGTATGGAAGAGGAAGGAGCATCTTTTAACAAAAGAAAAACTTGTCCTAATTTTCAAGGAGCAAATCAAATATTGAAAATAATTGAACTATACAGCCAAGAATTCATATCTGCTATCAATTATCGAACTGTTCAGAGAACTAATGTCTACATTGAGCACAAGAGAGAACAATTTTTAAAAAAACTCGACATTTATCTTATCATCTTAGAATTAATCTCATGATCTTCAGTTTAGTTGGATGAGATAAATAGTTCACTGGAGCATCATCCTGTATATCTATCTATCTAATGTATCGTCTAGTGATCAAAATGATTATCGAAATGACCTGCAATTGAGTCACTTACTTCAATGCCTTCTTTGTTGATGACACTGCTATCCATTTTTAAGATTGCGCCTTTAATCGTTCGAGCTGTCGGTAGAACTGTCAAGCCGATATTGATTGCATTTGAACGTTTGGGGTCAAGCACGGTAATTTCTCTCTTTGCATCGACATTCTTCTGTGAAATAGAAAGAAAACAAAAGTTTTTTAGTGAGATCATTTTCGAAGTGACCAGTGAAGAAACCCAAAAAAAAGTATCAGAAGCGAATAACTAAAGCACACGCACACAAAGAAAGAATAAGAATTTTCAATATCGAGAGCTATCCCCGTGTTAGTTATTCACAAACGAGAAGGAGAGAAAGAAACAATCATTGAGTGCCATGAGTGGACAAATCGGATTATAACACACAGTTGAGAATCGACAACATTGTCAAAATATTTATCATCAAACGAAAATTATAAAAGAATAGAAGCCGCCAATGAACACATTCAACATATCTATGTACTTACGGGTTCCTGCAGAAGATAACAAAATAAAGTAGGTAAGTTGATGAGCATCACATTAAAAACGAAGTCTCTCCTTTGCCATTCTATACTATACCTTTATTTTCACATCAGCATGTTTCAATTCGAATAGTTGTGATAATCGCTCAGTATCGACTTTCACTTTGTTCAACGATGTCCAAAGAGACTCTTCGCCATTCAGTGCATCTTGTATAGCATTAGGAGCTGTTTCACGCCAGTGCAAACGTATGGTTTTCAGTGGTTTATTGATTGACGATGCTCGTGAAATCGACGAATCTCCGTCGAAATTACCATTACTCATATACGATTGTGAAGGTCCACTATTCCGTGCTGCAAACAATGATGGCGGTGGAGGCGGAGGGGGTGGTGGAAAACTACTGCCATTCGTCATTGGAGGTGGTAAAGGAGGCGGAGGAGGAAAACTGCTGCCATTCGTCATCATGGATGACATTGGAGGTGGTGGCGGTGGCGGGCCTGGACGAGCAATAGTTATAGTTAAGATATTTGCATCATCTTGTTCGTCCAGATCTTCGAAATTAAGATCTTGTACACATAATTTGCGATCCAATACTTTTCCATTAACGTACTCCCATTGGAGATCATTGTCTGAGAATGGTTTCGGTACGAGCGCATCAGGTGATTGAATAGGTACGGAAAAATGCACGCTTGACAATGGTGGCGACTTTGTTGTTGCTGCTTGTAATCCTAGAAGTTCAAGCTTGACCTACACTTTCATCGACTTACAACTACAAACACCTACCATCTTTAGCACGTGTGACTGCACCGATAAGTTCAGGTGATTGTATGAGTTTTGTCTCTTTTATTGTTGCATTCACTAGCGAAACATCATTTCCACCCATTGTATGCATATTAATTTGGCGTGTTAGAGCTTCAATTGTATTATTACTATTTGGACTACGTTGAAGGTGAAATGGAGCGCGAGAGAAGACTTGTACTTCAGTCGGACGATTTGGTGATGGTGGTGATTCGGGCTCGGAATTGTTCGAACGACGTGTAAAACGGCTGGACGGAACAGTATGATTATTATTGATCGTCAGTGATGTTTTAACTATATGTAGACAATTGCGTATGCGTCCTTGTCAACAACATTTGTTACTTACGAGGTGAAGTTACTGATGACCGGTGCGAGTCCATCGCTGGACTTTGCCGATCATTCGAAAGTCCCCAGCGATCTCGAGTGCGTTCATTGGTCGATGTTCGTGGCACTTCTCGCTGGATAATTTCTGATTCCCAATAATTTTGTCTTCGCCGAAAAGTAATACAATCCGCTGTAGGTTTCGGTCTGAATAAACAAAGATTCTTTTTGTTTCGCATCGAAAGTGGAAGAATGTGCGGATGGTAAATTTTACTTACACATCTGGATCTTTTTTGAGAAAGGTTGATATTGGTTGAAACGTGTTTGATGAACTTCGTCGCATACTTTGTCTATTATCGACAGCACTTTTCGCTCGTGCTTTTTGCCTGCAAAATTAGAAATCAAGAAATGATGAACAAAGAATGAGAAGTAGAAGGAGAAGGAGAAGAAGCATCCAAGCAAAACAAAAAACTGCTAATATTCTACAAGGAAAAAGAAGAAGAAAAGATGAGGACAGACACAGACAGAGCATAGAGAAAGAAAAGAAAAAAAAGGCAATATAAAATAAAATAACCATACTCATCACTATCATCATCATCATAGTCATCATCATCTATATCATCATTAAACGATACGGTTGAATCATCTTGTCCATTCAATAAATTGATCACATCATTATGTTGTCGCAATATTGAATCGGTTAAATCTAAATCATTTGGATTAATCACTTGTTGACCATTGGAATCGACTGATGAATATCGGCGAGATGATGTTCGATCGAATACAGATTTCTTACGAGGAGCACGTCTATCAAAAGCACGAAGGGTTGAGAGATTCAATCGAAGAATTCTGCTCATGCAGGGTTACAAAAACAAGAAGGTCAAACAACATCGAATACGAGAAAGTCTCTTTTTTGCTCCGTACAAAATTACCTCAAGCGAATATTATCCTGAATACTGGACAATGACGGTGATCTAATATACGAAAATGATTTTCCGATTTCAAATGCAAAGATCTCAAGGTAACATTGCGCTTTAATCAATTACATACCTCGTTGGTTGAGTAAATGCTTCATCGTCTTCACGTCGAAGAGCGGCCTAAAATAGAAACACGTTGTCGATGATCACATGTCATTTATGCTTTATCATTTCCGTAAGAATGCCACTTACGTCATAGATATGAAATTGTTCGATTAGATCTTCTTCAATAGGTTTCCGATTCAGGAAAAATTGTGTACATCGCTGCATGCCTTGTTGCTCCAAAGCGTCTGTCATGTCGTAGAATGTGTCCTGATCAGGTATAGCTGACAGAACTGTATTGAATAATGTGACAATCAATAGAACGACTTCTGTTGAGGCATTCTCTAGTTCATTCATTATTCCCATCGCATTTGACCATAGAGACCGTTTCGCCGAACGATCGACTTCAGCGACAGCAGATAAGATTAGTAAAGCATTGGATTCGGTGTATTCAGCGAAAATAATCAAAAGTTTTAAGCTCGTTTTCACAACAAGTCGAAACTAAAAACAACATAGGAAAGACTTTTCCAATAAGAAATTCTTGAAGGTCACTACTCTTACACTGGAATCCACTAATGAATAAAGCCACTGAACAACTTCGTTTTGTTCTATCACGGCATTCATTCCATCAATATATAACATCAATTGACCAAGTGCTAGAGGAGAACCACCGAGTCGACAATGATTTCGAAACCAGTCTTTTTCTTACCACGTAATATATAGTTTTGATAATTCTGATCCGCTGCTCCACCGATTTTGATCAAACATTGTAAACCTTGATTATTTACAAATTCATGAACCAAATCTTTATCATCCTTGAGAAGAAAAAACGTCGATTTAATTATTTCTCGATACTTCCTTCTCTCTCGCTTTACTTGGAATATTTGCTTCAATGAAAACAGCGATCGTCGTAATTCACGCCCGTTCGAATTCAATAATTTATCTTCAAATAAAACTTCTTAAGAAAACAGAAGACACTCATCGATATTTACTCACCTATACAAGCATGAACTCGAACGTTGAGTTGAGTACGAAGAACAATTGACCATTTATATCTGCAAATACAGTAGAAAGAAAAATAACAACTATCAATTCATACAAATTCAACAAACCCTTCCGTAAACGTTTCGATTTCCTCTCGTTGCTCGTTCAATGTTTGATCTAGATCCAAATAAGGTCCAAATTCCGTTTTCGTGCCGTCTTGTCGATACAATTCCAGTGTACAATCCGTAATCTAAGACAAAAAGAAAATCCATTGAGATTTCGTTTGATCGCGAGTCAATCTGTTTACATCATGTGGAGCATTGAGAGCTTTGTGTACACTATGTAATTGATTACTTAAAATCGTCGATGTTAGAAAAACGAACGATGGAGGTCGGGCTGGTTCAGGTAAATTGACACTTGAAAACGGATCAGTATCATCGAGATATTGAATTCGACAGAGTAAGGTTGATGAAGATAAATCGAGATTGTCATCGAAGTTTGTCATGATATATGATTGTCACGTCGGTTTTACTTTACCATCTAAAAAAAGAAGAAAATCGAGTTTTTGCCTTGCTCTTGTTTTACAATCCTCATATCTCTTGATTTTTATCAGAAGGTCAAGAGAAAACAAAGCTTTTTATATTTATTAATAATTCCAAAGTATTCTTCTATTTCAACTCGAAATAATGATGAAAGGATTGTCATATAACATTCTAGTCAAAAAGAAGAAGTTGATGCATCGATTGTGTACGAAGAAAAGAACGTTGACTAAAGAGAGAGAGAGAGAGAGAAAGAGGAAACAGCACGTTGACGTTTTATATGTGGACAGAAAGGAGAAAGAACAGCTTATCGTTCACTACACGCTTCCAGTACATGAACATCTCACACGTTTCACCTCTTTCTTTCTCTCTCTCTTTACGTTGTCTCCACAACATGAATAAGCTTCTCTCAGAGGTTAGCTCGTGTCTATAGACAAAGTAGTAGTACGGTAGACATGAAAGATATTGTTGTCTACTTCTTATGATTAGACAGAGGTGATAACGCGACAGTCAGAACAAAAAAACAATTTTGGCCGACGTGACAACAGGCTGTATTAATGAGAAAAGAACAAATAAAAGCTTTCTTACATGATCAAAATATAATAAATCACCGAATGTTTTCGTTTTCAATCGAAGAAATCAAAGACAAAAATCAACTCACAGATGGGCAAGAACAACAAGGTGAGATCGGTAAAAAGGGGAACTCAGGGATGGCTATCGTTATATGTGGAATACGATGAATTCGAATATATTCACTAATGAATAATCGATCATGGCGATAATGTAACTGGATTGACTGAAAATCTTCTTTGGTCATTTCATGATGAGTACTCGATTTAGATAATCTATCCAAGAGTCGAGATAGACGATTGCCAATGTTTACAAAAGAATTGAAACTAAAATAAAAGAAGAAGAAATCTTAGTTTCTGTTGAATAAGAGATTGCTTATGTAATCAAACAACGTCTTTTCTATTTTGTTTTTAAGATGATTTAACTTACGTCATCGGCTTTTTCAAACGATTACGATCGTTACGTGTTAGTTTAATAATTGGCTGTAAACTAGAATCATTTGTTTGAAATAAAACTTCGTCATCACAATTAATGAAAACATCGTAAGTAGATTTCTTTTCTTGAAAGATGTTTTCAGTTGTGCAAGCGATGTATGATGTTTCTTCACCTAACATTGGAAGATCTTTGATAGTAACGAAGAATAACGGATTGATAGATTGATTAAGAAGATGAAGAAAGTAAACTAGAGAAGAATCTTGGCGATTAAAGTAGAAGAAAGGAAAAGATTTACCTGCATTGCAAAGTGAACCGATTGGTGAACGTGAATAGAGTAAAATACGCTTTCCAAGAAGAGTTAACCTTGACAATGGGAATATCGACGGTCCGAATTTGTGAAGAAATTCCATGAATAAAGTTTCCTATGAATAAATCTGATCAATGTTTTTTTTCTAGGGTTTCTTTGGTGGTGGGATTGTCAAGTGTTTGTCAACCTATCATGTCGCACGAGATTTCGTCTTGCAGGATGTGAAAAATTTAGACGAGACATTTCAATTGACTTTATAATTCATCTAGTAGTTGACAAGTCTCGAAAAATCGTTCGTTATTGAGGACGTCTTCGTCATATCTTACATAAATTAATGGTGAAAGTGAAATTGGCTGATCGTGATGTGATAGAAGTCCTCTCAAACGATCGTAGTTGACCGGCGATTGATGAAGATAAATCCTGAATGATCATTCGAGATAGTTTCGATGTAATCATTAATAACAGATTTACTCGGCTTCAGCTTGCAAGAATTGAAGATATGACTGAATATGAATGATTGACGAAGTGATGATACCAACGGATTTGATACACATTCCACGTTGTGATGGAACGACAGTAGATACTGCTGATGTATTATCTTCATTGCTAATATTCGCTCGAGCTAGACATGCTAGACCGTATTTATTTCCATGACGAAAGTATCTAAATATAATAATTTTCGATTTTATGCAATAATGGTAGCAATACAAAACAGGGCCTAATTTCGACTTGTTAAAAGAGAAATCTTACACGAAATCTTGATTGACACGATGTGATCCACTCGGTAGTGCTTTGTATTCGACATCATTCAATGCCATTTGGTTTTTTTCTGGCATTTGAAATTCAATGGTATTACCTATGAATAGCGTCAATTAAATGTAAAGAAGAAAAAATGTTTTTTTTTCCTTGATAATGATCCTACCATCTTTCACATCGAACGTTACAATAAAAACAGCTTCGACAGTTGGTTCTCGATCTTCTGATGTAATCAATTGTTCATCGTCATCAGCAAGCAAAGGTACGTCATCGTCGTTATCACTTGCCATACTTCTTTTTCCCTCTTATCTGAATTTGAAAGTGAGAACAGATCGACTAGGTTTAGTTGTACTATTTCATAATAATAGTTTTCATCGTACTGAAGGACGAATGCGTTGTATAGATTATAATTAGCGGGTAGAAAAACATGTACAGGTAAATTTGGGATCACATTTTTTTTTACTTCAAAACATGTTTAATTGATTAATCATCTAATTGTAGGTAAGAATGACCAATCAAAAGATGAAGGGGACTTTTTTTATTTCAACTAACGACATCTTGTCTGAAATCTTCGCATTGAACAAAATTTAAGCTGGCAGATGAAGAATATCTTATATAAACGAGTCTTTTTTTTCTTTTGTTACCCAAATGATGAATGAGAGACATCAAAAATCAAGAATAATAAATAGACGGAACATAGATAACCCATAGGTTGACATGAAAACAAAACAAAATAACAAGATGATTAAAATAAAATGAAATCTTTAAGTTTTGTATTAATATTAAGAATCACCGTTGGCTGTGGCTTCAGCAGCAGCTGCAGCAGCAGTACCATCTCCATTAGTCGTTGTTTGTGAGGCGTTTTTTGCGTCAGGATTCTAAAGCAGCAGTAAGAAATAGAGTGAACCGAGAAAATATCGAAATTCAATTACCTTCTTCTCTTTCGCTGCTTTCTTCTTTGCTTCTTTCGCTTCTTTATCTAATTGCTGTTGTATTTTTCTTCGTTCCTTTTCTTCCTGTTTATTTTTTTCAGCTAAAAGCGCCTTTTCACGTTCCTCTCGTAGCACTTGTGGATCACAAAACTTAATCGTTGCCTGATTGCTACCGGCTATGAAGATAGGAATTAGATTTCGTTCCTGAACAGCAAACAAACAATCGTCTCTTACTGCGATCTTCAAGTCGAACACCTAGTTCAGGTAGTACTTCATTTCTGACATGATCACATAACGTTAGAATTTCTGTATTTTTGACAGCAATTGCTTGCGTACGTACAGCGTCTCGAAACAGGGCGAATTGTTCCACATACGGCATGGCGATATCTTCGACGTTTACAGCTGATGCTTGTTGATCACCTGATCGTGCGAAGCCGATCTCTTCAGCTCCTGACCCGGACCCATTCAAGCCGAAGATGTTTATCAATCGTGTAATGTACATAGCGATGTTTCTCAGCAGAAGACGATTGGGCGTTGTAGTCGTTGAATTCATGTAGATATTAGTTGCGGAAACCAGTAGACGAACGTTTTCCATAGCAGTTGGCGTGTCAATCGAATCGCATAAAGCCAGATGAATTTGTTTTTTAAACGTTGAAAAGCGTTCATTCAATTCGGCATCATGTTTTTCAAATTTCGTATATGCATTCGAATGATTCATTTGTTTAATTGAACGTAAATGAGTTTTTATGTTAAGGAAGAATTCACTCAACATTTTCTCATATGTCAAAGCCTTTTCCATGCCATGATTACTATAATCCAATGTCGACGCCCATGAATGCAATAGAAACAAAAGGCGGATCTGTCGTGACGTGTAACTTTCCAGAGCTTGTTGAATGGTAATGAAATTTTTCAATGATTTCGACATTTTGCATCCTTGAATTGTTAAATGACCACTATGGAGAAAGTAATTCACCCAGTTGTCGCTATCGAAATAAGCTTCTGATTGAGCGATTTCATTGTCATGATGGGGGAATTTCAGATCGATGCCACCAGTGTGGATATCAAATTCTGGCCCTAGGATAGCACTAGCCATGACACTGCATTCAATGTGCCATCCGGGTCGACCGAGACCCCAAGGAGATTGCCACACCGGTTCGCCTTGTTTACTTTTTTTCCAAAGAACAAAATCGCAATCGTTTCGTTTTTCTTTCTGCGTGTTTTCAGTTACTGTTAATGCGCCTTCGCCTTCACTTAATGCAGCAAGGTCCCCCATTCGATCAGGTTCTAATTTGGCATACGCATGTTGTTTATGAAATTTGATTGTATCAAAGTACACCGATGAATTCGATTCATAAGCGTAACCATTTGCAATGATCTTTTCGATAAACTGGATGATTTCAGGTACATATTCACTCACACGTGTCAGTACATGTGCGGGTAATATGTTCAAGCGTGCCATGTCCACATGAAACTCTGTTTCGTAGTGGCGAGCTAAATCGAGAAAGACTTCATTGTCGAGTGGATTCGTTACATGAGAGTAGATCGAATCCAAATAGGATGGGAGAATATCGCGGCAATCTTCAAATAGTTTCTACGACGAAAACAGAAAAACATCATTCAATTAAGATAAGAAATCGGCAAAAACAGATAATTTACTTTTCGTTTCGCTTCGTCATCAGATACGAGGTGAAGATTTTGAAATGCTTTTTCGACAGATTCGATTTGTTTATCGTACATCCCTTGTTTGTCTTTGTCATTTTCGCGAGACCGGACATCTTTAACGTGCTAAAAACACTAGTTCTAATGATCTTGTTCCGAAGAGGATCTTCATAAGACCTACTTTAAATGCTGATTGACAATCTTCATGAATCTTTTCCAATGACAACGAACCATCTTCCATATATTTTTTAAACAGATACTTTTCTCGCGCACGTTTAATAATCTTCAAAAGACATCAAAATAGTATGACAGGTTCCAATACGAAGAGGAACTTTACTTTATCATCAATATCAGTCACATTCATACAGAAGAAAACATCATAACCAAAATAATCGGACATAACACGTCGGATTATATCGAATGAAATGTATGACCTATAGATTATCTCTGTTGTTTACATTGAATCCAATGTTATATTTACTCTTACCGAGCATGACCCATATGAGATACATCGTACACTGTTGGTCCACAGATATACCAACGCACTTCATTGCCATTGATTGGTACAAAGAGTTCCTAAAGAGAATTATCAAATCTATTTAAATGGGCTATTTCCAAATACTTTTTTCTTGGTGAAGCTATTGTAAAGATGAAGACGAGCTTCTTCAGATCCTTCGGGGCGTTTCCAAACGGCAGATTGCTTGTTTGTGGTGCACATTTTCTTGATACAGAACGCGATACCTTTGATTAAAATCTACAAGAGTGTAAATGAAGTGATAAAGCAAGCCCAGTGTAACTATTTATACGATTCCATGTTCATTTCATCAGCCCGCCTACAACTTCATCATTACATTTCATCTGCGTGTTACTTTTCTTTCGTTGCGTTCTCCATTGTGCTACTGGTTAGAGTATTTCACACGCCCTCATGACGAAAGGAGATGTCGGTAGAAGTCGCAAGCGACGATTCTCTTTCGACATATTCAATGAAAAAGACATCAGCTGATGTATTGGTTTCTTCTGTGAATAAATTTATTTTAAAAATTCATTTCGTCGAAACGATGGTGAGAAACGTTTCGATGCTGCTTCGTTCAGTTGTGCCTCGGTGAAATTATAGATTCCTTGCGCAATCCATTCTTGAAACACTTCCACTTGACAGCGAGTGTATTCATAAGTTCGATACCAACTTCCCGCACGTTCTAACCTTATACCATCTTCATCGAATGTTGTTGGTGGTGGACAGCCATAATCATCGAATTTTGCTTGATATGTTTGTGTTTGCTCTCGCCGTGTTTTATGCACACGTTCGCAAACAAGACATTCCAATTTACTGATGAAATTTCCACGAGTACGATCATTGTGGATGCCCCATGTCCGTTCAGACATCGTCCGAGCAAGAAGACTTTCGCGGGAAATTTCATGGGTAAATTTAAACTGACGGTAGGAGTCATACAACGCATCGTCGGAATTGACTTCATGAATATATTGAGATAATTCTATCGGAGTGCCGAAGTCCATGATGGATATGGCAGAATGATTATCGGGAAGAAAGTCCTGGAGAAAGCAGAGCGACTTAAAAGAGATGGTGATGAGAATGTATACCTGATATCGATCTGATCCGTAGACAATCGGAATGGTTCCAACTTTTAACGGTCGCCAGAATTTCTCAGTAATGTAATCCGTACAAATCGCATTCTCAAATGCTAATGCAAATTTGTATTTACCAACAAGTTCGAGAATATCGATATGTTCCATAGCTGCTACTGGATTTCTTAAGCTAGAGAAACAAATGATCACATTCGATTTCCTGTACTTCTCTCCTCTTGAGCTAAAACTTACTCGCTGCGTAAGTCTTTGTTGTGTAAACAACTTCCATACGAATCCACTCGGATATGTTTCATCAATTGTTGAACGTACAAGTCGCGGTCAGATGGTGTATTACAATCGGATTGAATATAAATAATCGGCGCAAGATTTTGATCAGCTTGCAAGCGCGTTTTCGTTTGAACATCAACGACAAATGTTTGATCGAAAATATCTTCAATCGATCCTAACCATTGAGTTGTTAACGGGACATCTGAGTGACGTTTGAAAGTCGCCGTATGATTAAACATAGTCATAATTGATTCAAAAGAGAAAATGTAATTATTCTTCGGTGATTCTTCGTGAAGCAATGCCCATTGTTCATGTTGGAGACGTGGCAATGGTAATTCATCGAGACGAACATCAGTACCATAGAAAAGAAATGCAGAAAAATCTTTATTGTCACGGTATTTTCTTATATTCGATATGAAGCATCGAGTTTGATCTCCGCATCGAATATAGGAGCCCGTATCGTATGTAAATGGCGTCCACCAAATGAGAACAGGTGCATTGAGATCTCGATTAGAGAAGTATTTTTCATCTTTATTCTTTTCATCTGCACAAAAAATTCGTCCTGGCCATAGATGAAAAGCATGTTCGAATTGACTTACAGTCGTTCAACATAGATTTATCAGGTGAGTACCGAGTTTCCGTGATGTAAATCGTCCCAATTGCATCTCCGTCATCGTCGATGTACCTCTTTTCGTAAACGAATTTGATTGGAAATTTCGTGATGTTATGTTCTTACCCAACGATAGAAATAAAAGAAAATCAGAATGAATACTAACGAACAGAAAATTAATTGAAAGCTAAAAAAAATAAACCATTTAGAAATATGCGGTAACTTCTTTGAAAATGTTTTTTTTTACCGATGAATTTGAATTCTCATTTTGATTATTTTGAATCATTGAAAGACATGATTTTGGTAGGGAGAAGACGAACGTCTTTGCTGAGAAAGCTTTTTTTTTTTCTCTTCAATATCTACACTTGAGAATATCACCAGATGTTCTTTGTATAGCTCCTTCATGACATGTAACGATATCTATCGGTAACTTCAATAAATTGACTATAAAAATTAACCATTCAAATAGAAGGGTAATCATTGATCCATTCATAATGTAGTAAAATGTTTTTGACTTTGACACGATAACTTAATTTAGTTTTGAGTACTTGCTTTAATTGAATCATCTTTATTTGAGAATTTGTAACCATGTGTATCGATGATGGATGTGATGATCTGCTCTGCTGTTTATGTGTACCACTAGCGGCCCTATGCTGCTGTACGTAGTAACTATTCTAAAAATAGATCAGTGATAATAAAAAAGACATTTTTCTTTCTGTTTTAGGTAAATGCTGTGTAAGTCTTTTTTTATTTCATTCTATCATCAATAGTTCCTTTTCCACCATGTAGAAGGATATGATGAGTTCTAATTCTGGCAGTAATCAAGCTCCGACAGCTGTGTACGTACTACCGATAACTCCATTGACTCATGTCTGCTTTTCTCTAGTTATTATCAGCAACAACCAGGTGCATACGTACCACCCGGAGGTGTATATGGTCCACCGCCGCCTCATCAACAACCGCAATATTATCCAGGAGGTCCACAACCGTACTATCCACCGCCGCCGCAGCAGCAACAGCAGAATTATCCTCCATACAATCAACAAGTAGGCCACCCTCCATACAACCAAGGTCAACCCGCCAGCTATGGTGGCCCACCGCCGCCCTACATCTACCAACAACCAAATCCGTACTAGTAATATTTAATCGTCACGAATATTTCACAATGAATGAACATCTCCAGTCACTACACTACTACTTCTCGTTTTTTCTGTCTTCTTGTTTATATGATTTTATTTCTTTATACACATTTCAGCCATTCTGAGAATAAATGTATCTGTAAATTTGTATGTTTGTTTATTTAAAGAAAAATGAAAAGAAAACATGGAAAATGCTAACAGTACGAACAATTGTACGTTTGAGTTTGATGAATTGGATGATCAAAAGAAAGTTCAGTATTGATCATCCATGGCATCGACTGTATCGTAGGATTGTTCGCACGTTTCGCACGAAGTCGAGCTTGTCGTCGCCGAAAATCACCACGTATGAAAGCATCTAATGCAGCTGGATGAATACCCCAATAATAACCGCGTCCATTTTCCGATTTCTGTTGACGAACAAAGCATTCATTCAGAGATAAATTATGTCGAATAGAATTTCGCCATGCTTTGCTTTGTAACGTTGAAAAATAAGGATATTCAGTGATGATCCATTCGTAGATATCGATAAGTAACATTTGATAGTTAGGTGACGAGAGAATTGCGCGTGCGATGAGTTCCACATAAGATTCTTGTGGCTTACTTGATGCTTTCATATTCTGACGAGAACAGAAATTTTCGTTTGGTAAGCCAACAGTGTAATAACTGCTTTCGTGTGAATCCATCACGAATGTGTATCGACTATTTGCAAAATTTCAGAAAATGTATTGTAGTTCACTCCTTGAATTCGTTCATATATATACGCACGGATTTTTCTCTTTCTCTCTTCTACGATGAATGATGATGATGAATTGTTCAAAATTGATTAATGATATCGGTAGATAGGTGATACAGCTTGTACGTCAATTTATGTTATTCTCGCCTATTGTCAATATGAATTGTCGGTAGGTGGGCAGGTGTGATCGACATACTGATCATTGATCAGCTTGAATGTGATCACTTGCAAGCTGCCGAATGAGATTTCATTTCTTGCGAAACATTACATCGATTCTTCTTTCTAGATGGCTTCTCGATTAATTGCTTCGAGTCTGGAATCAACAGTTAAACTCAATGATGGTGTCATCATGCCATTATTCGGACTTGGTGTCTATCAGATTGAAAATAACTGTATGTTATAAATCTGTTTAAGAATCAATCATTTTCATGTGGTGTTCAGGTCCACAGCTGGTCGCAGCTGCGATTAATCATGGCTATCGATTGATTGATACAGCTGAGTTCTACCATAATGAAGAAGGTGTTGGAAGTGGATTGAAACAAAGCGGGAAAAAACGTGAAGAAATTTTCATTGTTTCAAAATGGTGGCCATCGCGAGAAGGTGCACAAGGCGCTTTGAAAACACTTGATCGTTGTTTAAAAGGGTTTATTAAATAATGTTCATGTTTCTTTGTATTTCATTTCACTCTGATCTTTATAGTCTTCAATCAGACTACGTTGACATGTATCTTCTTCATGCACCACAAGGTGGTCATTGCGCTGAGGCATATCGTGCATTACTTGATGCAAAAAAACAAGGAAAGATTCGGTATGCAAAATTTATACACAAAATGTCTGTTCTTAATGTATGAAGAGAAATTCTTCTAGATCATTGGGAGTTTCGAATTTTGGCGTGGCACACTTAGAAGCTCTTGCAAAATTGGGCCTCGACAAACCTTCAGTCAACCAGATTGAACTTCACCCATGGCAACAAAAGAAAGATATTGTTAAATATTGTCGAGAACATGATATTGCAGTTATGGGCTACTCGCCATTGGCAAAAGGGCATAGAATTCAAGACAAAACCGTCGGCGAGATTGCGAAGAAGTAAACGTTCATTTGTTATATACGGAAATCGTTTGTAAATAACGTATAGATTGTCAAAAACGCCAGCTCAAATATTGATTCGCTGGTCTGTCCAAAATGGATTTATTACAATTCCTAAGACTTCACAAGAATCACGACTTCAAAGCAATGCTGATGTTTTCGATTGGTCGATTCCCGAAGAGGACATGAAGGTGTTGGTGAGTGAGAAATGATCGTAGTGGATTATGAATATGAACTGGAGTTCTAGGATGCATTTGGAGATAAACCATGGTCATGCACATGGAATCCAACAAATAATACTTTGAAAGAAGCTGGTTTGCAGTAATTTTCAAATGAGCTCGTTCAATCAAGAGTTTGACTTTTTTCGAATGACATTTGACAGTGAGTGACGAGGTTTTATTTTCAAATAAACAAGTTGAACCGCATTAAAATATGAATCAAGGTAAACCTCTTATCCTAGACAAGATTCTCTTCGATAATGGCAAACACCAAAGATTATATCACAACGTTCTTGAAAAGTTATTTTTGAGTACTTTAGTCTCTTTTATGAGTAAATACTTTGCTTATCTCCGCTAGTGAACATGAAAGTATAGACACAAGATTGCTTGTGCATGGAAAACCAACTATATCTTGAAAGCTGTGATAATTATCTACTCACTTTACCGCCTTAACAAGTATCCAGACATCCAACTCTAATAACATCATGTTTATTAGTGCGTAGGATAGCGACGAGAAACAAAATGAATACATTTAATATATCTAATTTGATCATAAGATGTACTTCGATCCAAAACCAATTAATCTCAAAGTACATCACTTTTGTCCCTTCAAAAACCTCTCTCTTATCGTCAACTTTTCGGTATTAATTATAAATTTCCAATGGCTTCCGTACTATTTTGTCAATAAGCGCATAACTTCGTAGAAAGCAGGCATTTTCCAGGAGCATAGTTATTTTTGACAAACTATGCGATAATTCTTAATTGTTGATTATGATTCGTACTTTCAAATTATATTTTACATTGCCTAGGAATGAGGCGTGAAGCACATGATGAATCCTGCTTGATAACTACCACGCACACCCTATGAAGATGTCTTATTGATTAATGACGTGGTTCGTCTGCAGTCGTGCTGTTTTCAAAAGTTAATCATTATCATTGTTGCTTTGATTATGAATGCAGTTCGTGCTGTCTTCTGATACCAAATGAATAAAGTTGACATTTTAGATGAAAATCTTTATATGTAGACTAATTTATAAGACTCTGGACCATCTTTTCTCTTGAGGCGCTTTTTCTATCTTTATTGCGCTGTTTTGGCAGTAGAAAAACAAGATTAGGATAAAATAATCGCTCACGGGACGAACTACATAGGCTTTTACCTGGAAGCTTTTTATAATCACTGAAAATGCTTGTCATACACATCGAAAAGCATAATATAGCTTGTTGTTGAGAAGAGAACAACGCATTTGTAGTCAAATATAGTGCGTTAACATTAGTGTTTCAAACGAACTAGATTGTAATCACTAAACGCGTATACATTATTCATATACACTCTTTCTCTACTGCTTTCTTTCTTTATGTAAATTCCATTTCATAAAAGAATCATTTACGTCTAAGTAGAAGAAAAACAAATCTGTTCTTCGCCTTCAAATGCTCATTGAAAGACAGTCTGTAACGAGAAAATCTTTGTCGATATTCTCTCCTTGTAGTCCACTAAGTTTCATTATAGTCACATCAAATGTCAACACATCCGATGCACGCAAATTTCTAATACTCATTAGTACTACTTGTAGACACATACGCAAACAAGAAATGATAATAGAGTCAGTCATAAAAAAAAAGTCGTGTGACTCTGTAAGCAATAAGATAATTTAAAAGTCTTTCCTGCTCTCTCTCTCTCTATCCCGATTTCTATAGAAAGTATATTTGTCTTCTATTATTCATTTTCTGCCTAAGCCTTTCCATATATATATAGCAGGGACAAATGTCTGGAGTAGTGTGAGGTCTTTATTCTTTTGACTAACAGCGAAGTGGAACCAGACTGTGTCACGAGTAGGATAGAATAGAATTCGAAACATTCCTTTTATTCGAGGGCTATCGAAAGAAGCAAATGAACTAAGAATGTTAATTTTATTTTCTGTGATTAGTTCTCGTACGAATGGTTTCATAAGGAAATGTCTTTTGTCAGTAATCTTGAGATCTATTATTCACGATAAACATCATGAGGACAATCTAGAGATCTAAATGCGTATGTGAAAATAGATATCTTTATTACTCAATGCAGAAGTGATGTCTATGACACGTATAAACACGTCTGTTAATGTGAAATCTTGCTCACCTCTCTTTTAGATAGTAACCATCATGAATCTTCTCGGTGCGCCAAGTTCGTGTTCACAGGCAAATGAGTTACTCAAAAGATTATGTCCTGACAATGGTACAGAAGTATGCGAGGATATTCGGTATATACGAGCTGGCCTGATCGCTGATTGTTACATCACCCCGGTATTCTATCTTTTAACTGTAGTGTTCATTGTGTTTGGAACTGTGCTGAACCCGTTGAGCACCTATTGCTTTTTCAAAATGTACAAACGTGATTCACAGAATATCTTTCTATATGTCTTGTCGATAAGTGATACAATCAATCTACAAATCAATTTTGCATTACCGATGTTACGCCAATGGGAAATTATTGATGATTATTTCCGAAATAATGATTCCTTTTGTCGAATTTTCGGCGTTTTAAATGAGTTTTTCTTGATCTTTCCAGCATGGCTACTCGTCCTCTTAACTATCGATCGATTGATCTATATAACAAGATTGGTCAAACGCCCTTTATCTTACACTCGTCAACGAGCCAAGCTCTCTATCCTTGCCCTAGGCCTGTGCGTGTTAATTCTAAGTCTGTATCGTCTATTCGATGTGAAAGGTATCGATCAAAGTGGCGCATTCGCCATTGTCACATGTAATGTAACAGATTATCCCATTCCAGCAATGAAATATCTGAATTTGCTGGTCTGGTCGATATTTCCATTATGTGTCACATTAATATTGAGCATCATTATGATTTATAAAATTAGTGTCACAAGTGACAGGATTCAGAAAAATCCTGTTAAACATCGATCAATCAAACTTGATCGAGCAACGAAAACAACCTTATTTATATCAATCTTGTTCCCAACTGTGTTTCATACACCAACAGGTATGTTGGTGATCGATTTATTCATTTGATTCATTGTTTACATTTTACAAGGAATTACTATTGCTTTGGCATTGATTTATCAGAAAAATCCATATACAACAGTTACGATTTTGATTCTCGTGGCAAGAAAACTTACCATGATCCTTTCGGCAATCAGTTCGTCTTGTAAATTTTTTGCGTATATTAAAACATTCCCACATTTCAAGTAAGATTGATTGACCTGTAATTATCATGCAGTTTTTGTTTCTATTGTAGTGAAATTCTTTGTACATTATTTCGATGTGATAGATACCGTTACCGGCATCGCGGAAGTTCAATAGAGTTGAGCCATCGAGATTTGCGCAGATCGCGGGATACTGCCAATTCGAATAAGATTCGTTTTGAACACAATAAACAACAGCTGAGCTCGTCGGAGAGTCGTACGACGTCATTTTCGAAAATTAATGACAGACATCCGAGTGTCTACTATAATCTTCATTCAGCTGAATGTACCTCGAAAACCTTTTCCGAATATCAATCAATGATCGAAGTCAATGAAGATTTCGATAGCCTGTAAATCAAAAACTTTCCTTCATCATTGTCTATCTATGTTGTGCACTGTATATTTATTCTATTCTGTAAATACTATATCTATAAATAGAATCTACTTTATACTCTCAACTATGCTATTCATCATGCGACAAAGCACATACATATCTTGACCTTATGAAAAAAACATGAAGGAATTTATTGCAATTTAATTACATGTTATTAAACATATTTACAAATGACGCAGAAGCAAGTTCTTATATGACTAGAAAACTTTGATTCTGTATTATTGAAACTCAGGTCGATATTGAATGTATTGATTGAGACGATCTGGAAGTTCACCGGTAATATCTTCGATTTTACCATGAATCTTGTTTAGGTAATGAATGATCGTACGACGACAGATTGATTTCAAAAGTAGGTCATTCGGCAGAACAATGACTGACACTTGCAATTCTCTTCCGCCGTTATTTTTCGTCGTACAGAATGCCATTCGTGATGAGCAACGAGAAAATATCGGCGTCAATGGATTTCGACACATATGCCACGGACAAACATGAGTGACTAATTGAGTGTATATACGCTGGAGACGTTGAAGCGTATTTCCATGATAAATATCAAAATAACTGATGGGTAATGTTTGTCCACAATGGCATAAATTATCGACGAATGTCAAGATCAAATATACACTATCTGGTGTATAAACAAGGGAGAGAAGACGAAAACCATCTTCGATCAGAAGACTTTGATTCTTTGATATCGACCATGTATGTACATTCACTAGACAAAGATATGAACCATGAAACGGTTGAGTGAATGGTAATGTTTGAATTGGAGTTTTCGTTGATCCACTTTGTGGTAGATTTGATATAGTATAGTTCATTAGTCTGGCTGGTGTATCACTTGAATACGTGTAGAAAGCTAAACGTGAAGACCAATAATTAGGACAAAATTGAAATTGAGTAGTGATATCAACAGGAACGATTCGACGGTATAATTTTGATTCCTTTTTTACAACTAAAATCCGGAAAAGATATTGAATTGATGAGAAAACTCTTTTTTCATACTTTTATAAAAATCAAGAACAGTTGCGCCACCGGTAAGAGGTACACGTACAATCACTTGTGTTCGATCCATCGAGCAAGCAGCATGTACTTTCCTAGCGTCAATTAAACCATTATAATCATCACCTATTGCACAAACATAACGATTTAATTTCAAATCCACAATGATAAATTTCGTTTTTTCTAATACAACAGAATAGATCAATAACATGATTGTATCACCATGATCTAAACCAGATACTGAACAACCGTTGACAATGCCATGAACGGAATAGTTTTGTAATGAACTGATCATTGCAGGAATGTGATTGTATTCGAAATGTTCTCGCAGTTTTTTGCTTCTAATCGATGTTGATGATTGAAATCGTTTTGACGATGAACGAATAGAACCGTGATGAAGTTTATGAGACAATGATTCGGAACAAAAGCCAGGTGCGCAAACACTATGAAGTTCCGAATTACAGATGAACTTATGTGGAGCGAAACCAAAAAATTCTAAACAATGTCAAATCAAGACGTGAAAGAAACCAACCGAAATGTCTGTTACCAGCATTCCCATGAAGCCAGTCAGCGTGCGAACATCGACAGATCTCTTGCCATCCACAATAGTAGTTCGGTTGATTGTTAACCAATGATTTGCATATCATCGACGGATTCTTGTTTTCAGCATGAATCAATGTTAGATTGGAAGTTTCTTTCGAATTATTTGTTCCCATTATCTGTCTATAATTAACCAAGAACAACAAAACAAACGGTAAGTTCATACGCCGCTTTGGATAGGTAAATAAAAAGGAGGTTTTTCACTAACTCAAACCAACATCTTGTCTACGAGATAATAGTGAGGAACAAACTACTTCTCCATCTGTATGATTTTATACTGAGAATGTAGTTCTATACTCATAATTAAGTTATCTATTTGGCACGCAAATCAAGCTCGCTAAGTTCTCACATGCAACAAAATACTCCCGTCTGACTCGCTGAAACAATGTATTCGATTGTCAATCTTGGTTTATTTACTGAATCAGACATGAGTTCGTAGGAAATGGCATTTATCATTCCAAAAGAAATCAACTATGATAGTTATGCGTAATGTCAGTTGAATGTCTAGTATGAAATTGTAAATAAAGGATTGATATATATATAGAACAATAAAATCCTTGGAATAACGATGAGAACATGTGTACGCATATGTAAATGAATTAAATCTCGCTGAATTCTCGTGAGACTTTTTAGATTCATGGTCAATGTTACATTCTTATCTGATGTTTCTGTTATTCCTCGGAGATATATTCGGTGGTGAAAGTTCTTTTTCTATCTGATGATCCGAAACAAGTGCCATCAGCAAAGCTTTCATCTTCTTACCTTTGGTAGTTCGAAGTATTTTCTTCTCACACTTCGTTTTTCTTCTTCACACGTCTAGCGAACCGATCATAAAACTATTCTTGTTTTGTTCGTGTATAAAAATAGTCATTTCGTTGTCGTTTTTCCTTCGCAATAGAGATAGTAGTTCTCTCTCGTCGTCTTCGATTGCTATTGCTGCTGCTGTTGTTGTTGTTTTTTTTTCTCCTTTTCTCTTTTCTCCCGTTTATTTCGTCGCTCTATCAGCTAGTAGATGAATCAGCGGCCTTTCTATTTTCTTTGTTTCATTCTGTGAGAGAACGCCGAAAGAATGCGATCGCTATTATCGACAACTCGTACTGAAGTTTTGTCCTATTTCCTTCTCGCCATATAAAACAAGAACGAAGAAAAATGAAATAGTTCACGAGACATGTCTGCTGATCTAAAGTATACTAAATAATCGTTTGAAGAAAAACAGTCTGTAGGGTTGTAAGAGCAGACAGAAAAAGTGCAATACATGTTCTTTTTTGCAAAAAATAGAAGAAAACTAATCAATGGTGATGATCGTCGTAACGTGGATCAGGTGCAGATGAAACAGTCGTTTTCGATCGATCGGTAACATTCATTTTCTTAATTAAATAATCAACCACGTTTTGAACGGTGTAGAGTTTATCGTAATCAGCATCAGGAATTTCAAAGCCTGAAGAATGTCACATTGCAGATTTGGAAAAGATGAAAAGAAAGAAGCTTTTTACCGAATTCATTTTCTAATGCAACAATGATTTCCACATGATCAAGACTGTCAAGACCAAGATCATTCATAAAATGAGTTACCAAGGTGATCTGAAAAGATTAGAGACATTAACATCGCATAATCTTAATTAAGGCCTAAGACATATCAGAATAAGCCTTGGATTTTTCACGTCTAATATTCAGGTCTTTAATTGTCGTCTAGATACGCAATAGAAGATCTGGTTCTTTTAGCATAGTTACGATGTTTTTTTCATTTTCTGTGCAAGAGAAACAATTCTTCAATTGCCATGGATGTTTTATCGCATCGTATCAGATCGATTAAGACAAAATAAAACTGGCATCTATTTTTAGAATAATATTTACCTTGTTTTTATTTGCTTCTTGGATTTTATCATATTCATTGCAAATCCGTAATACTCGTGATTCAATGTCACGCGGTGTTAATGGTGGCGATGTGCGCATTTGACCAGCATCTTTAACGAATTGATCGATCATACGTGTACGACGTGATACGAAGACATGTGGCCAAATCTATACAAATAAAGGTTTTTGTAAAGAAAATCGTTTGTAAATTCGAGTTACGTACTTGTCCATTGGCTTGGACGTTTGATGGAGTCAGTGTATGAATATTGTTGCATAATGGTGCGGAAAAACGCATGTTAACCACTGACCGAAGACGACAGCCGTGACGAAGAATAGTCTTCAACATGTTATGTCCTCTATAAATCTAAATCTAGAAATGAACAAAATCAAGAATACGATATCATTTCATAGTGCTGTATTTACGTAAACTTATGCACAAAACAAATTCGAAATGTATGACTCATACTTGTTTTTGATTGGTTAATTACATATCCAGTCTAAACAGACAATCACTGAATAATCGGAGAAGAATATCAGAGAAAAACTTCGGAATTGCCATTAAAAATCAATTTCATTCTCAATCGTACATCGAATCAATAACGTTGAATTGATTGTTTATCAGATCACTATAGCAACAAACCCTACAATGGTATACGATAACTTGTCATAAAGTATCAGATTGCAGAACTCTTTTCTTGATCTGAAACTAGGCAAGTTCAATGGCGACATTGAAGACCAGCCGACCTTCATTTTCTACGTCACCAACGGCTTTACTTAATGTTCCCTTCTCTGTGACACCTGGTGAATCGCGTAACTTCGATCTAACTACTTCGTCGAATTTCGTTTCAACTGGTTCAACAAATGATCCTCCGTATTTATTTAATCAAGTAAGTCTCCCACAACTGATTGTTCGATCTTTTCTTACTATGAAGCCATGTTTTCGTTCATCTTTATAGTTTAAAAGCTCAGAATGGTTACAGCGATACGGTCTCAAGTCGCAAAAGTTAACCTTTGATCAAATTCTTCAACGTATTGGATTCAAACGTGTTGAAAGTTAGTTCGAAAGGATGTTAGGAGGAGATCTAAACTAGAAAAAGTTCGTTGTCAAGTGACTCGAACGTTGATCAACAAGCATCAACGAATGCGAAACCTATGAAACGACAATTTTTTAAGGATTCAATTACAAGTTTCATTCCTTATACTCAGATGATTATTTGTAGAATACGATCCTGTTGTTGGTAAAACCATCACTGCGAAATATGCAGGTAATCTCTACAATGAAGTACAACATGACAATGGCGATCGATATGTCGTAAGTTGGAAGAAATAGTTGCAATTTGTCTTTCATTTTTCTTGGAAATTTCTAGTTAACTTGTCGTCCGGAAAAGTTACGGGAATATCTTCAGCGTCTAGAAACTTTGTTACATTTATTGCGAAAACGCTTGGCTTTTCTGAACAGTGGATCTCGTCGTTTGTTTGGAATAATCAGTGAGCCAAGTGTGTGCCTTATTTGCGATTGTAAAACTTTTGACTATCGACTATTCAATCAATTTCAATCGGCAATATCAAGTTTACTCAAAGAACAAATCACTAAAATCAAAAAGTTCAACATTATCTGGTACGAAGATTTCATTTCGAACATCTGTCAGAAACGTTTTGTTATCTCAGGGTTTCAAACGACAACGAACAGTTCCGAGAGCAGCCTGTTGATGTTACTTCATCAAATATCGATAAAGCAGTGAGTTTTTGCTATAGAAAACTACTCATCATTCGTTTGTTTGTGATTCAGCTCGATTGGATATGTGATCGGAAATGTTCTCGAACTAAAGCATCTGTCAGTGCAACATGCGAAGCAGTTCTCAAAGCGTTTAAGAACGACGTAATAAGAAAAGCCTTTGTATATCTTTTTCATTGGTCATCAACTATTTTTATTTTACCTAGGTTGAGAGTTTCTACTTGATCAGTGAAGGAGATTCATCGGATTATGCTCGTGAAATGTTACGTGACAATATCGTTAAGACACGTCTTTCACTGGAATCACCTAAATCGTTGAACGTTGTCTCACTATTCTGTCATAATAATGATACACAAACGTTTCTTCGTTCGATTGCTCAATCTGCTGATGGAAGGTTTGTCGTATCGAATGAGAATATACGTTCTAGTTTCTGCCCTTTTGCTTTTTCTGTAGTTATTTTTGTTACAAGATTAAAAGCGAAGTATCAGATTTGAAAGCGCCATCGAATGCGCACGATCCCACACGAATTAAATTGCAAGACGATAAATTACAGATTGGTACCAATGCATTAACGCCAATACCGGAATATCCAGTGGATATTGCTCTGATGTATAAAGAAATCATCGAATGTCAAAGTATTATTGATCGAATTGAAAAAATTGTTGGATTCGTTCGTGATGAAAATCAAAATTCGGCAGAATCTTTCAATGGTACGGGATAATCTACTGGCTATTCTTTCTTTTCCCAACTGACCTCTTTGCATTTCAGCAGCAAAACCATCTGAAGGATTGAATGCATCAGGCAACAATAATTTCCAACGTAGTCTGGTTGTTCCATCATCAGCCTTGTTTAGTAGTGAAGAAAATGAGATGGGTTCAGTCAACTGGTTGAAAATCTATGGAATCGATGCACAAAAACTCGATTTCTTTTCGGTTCTTCACGCGGCAGCATTTCGTCATTGTGATGGCGTGGTTAGAGTACTAAAACCACCTGAAGACACAGACGAAGTGACTGACAGTACACCAGCGGTTTGTTTGATTATTTTCTGGGAGAAAAAAAAGAGAGAAAAAAATCGTTTATCTAGAATCCACAAGATAAATTAATCAATGCTATATATTGCGATCAATTTGCTCATGTTGCTTGGCCAGATGGAACTATTCGGCACGTTCATGTAACACCTGAACTTCATCGGTAAAAAAAGTGTTGAATAAATTCTTTCTGATTTGATGTTTCTGTTTTAGTGATTATGAAAGACGAATCCGAGCACTACTTGAGAAAATCAAAGCGAGGTATTGTTTCATAACGAGGTTTTGGGAAAGAATTCAGTGCGATTTGTAGATTGAAATGGTTGAAGAAGGGCAGTCGAGATCTTTTCGGTGTGGTCTTAGAAAATAATATCTATGTCCTCATTGACACATCGAAAAGTATGCAATATCATTTGAGTTTTGTCAAGGACAAACTTCGTCAGCTCATCAATGTATGTTTAATGAAACCTACATTTATTTTCATTTCATGAATAATCTTTCTGTAGGATCAATTACTGACGAAAGAACGTATTAATGTGGTTGCATTCAATTCTGTTGTCAATCCTTGGCGTGATCGTTTGACTAAAATCAGCGATTCCACAACAATATCTCAATTACAACCATGGATTGACGGACTGACGACTGAAGGATCAACCAATACTTTAGGCGCACTTCGCTTTGCACTGGCTGATCCGGCAACAGAAGCGATTTATCTCCTCACTGATGGTCGACCTGATCAAGTACGATCTTCGCTGACTAAAACAAAGCATTCTGTTGCTATGCATCAATCTCTTTTAGAATGAGCGACATATTCTTTCACAAGTTCAATATCGCCAAACGGTTCCAATACATACAATAGCTTTCAATTGTCAAGATCAAGATGCGAATCAATTTCTCTATAATCTATCGAAACAAACAGGCGGACGTTTCCATGCGTTTCAGTACGGATTAGAAAAACAACCATCAGTTGAATTACCTGAGGTTTGTCCTCGGTGGAAAATCTCATGTCCGGAAGAATGTTCTCTTTTAGAGTGAAGATGTTGGAACTCTGAAACAAGAATTACTTCGTGGACAAAAGGAATTGGAACGGATCGCTGCTCTACGCGATGAATGTCTCGGACACGCATGGTCACGTGAAAATCTTCTACCAAAAATACCGAAAACCAAAGCCCGTCAAAGCAGTGCCGATCGTCATTCCGCTACAGTTCATCTTCGAAGTCAAAGTAACATCGATTTTAGTAATTGTAAGTGAAAGAAAACTTCCTAATTTATTCATGTTGAGCACATATTCTGTTTACGTTCTGTTATTTAATAAGAAAATGTCTAGGTAACATTTTCTATATGATTAAGTGGGTTGTTAGGAGAACAACGTAAATGATTTTCTTGTGAATGATGAAGAAAGAATTTACCGTTTACTTAGCTACGATGCAACAGCGAGCAAGTAAAAAGAAACGTTCATCGGCAAAACAAAATAGGAAATTGAAATCAAGATCAGGTAATTACTTTTGACCACTTAACGAACGCAACACATTAAGTTTGACTGAATGAAATAGTAACAAATATGGCGGATATCGATCATATTCTCAATATTAATTCTAATCAGTGGCTACTACCCGAGACGAAAGACTATCTAAATGGAAATAAGACCGAGGAAAAGGCGGCAAGTGATACGGAAACAGGACAACGGGCTGAAAGTGCTCCCGAAATAAGAAAATCTCGGTAAATATTGATGCTTCTTCTCACAACTTAGTAATCACTTTTTCTGTTTTGCAGCACTGCATATGATGATGTCAAGTCCTATCTGAAAAAGAACAGTTTAGTGGCAAAGGGTTTGACCATATTCGATGTCTTACATCCAACGTCGGTTACAGTGAAAGAACCTCGGCATATTCAAGTTATTGATCGTTATGTTCTTGCAAAAGTTTGGGATGATGTAATTTTCTATCATTGTACAACCGAATTTCTCATCGACTAATTATTTGTTCTTGTAGATTTTACCGCTAACTTATGGGTCATATGCCGGAAAATTACGCTTGGTGAATCACTATGCAGTTAACCTAGAAAAATACGAAGAAAAATTGAAGGAACTAATTGCCAATTATCACCAGTAAGTCTCATAGAGACATATCTAATGAGAGAAATGAAATGCATGTATCACTTGGTAGGTTTACTTCTAATTTCATTTGGAAACACCTTCGTGATGAAGACAAGAGAAAGTGAGTCATTTCGAAACAAATACACATGTTCACAAGTATTTATCAAATGGTTACTAGACTTGGTGCAAGTCTTCATTGGCAAAGTTTGTCAAAAGAGGAGCAAAATGAGTAGGTGACAATCGAATATGTATATTTGTTATTACTTCTATTGACTATAGAATGACTAGTGAGATCGCTGAAGATGAACATACCAGTCAAACGTAAGAAAAATACCATTCGATTTTCGGAACTGGACAGAATATTTTCTTCCTTGTTTTAGTGCACTAGAAAATTTCGCTTGGCGAAAATTAACCGATGCTGAACAGAATAAGTAATGACATCTACTTATCTTTCAAAACTAGAAGACACAATCTCGCTTTTTAAATAGAGTGCTTGAGAAACCTGTTCCTTATCAAGACAAGAATCAAACTGTATTGAAAGACATATTAAAAGATGCAGAAGCTGAATCAGCCTTCAAAGGCGTCGCGCGTATGGACGTAGAAATTCATCGTGCTATTAAATTTTTACAAATATCAACTGACTTACGTCAATTACAAAAACGAGCCGATGTATGTTTTCTTCTCATTCGAGCGAATTCTAAAAGTAGACAAGAAATTCATGTCGCATAGATTGATTCAAAACCAAGCGCAGAAGAAAAACCTAGACCGCCAAGTAGAGCATCGGCGGCTGGTCCAACTACTGGTCAACGTGTTATATCCCCTTACGACGGCGATGGTTTCTTTTATCCTGGTACGATACTTCTGAGTTGTGAACTGACTTACAGAATAACTTATTTTTTCTTATTCGCCAATAGGTGTTACAGCGAAAAGTCCAGCTGGTCAGGTTATCGTTCGATTTGAAATAGGCATCGAACAAGACGCTGTTGGACACGTTCTCTTACCAATAAATGGTGCAATTGCACAGCCAAATCTCTTTGTAAATGATCCCGTTCTTGTTCAACATGAAAATCATAGAAACCAAACAATCTGGGTACCCGGACTTGTGCTCGCTCTTCCAGCACCCGGCGCACCACCGCCTGTTTTATATACGGTTGCCATATATAAACCAATCGCAGAAAAAGTAAAATCATTGATTAATAGCTGTACAAAATAGAAAAAGTTTTCACTATCATACAGGTTCATGTATATCGACGTCAATTGATTAAAATAAGTCGTGCTCTCTTTGACAAAACACGCCTTCATCTTGAATATCTTCAGTGAGTGTTATCAGTATTCTATCATTGAGTGAATTTGTATGCATACGTACTTTTAATTAGCGGCTTACATTCACCACCCATTATCGAAAGTGGCACGGAAGGACGACCAAAGAGCGCATTCCCAAATGGTATGTTTACCTTATTCAAAGAATTGTCTTCTATGCACATACTCTAGATAAAATTCAATCGCTAACAACTAAAATCGAAGGTTATCACAAATCTCATACGAAACAATATTATAGTTTAAAGAAGGTACGAAAATGATGCATTTCGAAGCAAATAAGTGTTGTTTACATTTCTTCTTTAGAAATTAGAACGTCAAATGCTCGAAATAAGACAACTGCAAGACATCATCCGAAAACCGCCAACTCCAGTTATAATTAGCACTCGATCCTCAACGCAATCCTCCTCATCTACATCTCAAGCTTCAACTGCACGAGAAGAGGATTTCATTCCACCAAACACAACTGTATATGCTTATTGGTTACATTACGATAATCTATTTTATGAGGTTTATTAAGTTTGATATGAATGACAAAATCGTCATAGTTTTTATGAATTAGGGAACTGTCGGCGAGAAACAAGAAGATAGAAATAGCTATCGGGTTGAACGTAATGGATTTCCACCTGACTATCATTGCATCATTCCACGTGAGCATATCTTTCTTAAAACACAGCTTCAAAAATTAGGACTAATGAAAGTAAGTTTGGCAGAGTAACTGAACGTTTTAATCGTTTAACAAACTTTTAGGAGAAATCCTTTATTCTTATTCAACGTCCGAAGGATTATCGTCATTGTTGGCTGCCTGCAGTAGTTCTTGCCCATAATTCGGATGAATCGACCACACGTATTCGTTTTTACGACTGCATTGTCAAAGAAAATGTTGTAGATAACACGAAAGTTCTACCTATCAGTGAACAACAATTTACTGAGTATACGCAACGTCGCATTGATTATGAAAAGTCTTTAGTCAATCAAACTGTTGTCGGTTTACGTTTGGATTCAGATAAGCCGAAAGAAGCAGTACATATGCTGGGTACAATTATCAGACGGCTTGAAAGTGGTCATCGATTTTTAATTAAATGGTCTGATAATGCCGAAAGTGCCCAAGAAGAGGAATATCTATTCGGAGTGTTTACTCCACGAATCGAGTTTTTCGTTAATTGTTATGTTCTAGCTGTGGACGACAGTGAATATATCTATAGAATAGGTCAAGTGAAGAAAATATCTGATGACAGAAGCACTCTTACTATTCGTTTCATCGATTCCGACAATGAAAAGTAAGTCAAATCTTCGTTTTTCAACTAAAATTTGTTTTTCTTATGTTTCAGAATTGCAGATGTGCCATCTGTACCTACATTTGTTATCTCCGAAGAATATTATGAATCCTATATACAGAAACTGCGTGACTGATGTAACTTTTTCAGTAAAATACTTCGTAATACATTGTCTTATTTGAAAGTTTTATTCGAAAAAAGAAAGAGATGGAGAATATGACACAAAACTTTATTTGTTCTATCTACACATACCACTCTTTCGTATTCGCAAGTGATTGTTCGTTGACTGTTAATAATTTCTGCCGATGCTGTTTTACCGTTGGAATTTTACTGCCACGACCACTGTCATTCAGACGTTCTAAATGATTCTCCGGACTAAAGTTTTTACTCTCATCAATCTTGTAAGAGCCTTCATCCCGATTGTAATATTTAATAATTGTATAAATCGTGATAAGAATCAGAAGTCCAGCTGCACCACATCCTGAAAGTAACATCACGTAAAATGTTCGCTGTCCGTGTTGAATTGTCGTTGCCAATGATGTATAAGGAAAACTGCTATTCGATAACGTTGCTGTTGTTGTCAGATGAAGATTATTGTCCATATTGATGACTAAATGTTTTTCTTGTAATGATGGTGTTGATGATGATGATGATGCTAACGACATTACAGTTGTGATCATATTATTAGTTGCCGATGTCGATTGATCAGTAGTGTTAAGAATAGTGTTATGATAGGACGACGAATCTTCCTTGTCAGCGATGGCAGCTAAAGGAAGTCGTGGCGAAGAACGAAGGATAGAAAAACCACTTGGTAAATAATAAGTAGAATGTTGATGTTCACAAAAGGACAGATGTATGGATGATGAAAAAGACGACAAGGTCGACGATGGTTGACTGGCAAAGTAAAAGTACGATGGTCGATCGATGGATTTCAAAACTAGAATAGCAAAAGTGAAAATTTAGCGTACGAAAAGTTTATTAGTCGTCTCTCAACAAGCGCTGAAACTTGGAAAATATGTTAGATGAACGCTCGTGATAACAACAATTGCTTAGAATGACAGCGTAAGACAATGTGAAGAAAAGGATGTTTCTTTTCTTTTTCTCCTATTCAGCATCTCGCCTTTTTTTATTAATGTACGCCAGCGAATGACGATGATGACAACGAAAAATACTGATGCAGAAGAATTATAATAATTTTTACTGATGTGACTAAGAGAAAAAAAAAGCAGAGACACGCGTATAAAAAGCATGTTATAGCCAACGATTAGTAAGTAGAAGAAGAAAAAAAGAGCAGAATTTTATCAGGATATTCACGTTCGAAGCTATTGTTTAACAATCTTGTGAATAAATTATAGGTAATCAAATATGGAAAAGAAAAACTAAACTCAACCAATGTTAGAATAACATAGTGACATTGTTTTTCTAAGCTTACAAATGAGAACAGAGGATCGTCTTACTTGTTTGTAGTCCAGGTCCATCCTGATGACAAACAGAAAAGACGAGAGAACGATTCAATGCTGAATTATTTGTGGTAACGGCAGTTTTCATCGAAATAATGAAAATAAGAATAGAAATTCCAATCATGTTGGTAAACTTGTGAACGTTGACGATTCAGTTTGTTTCGCTTGCAAATGATCGTGCCATGATTTTGTTCTTCTTCTTCTTCTTCTCTTCTTATTAGTAATAGAGATATCTATGTCGACCGATGATGGTTCCGATTATGCAAATAGAGAGCGAACGGCGAGTGTGCTTAATTGAAATCTGTTCGATGAGATCAGATTTCATCATCACTTTCTCTTGGTCGAGAGAATCAAGTAATAAAAAAAAGACATGTCTAGAAATGAAAAGAAGAAGAGCGAACGAATGATGCGCATTCTCTCATGTTTGCTTGACCCGAACTATGTGTCAATAGTTCAGAAAGAAAGAGGAAAATAAATGGACAGTTGTATTCATTAGCACTTATTTGCATTTTAAGATGAGAGAAAAGAAAGAATTAACTTCACATGTTTGAACAAATTGGTTTATAATTACTGACTTTTGCCATCATCTGTGACTGATTATTGAGACTTGTATTTTTTATTACTCATCCATATATGGAGGTGTGAAAGTCAATGATCACGATTTTAGTTTCAAAACAGGATAAATCTCCATTTATTAGGTAGATATTTTAATTACTCAGCAATCTATTGATTTTGCGTCATTACAAGCGCAAAGGTAGTATCAGAATTTTATATAACGCAATTGTGATGACGTCGTACATTTGTAGAAGATGGATGAGAAAGATATACAAAAAAAAACCATTGATTTCACCTACTCATCTATTTTTATTTCTCTTTCGTATGATGATACTGTGCTTTTACAAGTTACTTTTATTGGATATGGATCAGTGATTAAACATCGAGCTAAAAGCGTTCGTCACGATAATTTTGTTTCATAATCAAATAAATATAGAAAACGAAAGAGTGACGACAAAACGGGATAATGGGTACGAGCTTATTTGAATTCATAAACCATCGTTACCTATCAGGTGTTAGCGATGAACCAAAACAGCTTTTACAACCGATTACAGGTTATGTATATGAACCTCTCCTACCGCTAGAAAAAGCTTGTGAACCACTTCTGGACATCATCGATCGACTCGAAGCGCATATCTGGATCGCCAAACAAAACTCGAAGAATCCTGCTGACGGTTTAACCGAAGATGAATCGGCGTCTATTCGACTCTATACGATGGAATGGGACACGGCTCCTGATAAACCATGCAGTAGTCTCTACTCTCAACTCAATCGAACGTTGAAACAGGTTGATCGAACGAAACTTCGACCGTGGTTTCGATATCTCAAACTATTTCTCACTGCACTAGCAAAACTACCTTGTGCACCTCATCAAACAGTGTGGCGAGGCGTTCGGAAAGATCAGAGTGCCGACTATCCACCTGGTACAGAAGTCACTTGGTGGGCGTTTTCGTCGTGCACAACATCACTGAATGTCCTCGAATCTGATTTGTATCTGGGAAATACTGGAACACGCACATTGTTTTCGATCGAGACGATCAATGGTCGAACGATTCGTTCACATTCACATTTCACAACTGAAGATGAGATATTGTTGTTGCCAGGTACATATCTAGAAGTGAAATCTCGACTGAATCCAGCACCTGACTTACACATTGTTCATTTACAACAGAAGGTACCACCTCATATTCTTCTTGAACCACCCTTTCCAGGTATAATAATAGTCTGTAGTATTTTCTTGTGCCGAAGTTTAACTATGTACTAATTTTCTTAATAGGTGCTCAACTTCTTCCGATACAAGATAATGATCGAGCTCTAGTGAGTGTTACTTAACTGAAAAGTAAACCGTCGAGTGCAATAAACTTCTCGTTTCTTCTTTTTAGCGTAAGACATCTCACTTGAGTGATAGCTTTGAAAGTCCTGATCGGTAAGTACTATATAGCTCCTACATTATCGATGCAATACTCTTCTTTATTGATCTAGTCGATGGTTTCAAAAGAAGAGAGTCCTCTTTGGTATTGGTATTGCATTAGCATTGGTGATTCTTGCCATTGTATTAGGCGCCGTACTTGGCAGTCGTAATAAAAATCAAAGTCAAACAACTTCGGCACCAACAATGACTACAACTGGTAAGGTTAATTAGCATGATTTTCTTTTAGAGAACGATTTGCCTTTTTCGTCGCAGTTGCTTCAACAATTTATTTCAATGGTACAATACCTCAGCCGGTTTCGGTTGCTGATGCGTTCTATTCATTTGATGGTAATGTAAATGATCTGTATTCTCAAAGGAATGGAGAAGTAATTGGTGGACCTGTCACGTATGTGCAAGGTTATGTCGCTTACGGACAAGCAGTCGTTTTAACACAATCAACAGCAACGCAAATCAATATAAAACCTGGCTTTGATTTAAATACTAGTTCAAGTTTTACTATTGAAGGATTTTTTATGTTAAAAAGTACGATTATGACTGCAACTCTCGTTCAACTAGCGCCAACTGTTCAACTAAATCTTCTCGACGGCACATTAGCCGCTTCGTTGGGCTCATTAAATAATCTTATGAGTAATGTTACGCTTTCGACCGATCAGTGGCATCATCTCAGTTTGGTTTTGAACGTAATGACTCAATCAGCTTCTATATCTATTGATGGAACAATCGTAGCATCGAAGTCTGCAGTACAATTCGATGCTTCTAACAATAAAACTAATTCCACTATTATCGTTGGTATTGGATATCAAGGTTATATCGATCAGTTATCGATTGTCTTGAACGCAAAATCTACACAGGAAATAGTATGGGATGCTACGGTTTCGGGATATTATCCACTGCATCTAAATTGGCTACTGGACTACGGACCGAATGGAAACAATGCAACTGCATCAAATGTAACACCTAAGGTCCCCGGATGGCGAGGTGACGCATTGAACTTTAGCAATCCCAGTGCTTTTTATCAAGCCACTGGATTCACTGCACTAGGAACAGCACAACAATCATTTTCCATTAGTTTTTGGCTTCGAACGGGATCACAACCTGGTGTGTTTCTTACGGTAGCCAACGCGTACACGTGCTTACTCGTAATTGGTCTTCAAAATGATCGAAATAAACTTGTTGTATATCTACCAAATGCAACTAGTACAGGTGAAGGTATTAATATTGTTGGGCCAGAAATGCCTCCGACATGGACAAATGTAGCATTCACGTGGAGTTCGAAAAGTCGAGCAAACATCTATACATCGACGTTTCTCCAAGGTACGTCGGCCGATGCCACTCATCTTAACAATGCGCGAGGTGGGAATAATAGTTCACCGATGACTCTCACATTGGGAAATTATAGCGGTCCGGCTAATTGTGCTGGTATCCAAGGAGTAAATGTCTCTCAAGCATTTATGGGCACCCTCGATGAAATTTTTGTTTTCTCTCGAGAGTTACATGACGGTGACTTGCAAGCTCTCGTTCTAACGTTACCAGTTTAGAAAAATTGGTTTGATCTCACTGAAATATTTTATATGTAATCTTTTGTTTTTCCTTCTGTAAAGGTAAATGAGTATTAGAAATAATAAAATGCTGAATTCGATGAATGTTGACATAAAGTAAGAAAACATTCTGATTTCTTGTGATAGTTGGCATACCGCTTGAATCATACATGATACAATGCGTTTTTTTTGATCAAGTGTAACCTTTTTTTCTGCTGACGAGTAATTGATTACCCTTCTTTGATGAATAAAAAAATAACGACAATACGTATCGTTTTAATGTGTCATACTTACTTACCTTTATTTGAGTAGGAAGACTGTACTAATGTGAAACTAGTCACGGTTCGATTATTATTTTAAAACGTAAATCACTTATGCTTTTATTCTTGTGTCAACGAAATAACACCGTGATCGTTTTACTTGTAAACATGACTTCATCTCCCGAGGAAAATAATAATCCTCGATATATTGCAGGAGTAAGTGATGAACCAAAACAGATGCTGCAACCGATTACAGGTTATGTATATGAACCTCTCCTACCGCTAGAAAAAGCTTGTGAACCACTTCTGGACATCATCGATCGACTCGAAGCGCATATCTGGATCGCCAAACAAAACTCGAAGANATTTTCGTAATCAAACTTTTACCATTGAAGCGTTCATCGTTTTGATGAATGACTCGACAAATGCAAGTCTCATTGAATTCTCTTCTGGAATGTCGATAAATATTGAAACGAGTCGTTTAACATTCGTTATTAACGATCTCTATCAGCTTGTCTCACCATTCACATTATCAATGAATGTATGGCATCACATCGCTGTTGTTTACGATATGACCAGCGGATCAAGTAGTATCTATATCGATGGAACCATTGCGAAACAATTAGGATACGCTTCGAATTCGAATAATCAAAATACAAACGTGACGCTTACTATTGGTTCTGATTTCATTGGTATACTAGATCAGTTGTCGATTTCGTTAGCAGTTAAAAGTAGTGATCAAATCCGATGGGATGCAACCGTTGCTGCGTATTATCCGCTTGATGGGGGTAGTCTTAACACTTGGTTACTTGATTATGGGCCAAATTGTCGTAATGCAAGTGCAGCTGGTGTTCGTTCCGTTGTTGGCCAAGTACGTCAAGCGCTCAGTTTCAATATATCCGGTGCTTATTTCCAAGCAAGTTCATTTCCGATTTTGGATCTAACGAATAGCTCATTTTCAGTCGCACTATGGGTTCGTCCAGAAAATCAATCCGGAACTTTTCTCACCATAGCCAATTCGAAAACTTGTTTGTTAGTATTAGGCATTCGCGATAATGATAATCGACTGGTCGCTTATCTACCGTATTCTACAAGTACAAATACTAGTGTGAGTCTTGTTGGATCAACGATGACAAGTGGTAAATGGGTGCACATTGCATTCACTTGGAGTTATGCAAATCAAGCACAGCTTTATAAGGAGACAGCATGGCAAGGTCGAAGTAGTAGTGCAACTAGATTAAACAATCGCTCGGGTGAACCGATGACAGTCACTCTTGGGATGTACCGTGGTACAGCTAATTGTTCAGGTGATGACGGATTAGATGTAACAGAGCAATTTGTTGGTTCATTAGACGAGTTTTATATATTTTCTCGCGAGTTGCAACAGAATGAGATTGAAAAATTGAACCTAACAACTAATTCGCAAGACGATCATCCATTATAAAGCTTCCTTTGATTTATGATTATGTAAAAGCGATGTTAAATATATGATTTATCAAAGTAAAATTGTAACAGAATCTTCAAGTGGATTATACTCTACATTGACATCATTGAATGTTTATTATGCAATTTTTCTTCTATAAAATTTGATAACAAAAGTCTATGTAGGTATAGCTAATCTTAATCATAGCTCGTGCTCAGTACGCTGGCTCAAATTCGAAACAGGAAATATTTTGTGCGGAGAGAACACGCAACTGCATTGTTGGAAAGTGATTCACGTCATCGAGAAAAAGTAATTGTCTGATGGATTATGATTCAAGGTGAGCAAAGGTTAGCGGTTCTTTGACAGGCAAGGTCGAAAGACTGTGAATATTTATTTTTCAAAAAAGTTTCTCTTTTTCTTTATTTTATATATACATATGTACGTGTCTATTTCATTGTGGGCAAACAATGAAAAAAGAGAAAGACATAGACCTTCGATTGATGCAATCTATAGTCTTATACATGCGATTATCGACTGACAACAGGTGGTCGTCATACCGAAGAACGAAAAGCACATGAGTGCCATTCAATGCCTTCTGTTCTCTTTCAATACGGTATATTTAGGAGTAGTTCTAACGTTTGCTTGCCTTTTCTTTTGAAAAAATAAATACTACTTCGTTTTCGTTCTTACTCCTAACATATATACTGAGGTACAACTCGAAAAGAATAGTAATACAGTAAGTGCCAATACATATACTCTCTATTTCTTCTTCTTCTTCTTCTTCTTCTTTGCCATCGTGTGTTCTTTCATGTTTAATTCAAAAGAAAAGGAGTACAAAAAGAAAAAAAGGCGAAAAATCAGAAGCGAAAGAATTTGGCACATAAAGCATTGACCTCTGCATCTTTCTTTCTGTGTTCATTCATATTACATGAAGATGATCATGGTGAGTATCGTAAAAAGAAAAGAATTCTCTCACTGATCGACATTTGATAGTAACACAACTCTATTGAAAATTCATCATGTGATTCGCATGAAAACGTTTTTTTAACTTCGAGTTGCGAAGAGAAAACGTAGGAGACAGAGGGTAAAAGTAAAATAATAATCAGGATTGATTGAGAAACAAAAACACTCAAGTGAGAGAGTAACATAAAATTCTTCTAAACGAAACCGAAGAACGAAAAATCACGATGGCATAAAAGTGAATAGTAGCCAACGAGCGAGTCAAATCATTTTCTATTCAGACTTTCGATTGGTGTATGAACACAACGAGCAATGTTTGCTTATTAAACGAAGTTAATCAGTTCTAAGACAATCAAATATCAACAAACGGTATGTGAGAGAAAAACGTTTATACGACTCTTCGACGGAGTTTTTTTTTTATCGATATTCAAGTGAAAAAGTCGTAAAATTCTGTCCTCTTTATTACAAATCAATGGAATGAGACGATAAGAAGAAGCGGGAATTGTAAGAAAAAAATACCGACAGAGAAAACTTCTTCTGCTCGCTTTTTTCTTTTGTTTCACGAAACGATGAGTTCGTCTTCGTTACCAGATTTGCCAAATTACGTTTTTCACATTCAATGTAAGTGTACACATCGATAGTGGTAGTCGAGAGAGTTTCCTGTAGGTCTTCCTAATATATGAGAACTTAAGAAAAAACATCCGAACAGGGAGAGGGAGAGTAAAACGAATCATTCGACAAGTTTCGTGATTGAAAAACAGATTCTTTTCATTCAGGTTTAATTCCACCGAGTTTATCTCGATCATCATCAGTGTTCATGAAATCTTCCAATAGCAATTCCGCAATGACAACATCGACTAAACCTCCGCTCGCGAACTCCTACGGAATATCTCCATTGAAATCGTCAACACCACAAACGACATGCAATATCTGCAAACGTCTTTTATATTCGTTTGAAGAAATTCTTATCTGTTCGTATATTGATTTGGATTTATTTGCATATTTACAGGTGTCGTTTGCTTTCAAGGTCGGGCATGCGATGGATCATATCACTGGCGATGTGTTAAACCCGAAATGACTACTCATTATGGTGAAAATGCTCCTTTTGTCTGCGACAAATGTGACGATAATCTGGTGGGAACATCAACAAATTCACTTTCTCGACAGGCCAACGGTGGAATCAAAATCAAATCGCTGAATTCCTCCGAAGCAGATTACCGTGAATTCGCTAACGTTCCGTCGAAATTAAACGCAACGCCAACACGAGATACAGCGGTCGTCAACGCTGTACGATATTTCGAAGAAAAACAGCAACAACAATCGCCACAAAAACTGCCCAGATCGAACGAAATCGATGGACAATATTCAACACAAGCAAATGGTAAGTTTTTCATTTAAATATTCACCTTCACTTGAAGAGAGTGTTAAAAAACAAAGAATCCTTATTGAGTAATGACAACGCAAGAACAAAACTGGTTTCACATTTCTAAGCATACGAAACCAGTCGAATCAGTAAACATTTCTTCTTCGGTTTAACAATCAATCGAAAATTCATCAATATCGATACGCTTATCATCACCCCATGAATAAATACAAATCCTTTCTAAATGTCCTCTTTCCTGTTCAATCTCACTCTATTTTTTCGTCTTCTTCTCCTCTCCTTATACACTTTATCATTACTTTACTTCTGTTATTTCGTTTTATACATCTCTTATCATTATACTATTTGTCTTTTTACATCTGCCTAGGCCATTTTACGGATGATAGTAAGTCAATTCAACGTATTCAACAACAAAGAAATCTACATCCGGACAACGAAAATACATCTTTAGGCATGTTTCAAGCTAATTATCAATACACTCCACTCAAAGAATATGCCGCGATGAAAAATGGACGTTCACCAAACGATGTCAACAACAACGGTTATCAAAGTAAATAAATTTCAAGATAAAAAAAAAGATATTGTTTAGACTCGAAAATAGACATTAGTTCATAGATAGTTTGTCATAGGAATTCGATTAATAACGCTTGAGAATCTGTAGGAAATCTTTCGGTTTTTTTAATCTAACCGCAATTTTACAACCGATATTAACTGAAGATTTACAAAGCTATTTAGTCATGAAATAAAGCACTTGAGGAGTATAAAAGATCGAATAATCGAACCGTTTTTCGAATAACAAGATAGATAAACTTGCATAAGCCTTACTATGAATTCCGACGACGAAAACTCTGCATCAACTTTCTTAAGATTTTCCTCGGATCGTTCAATCGATTATTTCCCTACTATCACATGTTCTTTTTATCATATAGCATCCTCACCAAGCAACGGTGACCGACAGTTTACCTCCCAATATAACAATGGCTTACGTTACACGAGTCATACTTATGACTCGAGCAAAACTCAACATGTTGAGTCGCCAATACATATGCCGCCACATTTTACAACAACGACGAATTTTAATGTCAATGAGAAATCGTCTCATGCTACAACGTATTTATCAGCGCATCGTGAAAATGAATCGTCGACGTACAGACCGATTTCATCCCAGTTGCATACAGATCATCATTCGACTGTTGAAAGTGACTCGGGCATTGTCATGACGAATTCGAATCATTTATCAACGGATGAAAATCAAATCATCGAAAAGAAATTAACAACACTTGTTCAACGAATTGGCCGACAATTAGAAACAGATGCTCAGAAATTAAGTGATAAATTAGAAACGAAACTGAAAAATCTGGAAAATATGATTCATCAGCAAACTTATGTTATTCGGCAACAAGATGAAGTCATCGAACGATTAAAGACTAAAATCTCGAAAATTGAAACCGAACGTGATCACTTTCGAGATCGATTGTCGTACCATGAACAAAGCAAACTCGATGAGAAGAAATATCTTACAACAGATACAGAAGAATCAATTGGTAAAGACAAAGAAAAACAAAAATATTCTATTCGATTTACTCTTCATTTTGCTAGATCGAAAAACGCTCGAACTCGATGACCAACAGCAAACGTTGAACGACATATCAGGAAACAGAAAATTTTCGACGACATCATCAGTTACTACTGATAATAGCAAACGATCAAGTAAAAAGGTTCGCTAGAAGATTAATAACAGTGTCATTATCAAAGTTGAAAAGCTTTCACAGTCCATTACATGAATGCGTGTTTTAATGTTTGAATAATCGATTTTCTTCTTTCTTCTTCTTCTAGACTCCCGCGCCACGAGTCGATCAATATACACCACCTGCTACCTACGAACACGATCCAACTGTATCAAAACTGATTAAAAGTATGCTCGTTAGTTGACATAAACATCTCATTTACTCTTGATTTCTCTGATTACGAATAGCGGTCCCCACAAATCAAGAACGTCCTGTATCAGATGTATCACCGCCAACAATAGCCACACAATTAGCCACATCCGTACCGTTAGTAGAACGACCGGCTGCATCAAGTCGTCTTGATAATATCATTCATCAATCAAATACTGTCAAGTCAACTGATCCATTATCCTATTATAACGTAGCTGAACTTCGTCACGCTGATCCGCGGGTAACTGGGAGAGAAATTTCCATCGATCAAGTTATGATGAGTGTACATGGTGAAAATGATGATGGTGATGCGGAAAGTAAACCAAAACAAGCCTCGACTGGTCAATTACGCCGGTCGTCTTCATCGTCATCATCATTCTCGTCTGAGCCATTACCGAAAGACACTGATGCGAAAAATGCAAAATCAACAAATGATATTGGTTTATCTGTGCGAAATACTGATTTACATCGTAGTTTGCAAGTCATTCCACGTAAAACCTCGCAAACCGAACAAGTACTTAATCCATCGAATAAAACAGCGTCATTAGAAATCGGCTCAAAATTAACACGATACGATGATGCACCGTCAATTTATATCACGCCACATGAAGCAGCGCATCCAGCTTCTCAATATCAAGACGCAACGAAAGGATGGCTTCGAAAGCAGAATCGCGGTAAAGTCGATTTTTCTAGAGACTTTTCTTCCTATTAATTATACATTATAGAATCATTTTTCAAACGAGTTGAACGTTACTATTGTGTTCTATCAAAGAATATACTTTTAATGCATAAGAACGAAAATGATAGAATACCGCATAAAGCAATTAATCTGAAAGGTAACAAACGACAAACTTGAATCGTGCTCATATGAATTCATCAAAAACCTTAGGAGCAAAAGTTCTTCAGTATGATGATACAAAACATGGACCATCATTGGAACTAACTTGGTCGACTCGTCGGAATAATGCCAAGCATTACAATGTAAGCGATCATCCATAGAAATGTCTATATGTGTGATTTATTTCAATCAAAAAGAAATCTTCATTGTCGTTCTTATTTAGCTGTATGCTCAGAATGCTCAAGAAACTGAACAATGGGCAGTGGCCATTCAAGGTGCTATCAACAATTTGAACGATCGTACGTGAATATTTTTCTTTCGTGCGAAATTCACACAACAGAGTATATGAAAAAATCTCTTATCTTTTTCCGACAGGTGATTCTCAGATAGAGAAAACGACATGGTAGGAAATAGGAAACGCTTCTGTGGATTCTTCTTTCCTTCTCTCATACTCGAGGCTAAAACATAAAAACTGTCCTGAGATACTCTTTTTTTTCTTTTAGAAAACAAATGGCAACGATACCATATCAATACATAAAGGAAAATATTATCAGGTTGTTCCCTTCCCGTCCATATCGTGACTATGTTTTTCCTCTCTCCTTCGTTTTCGTTTCTTTTTTTTTATTATTTCCAATATGCGCTAATTTTGTTTGTTTCTATTTGCTACACATATTTACCTATTTATACATTCTTGCTCATTATTTCAATAGAATATAATGTATTTTACAAGATATGATTCAATATTTAAGTAATATCATCTTTCGAAAAGAATCACTCATGCTGAATGAACTGAGCTTTGTACTATGATAAATCTAATCCAGTATAATAACTTAAACTAATAACAACGAGGTAACGCATTCTTCAACACTTATTTTCGTTCCGTTGTAAGTAAAACAACCTGGAGAAAACTGAAATTTGCGATTCATTGCGATGTGTATGTACATGTTCTCAATATGGCGTTATCTCTTATGCAAACTGCGGATAAGATCCTTCACTTATCTCTCACAATCTCATTAACTATCCTGGAATGAATGATGAAAGTCAGTATTAATCAATTTGACAGCGTTAATCGATGATGAAACCGATGTCACGCATACGAACTAAATACATATTCACTAATGAAACATTGACGAGACAACGTTTCACTAGAGACAGACATTCGCAGAGATATTTCTGTAGGGAACTGGTCGGTTCAGCTTCGTTTCAATATGATTGCAGAGCGATGGAAAGAAGAAAAAATAAATAAAACACACGGTTAAAGAGATTCTTTTCATAGGTTTCGATATGTTCGATTGTTTGTTTTATGAAGTGTGAGAAAAAAACGGAAGTAAAACGAAACAAACTGAGTGAGTATTCGTTGATGTTTTTCAATCAATATTGACTGATCTCGTTCGAATATGAATACATATGCAATTTCTTCGTACTTCATTGACACAAAACAACAATCGAGGGACTGATGATTCTTTCTGTTGCCGATTGGCCTCATCAGAGGTCAGTTATTACACACAGCAGTAACCCACAACAGCAGCTGCAAAATGTGTTAATAGTTTGTCGGTGGCTATTGCTCGCCATCAGCAACAAACGAGAGAAGCCATTCTCGTTTGAAGTAGATGAGTATGCTGCTATTGCTTTCTCGAGTTTCTATATATGTACATCTATTTATATATGTATACATGGACAGATGTCAAGATGAACACGAAGGTCAGCCTTTTGGTTCGTTATTTTCTTCTTTCTTGTTCTTTTCTTTCTTTTCTTCTCCGAACATCACGACTGCGTCATGGCACTGCCATTTTTCTTTGACGAGAAAGACGATGAGGACATTAGTTTCTATGCAGACGCAGCCGGTTGCACATATCATATTGAAAATGACGTAATCGCCTCGTTTTATGTACGAAAACATGCTTGCACTTTGCTTCTTTTCGTCTTTTACACTTTCGCTATATGTACATGTCATTCGAAAAGAAAACGAGTAAGCAAACGAAAGGAATTGCTATTTATATGTCAACGTCCAGACAGATCTATCATTCTTTTTTTGCACATGACAGTTGAAATTGATAGCAAGTCTATTATCTTTTTTTGTCAGTTACGCACAGTCTTAAGAATTGTAACCTTGGATGAGAAAATAATGAACGACACTGTACATCGATGTCAGACGAACGGATAAAGAGATAGAAGATCATTCTCGCTCTCGCTCTCTCATTTTCTTCTCTTTTCTTACAATGTGTTATACAATGTACCGCCGTCCCGCTCGACATTTTCTCTTCTTTCTGCAGTTTCTTTTCTTTTCCATTCAAACAAATAGATAATCCTCGATATTATATTGAGAGCTTATGTATGACACAACACGTTTCGAATTTGTTGTATACTTGTAAACTGGTTTGAAAATAACTTCTGATCTATACTTTAGAAAGAGAGAAACATTCTTGATCATGGATGCTGATTTAGCACAGAAACTCAGCCGACGAATACGTCGAATCGAATCGGCGGAATCGTCTTCGGAAACATCATCTATTACTGGTACAGGAACAACTGATGATCCCGATTCTCCGCTATCATCTTCATCCGCAAGTTATGAGTACCAACGATCAACGGTATTCAATCCTTACACAGAATATAGCGAATTCACCCGAAAACAAATACAAAGTTTGATGCAAACTTTCGAAAAGTAGGAATTTCGAGAAAAGCAAATGTCACTCTTCTTCTTTCTCTTTTAAGATACGATACAGACAAAGATAAATCACTTAATTTCAATGAATTGAAAGTCATGATGGAAAAACTCGGTATGCCACAAACACACTTAGGCCTAAAAGAAATGATCAAACAAGTTGATGAAGATCAAGATGGAAAAATTTCTTTTCGAGAGGTAAAACCCACATTCGTACTCACTGAACAATCGTTACACATCTGTTGTTCTAATTAGTTCTTATTAATCTTTCGAAAAGCAATGTCCGGCGATGGTGAAATCGAGAATGAAAAATCGACGATTGCATCCGTTTTACAAAAACTCTACTCAATGCTGGTAGAAATCGATGTTGCCAAAGAAGGCGTCGGCGGTGCGAAAAACTTTTTCGAAGCAAAAGTAAGTCGAGTTTTCCACATTGTTTAAATTCAATCTGTTTCTTTTACCTCTATTAAGGTTGCTGCGATTCGAGAAGGAGATAAATTTCAACGAGAGATTCGTGAAGAACAAGAACAACGACGTCGTATAGAAGAAGACAAAGCTCGTCGTAAAGTGGCGTTTCAAAATCGTCTTGCTCAATTTCAAACGACCTAACAACAGACATTCACCTCGCGAATGTACATCCTGTGATACATGTTATCTTTACTCTCGCTTTTCGTCTTGAATAATGTGTGCATTTTCTGTTATTCAATTAGAATGAAACAAGTGGTTTTCTTTTTGTTCTTGTTGTGTATTGTAATAATCAATTGAGTTTTCTTGAAAATAAAATAATACAGACTTGATCAGCACAAATAACATTCTTGATGAATAAATATTTTTCTAATCGTGTTCTTTCGCTCAAGAAAAACAATAGCACATTCGAAGGTCTACTTACAATGCACATCTGTTTAGCGAATGAACTCATATGAATACATTGCACATTGCAATGAATGTTCTGACGAACTTGTTACATAAAGCTGAACGCAAAGGAATAAATTCACGATACATCTTCTTAGTCATCATACAAATGGAGCGGGATATTCGACAGAGAGTAACTTTTCATGACATTGAACAGCGATGAGGCTTGATCATGAACGTAATACTTCTCTTCGGGGCTATGGAAATCGAACCAAATAAACAATCAACAGCGTCGTCAAAGAAAATAAATACATTCTTTATCTGATTACCGTCACATCGAATGTCTTTACTGACAATCGGTTCAAAGTATAGACGTCGCAGTGTTTCACTTTCTATTTTTGACTTTAAAGTTTCGGATATATCGAGTTACTTCGTAGAAAACCAAACCAAAACAATCACGTCTGTGTTGAAAATTGAGACGAATGTTTGACTCGTCGCCAGTTTCTCTCGTTCAGAAGCTCGTTTTCGGCAACTCCGAAGGCATTCTCATCGTAACGAGCGTAAATCATGTCAAGCAGATGTTTATTTCAAACAGATCAATATACAAGCAAGCATGCAATAACATTCAATTATAGCAGTATATCAAGCCAGAATTGAGTTTTGTTCTAGTAAAAAAAAACGATGTGAAGAAGAATAAAAACGCACGAAGAAAGCATTCAATAGATTTGGTAGAAAAAAGAGTAATTAATCCACACACATGAGCACACATATGGATCTGTCATGTAAATCGTCGATACAGCAAACAAAAGTGAATGTGTCACAAAGAAAACAAAAAGGAATGTTTGGTATTCCGTGTTCCTATCTCATAGGTCAGATAGCGTGCTTGAAAGAATTATCTAAATGCTTATCGAATTAGAAAACACGACGTTCTTGTTCATCTAAATCTTTCATATCTTCAATAAGACTAGCACTCAATTCAGTAAGTAATAAATCCATTGTCTAAAGAAAACAAAATCCGTACATGATTCTTGTAAGGAAGATTTAATGTGCTCTTACCATATTCATGAATGAATTCAAATGAAATTTTCTTAAAGCATAGTTATCTAACGTTCGTGATCGACTTTCTGTAATGTCCTGATATTGGTAGATTAGATTATCAAGTATTGTAGCTAAAATCACGTGGATAAAGAAGATATACAGATTCAAATAGGTATGTGTACCATCTAAGAAACGGGAGAGATCATCGACATCCACAACTGAACCACTTTGTCCAATATATTTGCGAATTAATTGATCGAGGACAATTGTATCCAATAGTTTGTTTTGCGCATGTTTCGAAATGGAATTTAGCTGAACTTGACTAACGAATTTCTTTTCTGTACTTGTCGTATCGTATGCAGTTTCACGTGATAATTCGCCAATAGTTTCAGATTCAATATCCTGATAAATATCACGCATGGACCGACCATACTGCAACTAAAGAACGAATGAAGGATATTTCGCAACCGAATGATTCAATTCAGATGATCTTACATTGTCAGCTACAGTTTCGCGTGTGATATCTGTGGTCATACTGTAAACTTCGGTATTCACAACGTCTTGAACAATACCTGTTAGCATAGGATCGTTATAGGTGCTGCGCGGCTTCTGTCTGTCTTCAGATATAAGATCACGGAAATCTAACCGGTTTTGCAATGGGCGATTTGAATCAATTTGAGTTAACGGCATTTCCGGGCGTTGATAATCAAGCTCACGCATCCACTCGTCCGAAAATAGACTAAATATAGACGATTTTGGTTGATCTGAAAAGCATTCCGATCAAACTTACTTTGCACTATCACCTTTAACTGCGACACGTTTGTTTAACTCAGTGATGTATTCGTCGGCTTCAAATTTAGGATTGTTAGCGTCTTGATCTTTCTTGTACTTGAAAGAAAAGAGCGTTTGTTTGCTTTTATAGAAATCAAAGAATAACATACTTCGCGATCAAGTTCGCCCAAGACTTCAAGTAAGATATCTGGTATGAATTGATCAGCAATGCATTTATCGATAAAGTCGTCGATGAAACGGTTTGCAAATGCTTCGTTTTTGCGCAGATATGTCGAATCCGGAGGCTCCTAGGTAAATATTGACTTATGTTCTTATTCTTATCTTTGACTAATATTCTAGTTTTATGACACGAGTTGCACCAGATAAAATTACTTACGCGCTGGTAGTTAGGTGAGTAGGATTGAATTCTTTCCAGATATCTATATTGAGAGTCTGTAACGTGACTAGCTACTGCACGATTTGTTGGTATAGAAAATCGACTATCGATTCTATCTCCATTAGCTGGTGGACTGGTTAGACTCGATAGGCGCGGCACCACGATATATGACTATAAGAACAGAGAATAGTTCCTTTGGATAATGGTAAACCATGTTACTTAGTTACTTTTTTCTGTCGCTGACTCGTATTTGCAAGACCATATTTTGTCAATGATGATGGTTGTCGGATGAATGAGCGAAGATCTTGATTCGCACGATAGTCAACTGGCTCGAGTCCCCATGTATCGAGACGAGCCGGAGGAGTGCTAAACAGTCCGAATACAATCCATTGAAATATTTTGTCATAGTACAAACTGTGAATCATGAAGATTAGGTAGTGGACTGTTGAATCTTCGTAAATTATAAGTATTTCGATAAGCTTCAGTACCCGGTGGAGTAACCAACCTAAATCAATTAATGACATGTTTATTTTTATTACAATACTCATAAATATATTCGCATGACATACGTTCGTAGTTTCGGAGGTGTACCAATTGACGGATACGTTGGTTTAGTTCGTACAGGATCTAGATCGTTTGGTTGATGCCAACCAGTCACGCTTTCATTAAATCGATCAACATAAGGCTTAGCTTGTCGTTGCTTGGACATTACTAGTTTGGCTTAAATGCTCGTGTCAAATAAATCTTATACAATCACTTGATAATCACTTATTTGTTTGTTGAGAGTGAAAAACAAAGGAATGTTTCATTTTATCTGAATTGACTTATGTTTGTACATTTATTTGTTTTTCAAACTCACTTACAATCGATTACATGCAACTGACAGCAAACTTGAAAACTACTTAAACGTCATGGTAACAAGTTGTAACAAGTGAATTGAAATATCCTTGGAAATCTCTCAAATGTCATCGTTTTCAAGTCTTATCGTGATTTATTTCGATTTTATTTATTTGCATGAACATTCTATGAATAGATGGCGCTCGCCGATGCCAAGAGATGATTGGCTTTATGGTCAAACAAACAGATACTCGATTATATCGAGCTAATGATTCATTAGAAGACGAAACAATGTTTTTTTTATAAAAAGTACTCGAAACAAAAGAACTATCGTATAATCATCATTCATATCTGTTACTAAATCAAGACAACGTGATAGTATTTTGGACAGACAAACATTTTCTTTCTCGCTTATTCGTCATCTAATAAAACATTCACTTTGATCACACGTTTCATTAAGAAAACAGAGGTAATAATATAGTGTATCATCACCCCTATTATCGAGATCTTTTTGTTCTTCCCTCTTTCATATTTCAATCATTGATAATTACTTGTTTGAGTTGAAACTATTCGAAATAACGTTCTTCTTTCGTGTTTCAGATGTTTATCGCACTTCCGAAAACTTCCAAATGTTCGCTACTGGTTTGAGCGATTGGTAAGTAAAGAAAATCTTTTTATTATTTGAAAAAATAGACGTCCGCACACTCATGTAAATGCCTTGACCTTTTTTGTTCTCTCGAGTGATTGTTTAGGCAACTAACCGTTCGAAATATATTTAATTTTTTCTTTCGTTGTACTCTCATCATCCAATTGATACGCCTTCATGTTGTATGATTTCAGTTTTAACCTTCATTTGCGTTTTCTTTTACTTCAACTGCATTTCTATAGTTGTAAATGAAAAAAGGGAGAGAGAGAGAGAGAGGGCACGAAAAGAAAATGAGACGATTGAAATTGAAGGAAAAATCTCATTTGTAATGTTGTCGCTTGTTCAATACTTGTCACTTGTTACTCTTTTTTACTTGATGGTTCATGAGTAATCATAAGTGTTTCATTATATTGATTTTACACACGACAGACAACTGAACAAGATAGACATAGGAGAGAAAAAAGACTCTAAACTAAACGATGAACGAAATTTATTGGCAACAGACACGTCCGATGACATCAACACATTCATCTTCATCAGCCACACCCCTCGTTATTCAATCGAAGCGTTTATATGAAAGTAAATATCGCGCAAAATACTTTCAACCAATTAAGAATCGTTTGAATACATATCTAACAACAGATCGAATCATACACTCGCCATATTTACCATACGCAAGTGCAATCAAACGGTCGTACAATAATATTCATTTACCGTATGCGATGAGTTCCTATGGAATATATCGTCAGTCACCAGTACATCAAAAACTGACACCCTTTCAATATACAAAATTAAATCGTTGTATTGAATTGAGAACGAGACCACGTCATGTTCAACGAGATTATCTTTCACGTAGCGTTGGCGACGATTACTACTATCCCACATATGACGAATACAATGGCTACGGGAAAACAATATATAATGACGAGAAAGAGAATGATAAAATCACTGATTACACTGATATTTTCAACTATGCTCTCGACAGTACCGGTGTAAGTCAAAAAGATATCTATATTGGATGAAGAGATATATCTTTATATGTTATACTAATATCATGCATCTTTTTATAGTATAATGATTTATATGTCAGTAGGAGTAGAGGAAGTCATATGGATTTCTTTCGTTTTCATCTGATGAATCCATGTAATTCGAGTGCTATATACATAACAAAACATTCTTTCCTTCGTTTTGTGCGCTTTCTTCCCTCTCTCTCTCTCTCTCTCACGCACGCGCCGTGCTCTTTTATCCCCCATGCCAATCCACATACACATATCGAGAAGTATTTATTACTTCTAAAGAATATTTTCGAGCAGATAAAAGCTATAGCGAATATGCGTTTCTTTCTTACATTCTATGCGTCAGCTGCATTTATGTAGAAAAAGAATGTTACTCATTTCTATAGATCTATATCTCTTCCTTATATATAAAAAAAAATAGTTTTTGCGTCGTTAATTCTCTTCCGAGACTTGACGTATTTTCTTTCTTCCCAACGACTGTCCTGACAATATTACTATTACAACTAATCGTAACTCATTCGTACATATCAGAGAGAAAGAAGTGTATACATATCTCTATATTGACATTGCGACATCGTTTCTCTTGTTTTCGTAGTCGTCTCAACACTGTATTCATTTCTACAACTGATTGTTTTGGGATTTATCAATAAAATTTCTCTACTGTCTCCCGCCTCATCCTAGATCGGTAAGCTCTTGTCTATACATGTCTCATTTAGTTTTTGTTGAATTATACTACATCAATTTTCATTTGGCATGTTTTCTTTTTCTTGTTGATTAATTTACCATTAGTCCTTTTTTGCTTTAGATAAGAGATGCCACATGTGGTGATGTATAAAAAGAAGTTTTTCTTTAGTAGAACGAGATGTGTAGAGACATGACAACTTCATCTCATCAATCGTTATAACAGAAAGACACATTCGATGAGTAAACAAAAGTGTAATCTGGTTTTAAAAAAAGGGCAAATTGTTATTTTGTTGTTGTATCGATGTAGATAGATATAACGGAAGAAAAAGAGAAAGAAGACAACTGTGATGTGCGTAGGCGGGATGACCTTCACTGATGATTAGGCCAATGTATATTTTCATTTACTTGGTCAGATCAACTAACGAAAAAGAAAGTTCTATATTATTCCGTAGATAAAAACGAAATTACTCTTTTTTTTTATCGAGACACACGAAGAATATAAGGTTTTTCTCTCTCACTGGAAATGGGTGTTATTCATACTCGACAAAAAATATTCATGTGAAAAAAAACTATTCTTCTTGTCACATGACTCTCGCTAATGATATTAATCAGAAAGAAAGACATGATAAGGTATGTTACTAATTGATTTCTTATTCTTATGATAAGTCGACAATAAAATATATTGACATAAGTTTTTTTTCTTCTTTACTTTGCTATTTGTATGTGCCACATGGCAAAGATCGAGAGTTGGTCCTATACTCTTTCAACCTTGACAGACATGCTTCACTTCAGCTATTCAAATAGTTCCCTTTCTCTTCGATTTCTTTCATCCTTTTCCTTTTTGTTGATAAGAACGATAAGAGAGAAGAAATGCAAAGATCAAATAATAAATAAATACTTGAATTCAAAATCTTTCTCTTTTCTTTTCTTTCGTTAACAGGATGTGGTTTCACCTATGGCAACATATCAAAATGTCGAAATTCTAAATTCACCGAACATTAATAATAACAACAATAACAATAATCATTTGACTCCAGTTTTACCAAACAGCTCATACGATTATTCAACAAGAAAATATCCCTCGCAATTCACTACCGACGCGTCGACAATGCCAAAAAATCATTATCAAAATACGTCGACTTCGAGTAAGCGAGATGTTGTGCCAGTAGAAAACGGTACTAACTACATGACTCCATCGGATACTGATACGATGACGAATTCCAACGAAGCAACTAAACGTATTAGTAGCAGTAATGGAAAGTTTTCCATACAAAAAATGATACGTCAAGGTTTTTCGTCATGGCGTACGAAAAGAAAGCTCTCGTCATCGGGCACACATCCATCAACAAATGTTTCAACAAATACTTCAACGCCACCTCCACCTCAATCGTCTACGGCTCGTTCGATGACACCTGATAATGATCAATCACAACTTCCTCCATCGACGACGACACGTTCATTATCAGTCGATTCAATTTCAAATCAAACATCACCGCAACGAATTATTGTTACTGAACAAATTTCCCCGTCCTCGCCGAGATTGAACCATACTGATAGCACAACAGTCGATTTTGATCGACCATCAACTAACATTCAAGGCTATGTTCAATCACCTTGGGTGAATTCTTCTTCTATACCAGCTACAACAACTGATTCTGTGGCTCGGTCAGTTGTACCTCTACCAATCAATCGAATGTTGCCAGTACATTTTTCGGAACATCCCAAAGGACCAGCACCCGGTGCTGCCCCGGCAGCAGCGGACGTAAATAATAGTAAAACGCCTTTTACAACAGCACATTCGTCTTCCTCCTCGTCCCCATCATCTTCATCTAATCTTTCTAAAGTTCCACCACCTGGTAAGTCCTTCCCATTCTCGAAAAACGTCTATTTGTTTCTGTGAAATTAATTTCGTTTTTAGTTGCACCCAAACCAGATATAAATCGTCTAACCCCGATTCGTTCCAATTACCTAAACAATAACAACAATAGCAATCCATCACCTCCTATTCATACAAATACATCCTCTCCAATGTTATCTACGAACACCACTGAAGAACGTCACATCACGTTCTCTGATCGATTAACGTCGAATCAATTCAAACCTATTAATGAAGCAACTAACGCAAACACTGCTATCTATGCTAACATTGCACCATCTACAGCATTATTGAAGGAAATGTTTCAATCACGCAATTCGCCTGTGAATAATACAACTAATTCATCTTCTCCTACATCTGTACCACGAACTTCTAATGAAAAATCCATTCCAAATGCCACATCTTCTTCTCCGTCAACCAATTCATCTTCAACATCAACTGTTCAAACAGCGAAACAAAGTATTATTCAAGATATCGATACAACTAGATACGAAGAAATTCTTGCTAAAGAACCTGATCTATCTCGGCAACCAGAGAAAAGTGCCTTGAAAAAGCCGAATGGCATCAAAAGACGTGTTATACCTGTCTTACGTGAGAATCAACGTCCATCTCCACGTCCTAGTCCAAAACTGAAGTCTGCTGTGCAGACTACTCCATCCACCACCCCAAACCCTACAATAGTAAATGACGATCCAAATGGCAACTCCGATGATGACTCAACATCGGATGACGACGAGGAAAACCGTGAACCAACGAAACGATTTGCAAATGTGCAACGTAATGATTCATTGGCACGCTTTCTCAAAGATCGTCCTTTACCAGGTGAACTCTATGATAAGCACATATTGGTGAAATCATTAGACGAACGTAAAAATGAACGTGAAACTATTGAAACAAAACTCGAACGGAAATTATCTTTACGGCCAAGACCAGAAGAATTAGAGGCACGAAATATCCTACGTGCTAAAACACAAGCGGAATTAATGGCTGAGAAAGAAGAGAAAAAGCGGTATTTAATACGTAAACTCAGTTTTCGGCCAAGTATTCAAGGTAGGGAAGAACCAAAGTCTGTTTTATGAACGATTTCAATTTTGCCTTTGCATAGAACTTCGTGATCGAAAAATTATACGTTTTTGTGATTATATTGAAGTATCTGAATGTGATGATGTTGACCGTCGTGCTGATAAACCATGGACGCGTTTGACCCCACGCGATAAACAATTGATTCGTAGAGAACTCAATGAATACAAAAGTTCTGAAATGGAAATCCATCCTGAGAGTACGAAATACACACGTTTTCATCCTCCTTAGTACACGTCGTTTCCCGATTCCTTCGACAAGCTAAGAAGGGGTTCGAAAAAGAATTTTCTTTCGTACTGTGATTCACATATACATACATGTGTGTTATCTTCGTGTTCTTCTTCTTTTTCTTTTCTCGACTTCCCATTCCTTCTACACATTTATTTTTGTTTGTCATCTTCATAACAAGTCGTGTGTGTTTTACTCTACTTTTGTTTCGAACAAACTTGATTATTCTGTACGCTCTTATGTACAAATTGACCGGTTTCTACTCTTTCTCTCTCTCTGTCTATTATCTTTATGTGCTTTGCTACGTGTCGCTGTTCTTAATGAGCAATAGATTTTCTCTTTCAAATAAAAACAAACAAAATACACCCTCAACATGTAATAATGCATGCTAATCGAAATCTTGTGTACTGTTCCTCTTCTCTCTCTCTCTCTCTCTCTCTTTTTTCTTGTATAATTCTTTTTTTGTTTGTGTACAGAAAGAAGATAAAGATGATTAAAAGAACAAATTGATTGAACTTGTTTCTTTCGATAGTAAACGTCTTGGCATGAAATGCGAGTGATTACGAATACGGTTGAAATCCAATAGTGTTCAATTGATTATTTTTTGCAAACTGCGGAGCGATGTGATTTGTTCTTCTTGGATGATTAATTTGGAATTTTTTTCGAAGTTCCGGCAAAGAAATTGTACAGAAGAGCGGAATGAATAGCGGAACGAAATAGGACAAGAACAAACTCGTCGAATAAAGATCCGATGCGCTACGCGTTAATGCACCTACGATGGAAAGTAGATTCAGAATCATTGAAGGAAAATAGAAAACGATATAGATGAACGATATTGACACCGATTGTATGGTAAGTTTTTGGTAATTTTTCCATCGAAATCTTTGATTAATTCGGTATTTTGAATAAAAAACGCGAAGAATCAAAGCAATGCTAAATATAACGATAAGAAACGTTGGAATAATATTATTGAAGAGATTATCCCAAATGGCAACTAATTGAAGACGTGATATACAATAAGCGAGTCCACATCGAGGTCTCGAATAAAGCCGATTTGTTCTACACGATGAACTTATATATACAATTAGATAATAAAGAAGTGAATAGATTAGAATTAGAATCATTGGTAGATAATGGAAAAGAAAACGTTTTCGTTTCGTTGATAAATAGTCTTGATGAAAGATGAGAATGTGCCGTTCAATTGCTGCCCATGTTCCAAGTAATATCAAGGACAGAAATCCAGTATAATCACTGTAGAACCATAGGAAACAAAATTCTTTTGTTAGAGCCAAAGCCGAGTAGTTTCGGTAGAAGTAAATAAACCAAATAATATCAGTTAAATTGTATAAAAGACCAATGAGATTAAGAAGGATTATAATATGGTTGTGAAGACCTTTGCGGAGAATTCGATCAAATAGAAATTGATAGAGATTAAATATTCCACAAAGAGTTGAGGGAATCAATAATACGAGAAAGAGCCAAAAACGGTGTTCAAATGCAATCCACATGTTTTACAAGTTAAGAAAAGAAACCGACGGATTAGGTTGCTCTTGTTATTTCCGAGAACGTTTGCATCGTCAGGTAATCCCTCAATTCAGATCAACGGTGGAAGAATGAAGAGCGAATGACTTAGGATCTTTTATTACTAATTGATTTTCTTCTCCTCTTATTTATGTGCGCGGTATTTTCTTTCGTCAGAAAAACACGAAGCTCCTAGATCATTTTCATCATCAAGCCAATTGGTTAAGCTAGGTTTCATACCATTCACTCGAGTCATGGTCAAAATTATGAAAAGATATTAAAATTAAAACAACGCTTTTCAAGTCGAAGAATAGCGAAGAACCAGGAAATGATATGAGATTTACAAAGTGGTGAAAAGCCAGTGAAACCGTTTTGTACCGTAAAATGCAAATCAAAGTCGTGGAATTGCAAATGTGTGGGTAATACTCAACGAGGTTCAGTCAACAAGAAATCTTATACGAAAAAATTTTTAATTAACATAGAATAAATCGCCTCATTAATGTTAATGATAAAATCATTCGATAGAAAGTACTAAATTTCACCTCATTACGTTCTGCGTCAATTGAATAAGAAGGAATTGAAAACGTGTCTACACAAGAAAATATTCTGCTTAATGTTATTCAGATTTGTTATGCCTAAAGTTCGAAGACGAACAATCAATTCATTAATAATGTTTAAACTGGCAATAAGAATTTCAGAAGTTAAAGTGAACTAAAAGGTCGACGAGATGTAATTGATGTCGGGAAGTAGAGTAAAAAAAGATTGATGATTAGTAAAAATGTTTTTCTTGAAATGAAACAAAATCTAAATCCTCATTATTTCTTCTTTAGACTAATTAGCGGTCATGCTGGTAAGTCATCAAGATATGCATTTTCCGGAAAAAATCTCCGTAATATTGTTGATATAAAAAAAGAAAAAAGCCGATTTTTTTCATTTATATTCAGTAAAAAAGAAGAAAAATCATGTTGATTGAAGTTCATTATGGGAATGGTTTGGTTTTGCTTGCAAATGGAAACTGTCGAGTAAATCGAAAGATTCTTTCATTTTTGTTCAGAGTTGCGTTCGATTCCATTTTCCGTTTAGTCAGCTGATTTTGTAAATTATATTCGAAAACAGTGCTGTTTATCATCAACGATGCCAATCGATCTCTGTTTATTGAACACCGGAGAACCATTTCATCTTCTATCATCGAAAACGAAGATTGTGTCAGCTGACAAACGTCGCTTTCCATTTCATTCTCATTGTGTTTTAACACGAATCGAAGGTTCATATCCTTTGTTTCGCCTCACTAAAGACTAATCGAGATTCCATGGTTTCTTTTTTCTAGAAGATGGAACATATACTCCCTTATTGAATGACCCAACATTGATCACAACTGAATTTTTAACAAAGTTAAAACGAGCAACATTCTCATCAACAACAATGACTGCAGGAACGATGACAACGACGAAGACAATACCAACTAAAACGAATACTAAATTAACAAAACCAAAGACGCAAAAGATTCAAGTAGAAAAGTCTGCGCGGCGACAAAGTCTTAAACCTGTTGTAGTTTTAACAACTGTTATTAATAATCTAAAAAACTAAGTCCTTTCTTCAATACAATCATCGAACTATCAGCAGACGATTCTACTCTTCGCCGTCACGATAAATCTGGTTATTATAGACAAAAGATTAGTATTTGCTCTGTGAAAGAAAACGAATGATTTACCTCTCTTGGAAGTCGTTTTAGTGGATCTATAAAAACTCTCAAGCAGACTATTGTATCACTGTAGTGGGCAATAAATATATTTGAATTTAGACTGCTCACATACATCAGAACGTGTCTTGGCGAAAACGAAAAGCAAGAAATCAAAAGACAAACTATTTTCTGATATCATTAAAATCTCTGATAACCGTACCGGAGTGCGACGTGTTTTCGATTCTTTTTTATCTTTTACTTCACTTGTTGATCGATTTATGAGCAAATAAATGTCGCCGGATTCATATGGATTTTCGGTATCGATTCCAAAGTACAGTGGGATTCCTTTTATCGGAACTTTGATAGATACTGGTTATCTGTAGAAAAAAAACAGCTCCTTAAATTATGAGTCGCATACTATTTCGCCTACTGATATAGCCAACTGGCCTATTGGAAAGTATTTTAGACGAAAATACATTCAGGGAAACATGTAGCTATGAATGGCGAGAATGAGTGATTATAATAGAAAAACTAAGCAAGTCAAACACTGGCCATTTGTTCGTTTTTCGGGGAGCCGAACATTAGTACAGTGAGAGAATAGAGTAGATGGCGCTCGAAACAAACGAACCATTGAAATATCTTTGATAAATAATGGACATAAATGGATGTTACAACGTCGACCTCCTTTTCTTTCAGTTTTAGTGTTTATTTATTTACTTGTTCTTTCATTTCAGGATTTCAAATTTTCCCATTGAAAGACCTGTCTAGTATCTATTTCACATTGAAACATTGTCAAAGATCAACAGGTAAATACAACAATTCGAACAAAAAACTATCGTGTACAGTGAAGATTGAAATCCTTCTCGTTTACCAGTTTAGGCAATCATGCCACCACCAACAACTCAAACTCAACCTTCCGTTCAACAATTAGCGTCACGGGAAAATTCTTTATTCAAAAAAGTTGTAGTATGTGTTTGAAATTAGTCGTAACTTCACAGATTTTCATCTGCAATACACTTCCGCTCTTTAGCGTTTCTATGAGCAGAAACAGTACCGAAAAGGTTTAGCAGCTGCTCGTGAAATATTGAAAAAGTCTCCGAATCATGGCGGTAAGTACAATCCATTTGAGCTAGCATTGAAATAAATGCGAATGTCTTTTATAGAAACATTGGCTATGAGAGGATTAATTCTTAATTCGATGGGTAAAAAGGAAGAAGCTCTAGAAAGTATTCGAAGTGGTATTAGAAATAACATGGTCAGTCATATCGTTTGGCATGTTTACGGTCTATATCAAAGATCCGAACGAAAATACGACGAAGCAATCAAAGCGTACAAAAAAGCATTACAGTGTGAAAAAGTAAATAATCTCAGTCATTGTTGAACCATTCGATTTCTTCGTTGATCTAAAGGATAGCTTAACTATTCTCCGTGATTTATCATTATTGCAAATTCAAATGCGAGACTTAGAAGGTTACAAAGTAAGATGCTAAGTTTCTGCAAGCCAGATAGGTTTTACAAAGTCCTCATCATAGGAAACTCGACATCAACTGTTCAATTTAAAGCCTGGTCAACGACAATCTTGGATTGGTTTTGCAATGTCTTACCATTTACTTAAGGATTACGATATGGCACAAAGTGTCTTGGAAGAATTTCGAAAAACCCAACTAGATCGTCCTGCACCGACACCTGATAAACTCTACGATAATGAACATTCGGAATTTTTGTTATATCAAAATCTTGTTCTTCGTGAAGCTGGTCAATACGATGAAGCGCTGCGTCATATACAAGTTCATGAAAAAGATATTTTCAATAAATTAGCAATAGCTGAAATCAAATCTGACTTATATGTACGCTTGAATTCCCATGATCGTGCTGAAATAACTCTAAGAGATTTAATTGAACGAAATCCTGAAAATAAGAAATATTATTACATGTTAGAAAAATGCTCAAATTTAACAAATACTGATGAAAAATCGAAATTATATGAGAATTTAATTGAAAAATATCCCAAAGCCGATGCACCAAAGCAAATATGTCTACAATTTCTCATCGGTAAATATCTTTAATGAAGCATATCGAGTTTAATTCAGTCGTTGTAGGTGAACCATTCACAAAATCAATGGGTTCATATTTACAGAAAGGATTCCAAAAAGGTGTGCCATCTTTGTTCCAATCTATGAAATATTTATATTCATCTACAGAAAAAGTTCGTCAAGGTTGATTGAGAAATGAAAATTGATCGTAGTTCTTTAGGTTCAAATAATTGATAAACTTTTAAACACTTATCTCTCCAATCTAACTAAATATGGAACATTTGACGTATCATCAGGTAGAATTGAATCTATTTGAAAGAACCTATGTTTATCCGTCTTTTTCTATTTGTAGATACTGACGAAGTTGAACCTGCATCAACGAATCTTTGGTTGCAGTACTATCTCGCTCAACATTATGACTATTTAAATCAACCAGATAAAGCTTTCGAATTTATTGATCAAGCAATTCGTGATACACCAACACTTGTAGAACTTTACATGTTTAAAGCCAAAATCTTCAAGGTTTGCTTCGATGAACTCATGAAATTCTTCGTCCTATTCGATATGTCGTCATTAGCATGTAGGTGCTGTTCAAATGGCTGCTTCATTGATGGATGAAGCTCAATCATTGGATACCGCTGATAGATTTGTGAATTGTAAATGTACGAAATACTTCCTACGTGCTAATCAGATCAGTACTGCCTTAGAAACAGCGGGCAAATTCACACGAGTAAGTCGGAAGAAGCTTCTATTTCCGACGATTTCGCTTTATGCACATAGGAAAATTCATCACCGGGCGATTACCTACGTGAGATGCAATGCATGTGGTTTGAGTTAGAAACAGCAAGAGCTTATCGTCGTTTGAAAAAATACGGTGAAGCATTGAAGAAATGTCATGAAATCGATCGAGTATGAATAATTATTCGTGGGAAATATTCGTTTAAAAAATTGTTTTCTGTTTTAAGCATTTTCAAGAGTTTGTTGAAGATCAATTCGATTTTCATTCATATTGTCTTCGTAAAATGGTATTATGCGCTTACGTTGATATGCTCAATCTTGAAGATCATATGAAAGGTCATCGATTCTTTCGACAAGCTGCGCAGATTGCCGTGGAGGTAATGGAATTTATCAAGAAAGTCTACGATCGCAGATAATTGTTTCCTTTAGATTTATATCCGTCTCTATGATCATCCACTTTCGGAGCATGATGATAACAAAGATGAAAACCTCGGTAAGGAAATTGGAAGGAATTAATGAACATGCGAGCAAGTCTATGTTTTTGTTTAGCAAATATGTCTGCTTCCGAAGTGAAAAAGTTGAAAAGTAAACAACGTAAACAGCAATTGCGTGAACAGCAAGAAAAACAAAAGCAGATTGATGCGGACCGTAAAAAGAAAGAATTTCAACGTAATCGGAATAAAGAGGATGCGGAAGAAGAGAAAGTCAAAGAGGACGAATTCGTTTCTGAAAAACTCGAGCGCGTACGTACAGTAAACGTTTCCACCGATCATCTTAATTCTTTTTTTTCTATTCAGAGTGAAAAGCCATTAGAAGAAGCAATGCGTTTCTTACAACCACTCGAAGACTTCTCATCCAACTTTCTCGAGACACACTACCTTGGCTTCGAAGTTTATTACCGACGAAGTATATCGAACATAACTCACACCTAATGTATTCTCGAATGTTTTTTTTAGAGAAATATTTATTAATGTTGCGATGTTTGAAACGAATGAAAAAACTAGATTCGAACAATGCCAAATTCCATTCGTGTCTAATGAAATTTCTGAAATCAAGTAGAATTCATCGTTGTCTTTCTATAGAAACTTACTGATCCATTCTAGTGGAAAATGAACCAATTACCGACGACCGTCTTCGAACAATCATCGATGACGAATTGAAATCATTTGATATTAAACAAGGTGATTCCGTGAAGAAAATTGAAGACCTCAATGCTGAATTTCTTAAGAAAAATATCAATTCATTAACACATCGTGCTGAAGGTAAATTTCATTGGTTGTAAACTTCGAAAACAAAGTCATCTTTTTTTTTCTCTTCAGCTGCGAAAGTCATGCTTCTAAGTAATCCAACAAACAATTGCAAAGCTATCGAATTTCTAACAACATTGGATCCAAACTTTACTGATCAAAATTTAAAAGTTAGTTTTCAGAGAAAGTTCATCTTCTCTTTTCATTTCTTTCTTTCATTGCAGACATGTTCGAGTATATACGAAAGTCTGCAATCAGGTGATTATGGAACAATTGAAAACTCCGTTATCGAAAAATATCGTAATGAATGTCATAAACTTTGGCCTCAAGCAGATCTGTTTCAAACGAATCCAACACCGCCATCATATACTTCATGTGATAGTCATACAAATGGTAGTGGAAACAGTGGCGCCCCTTCACCAAATCAGAATTAATCTTATGCCTTGTTTACAATCGTGCTTTCTTTCTAGGTTACTTTTGTTTTCTTCTCTTTTTTTTCGTCAATTTTAAACTCGAAGAAAAAAAACAACTCGACCAAAACTTTCGTTAAAATTCCCCTCGTTTTCATGTGATTATTAGACAAGAGCTGAACAAGTTGGTTTTTAGGCCATTTTTGAGTGTTGCATGTGAGAAAGGTTTTACATTGTTTTTTTTTGCATAATAAAAAAGAAGAATCAAAAACATTGAAAACTCGCAATAATATTTCATGGTTAATTATTGATCATGAGAGATTCAAATATTTGCTCAATCGGCACTATCAATTTAATATTATTGACATTGTCAGTTCCTCATAGCTTGATTGGCTCAATGAAAAAGGTTTACGAGATTCTGATAGAAACGCCTGGCGTGTTCGATTGCACGTTGTACCCAATGATAAATTGTTTGGGGCAATTTCTCTTTTCTAATATTCTAATGCCTCAGACATGTATCGTTTCCCGTCTTGTCTTCGACTTTTTTTCTTAGCTTTTTTTTCTGTTCTGGCCACAACGAAGATATTTATTTCTCGTTTTTTTCTTCTTTGCTTGTTCTCTGCATTCATTATACAATCATACTCGCATCAACCTCTTTCCATCACCTGATATAGAAAAGCATAAAAATAGTATATATATATGCACTGATTCAAGTCTTTCTTTACATAAGAGCTGAAATATTTATTCTATTCAGAAAATAGTTGCTTGATACTATCAAAAAAGTAAGTAGGATTAGAAAAAATAATTAATGTCACTTAAATATGATAGAATGAGCACTGTTAACATTTTGAAATATGCTTGTCAAGGGAAGTAGTTGTATAAGAATAGACTGATGGGTTCTTTTGTGCCTTCTCAATAGTCATTTATTCGAAACGAAGGAATAGCTCGAGCTGATGGGAAAAACTTCGTAGGTCATGTTGATCTTAAGTACATAAGAATTGCAGTATGAGGAGATTACATCTATAATACTTCGGCACTCAAATTATAGAACATCTAATGGTAGTTTCAAAGAAGAGAGTTATCATTTATATTTCTCGAAGATGTGTACTTCTGCTTGTTCTGACCTAGAGTATGACGAGATCCTACATCAGGACGGAAAAATAAGTCGATTCTTCAGTATATGTTTGAGTCCCCGACATGTAAGGAAAGGCCGATGTACTCGTAACAAACAGAAGAGAAAAATACATCCTGCTGTTTGTGTTTAAAGTACAGTTGTATGTGCACAGGAAAGGTAAAAATAGTAACTTATTTAAACAGCGTGTGAATTCAGAGCGGCATATATTTTGTCTGGAAAAAAAAGTTTCGAATCAGTGAAGAAGAACAATGTACACAGGAAGTTCGTATTTAGACAAGCAAAACTAGTCTTTTTTTTTCTTATTACAGATCTAAATGTATCGGGTTAACAATTTACTCCAAACGTCCTTTTGCGTTCGTTCGTCATTTGCATCATGTAAACGATTATTGTCCACTAAGAATCCTAAACACCATTCAAATAAGTACGAGTTTCGGAAAATCAACAAGCTTTTGGTTGCCAATCGTGGTGAAATAGCAATTCGAGTATTTCGTGCATGCACAGAAAACAATATTCGTACAGTAGCTATTTATTCAGCGGAAGATGAAGGCCAATTACATCGCATCAAAGCAGACGAATCTTTTAAAATTGGCAAAGGTTTAGCACCCATTGCTGCTTATTTAAATATTCCAGAAATCATCAAAGTTGCCTTGAAGAATGATGTCGATGCTATTCATCCAGGTTATGGCTTTCTTTCCGAGAATGGCGATTTCGCGAAAGCATGTGAAGAAGCTGGTATAATCTTTGTCGGACCATCACCAGATGTTATTTATCGAATGGGAAACAAACTAAATGCACGACAATCGGGTAAATCAAAATTTGAGAATGAAAGAAGGCACTAATTTTATGTTATTCCTTGTGTAGCTCTGGATGCTAATGTACCAATCATCCCTGGCACAACCGAAGCTGTTGAAGATTTAAATGCCGTTCGAGAATTTGTTAAAGAACATGGTTATCCTGTGATGTTGAAGGCAGCGCGAGGTGGTGGTGGTCGTGGAATGCGTGTCGCAACGAAAGAAAGCGAATTGGAAGAAGCGTTTCAACGAGCTTCATCAGAAGCTAAAGCCGCCGTTGGTGACGGTCGATTATTTGTTGAGCGCCTTGTTTCTCAAGCACGACATATTGAAGTTCAAGTCATTGGTGATCATTATGGTAATGTGGCACATTTGTATGAACGAGATTGCTCTGTACAACGGCGTCATCAGAAGGTCATCGAAGTTGCGCCAGCAACAAATCTAGATCCGAAAATTCGCGAACGTATGACAGCAGATGCTGTTCGTTTAGCTAAACTTGTTGGATATCAAAATGCGGGCACCGTCGAATTTCTTCTGGATGATCAAGGAAGACACTACTTCATCGAAGTTAATTGCCGTTTACAAGTTGAACACACATGTTCAGAAGAAATAACTGGAATTGATATTGTTCAGTCGCAAATCAAAATAGCTGAAGGTGCACGATTGGCAGATCTAGGTCTGGAACAAGATCAGATTAAAATCATGGGTGCTGCTGTACAATGTCGAATGACAACAGAAGATCCGGGGAATAATTTCACTCCCGATGTCGGACGAATCGATGTCTTTCGATCAGCAGAAGGATTCGGTATGTTGAAAGGAAGTTGAAGTGTTCAAGAGTCGACAATTTGCATTCTAGGTATTCGTATTGATAGTGCTTCTGCGTATACGGATGCGGTTATTAGTCCATTTTACGATTCATTATTAGTTAAAGTCATCGCCCATGCGCGCAATCATCAAGAAGCATGTGCAAAAATGGTTCGTGCACTTCAAGAGTTTCGTATTCGAGGTAATCATCTGAAATGTTGACCATTCTTTCATGCTAGTTTTTGTTATTAGGTGTCAAAACGAACATTCCCTTCTTACTGAATGTTCTTCAACACAAACAATTTCTCGAAGGTTCAATAACGACAAGTTTTCTTGATGAAAATCCAGTTCTATTTAAATTTATACCTGCACAAAATCGTGCACAAAAATTACTCTCCTATCTATCGGAAATTATGGTCAACGGTCCATTAACACCGTTGGGCACTGATATCAAACCAATGGACATCAAACCTGAACTTCCGCATGTGAAGAAGAGAGAAATTCCGAATGGTTGGCGACAAGTCTTACTAAAAGAAGGACCACACGGCTTTGCTAAAGCTGTCCGCAGACATCCACAGTAAGACAATACAAAGTAAATCACTTTTGAACAACGTTTGTTTACCTTAGAGCGTTGCTCATGGATACGACAATGCGTGATGCACATCAGAGTTTGTTAGCCACACGTGTACGAACGCGTGATTTGAAAAAATCTGCTCCATTTGTCGCCAAAAATTTTTCTCAATTTTTCAGTTTAGAAAACTGGGGAGGTAACATTTTCTTCTTGTATCGACTAATATTCCATATGAAAGTTTAGGTGCCACATTTGATGTTGCTCTTCGTTTTCTTCATGAATGTCCATGGGAACGTTTGAGTGAATTACGTGAACTGATTCCAAATATTCCGTTTCAAATGTTGCTACGCGGCGCCAATGCCGTGGGATATTCAAACTATCCCGATAATGTCATTGATGCTTTCTGTCAAATGGCTGTCGATCATGGCATGGATATATTTCGTGTATTTGATTCATTAAATTATCTACCAAACATGAAAGTCGGCATTGATGCTGTCGGAAAAGCCAATGGTGTCATTTCAGCCGCTGTTTGTTACACAGGTGATGTGGCGGATGGAACACGAACAAAATACAACTTGGATTATTACATTAATTTCGTTGATGAGCTGGTGAAAATGGGCATACACATCTTATCTATCAAAGGTTAGTGCCTATTCCACTGTTAAGTAAATGAACATGCGTAGGATGTACGTTTAGATATGGCGGGCTTATTAAAACCTCGAGCGACGAAAATGTTAATCGATGCTATTCGACAGAAACATCCTGACTTACCAATTCATTTACATACACAGTAGGAGAACGCGTGATCTTCGGCAATTTCCTTCTTTTATATTCCTAGTGACACGGCTGGTACCGGTGTGGCGAACTATCTTGCAGCATTCGAAGCCGGTGCTGATATCGTCGATGTTGCCGTTGATTCAATGAGTGGCATGACATCTCAACCAACAATGGGCGGTGTCGTTGCCGCCTTACAAAATACCAAACATGACACCGGACTTAACATGGATAAAGTTAATGAATACTCGGCATTTTGGGAGCAAACACGTTTACTGTACGCACCATTTGAATGTACAACTACGATGAAAAGTGGTAATGCTGATGTTTATAAGAATGAAATTCCTGGTGGTCAATACACCAACCTTCAAGTAAACGAAATAAATCAACGTTTTCTCTCGATAAAAATATTCGATGTTTAGTTTCAAGCATTTAGTCTTGGCCTTGGTTCACAATTCGAAAATGTGAAGAAATCCTATATTGAAGCGAATCAACTTTTAGGCGATATTATTAAAGTAACACCGTCGTCGAAAGTCGTTGGTGATCTTGCACAATTTATGGTTCAAAATAATTTAACAGCGAAAGATGTTCGTGAACGCGCTGAAGAACTTTCGTTTCCATCAAGTGTGGTGGAATTTATGCAAGGTCAACTTGGTCAAGTAAGAGTCATTGGTTTTGTTTCATTTAAATATGGGGATGTGAATTCTATTTAGCCGCATGGTGGATTTCCTGAACCACTTCGCACTCAAATGTTAAAGGGAAAGAAAAAAATCGAAGGACGTCCAGGTGCTGACGCCATACCACTCGATTTCGATAAAATTGAGAAAAAATTGCAAGAGAAATTCGGAGAAGACATCATTCGTAAATGTGATGTCATGTCTTACGTGATGTTTCCTAAAGTCTTGGAAGAATATATCGATTTCAAGAAACAATATGGTCCTGTTGACCTTTATCCAACACGAGTCTTCTTTGTTGGACCCCGAATGAATGAAATGATGGAGTAAGTGAGATAATAATTCTAAATATTGCTGTAATTTTGTTTGCAGCATTGAAATTGAGCATGGCAAAGTTCTTCATATTGTCGTCATGGCCATCGGCGAACTAATGCCAGCAACTGGTGAACGTGAAGTCTTCTTTCAAGTCAACGGTCAGTTACGATCGATGAAAGTGAAAGATAAGGCTGCGCTCAAAGACCATAAAGTTCACCCAAAAGTTGATAAAAATAAAAAGAATCAAATCGGTAAGTCGACTCATCGTTTCAAGCAGAGTCATCCGACGTGTTTCCGCATCTCTAGGTGCACCTATGCCCGGTCAAGTACTCGATATCAAAACTAAAGTAGGTGACACGATCAAAAAAGGTGATACAATTATCGTATTGAGCGCTATGAAGGTATGTACAATTTTCATTCGATTGACTTGTATCTATCTCAATATTTAGATGGAGACGGTCGTTAAAAGTGCTGTAGATGGCAAAGTCAAAGAAATTCATGTACAAATTGGCCAACAAGTTCAAGGTGATGACTTAGTGGTGGAATTGGAGTAGTTCTTCCGGATATAACAGCAAACGTTCGTCATGTGCTTTTACGAGTGTTTTCTGCTCAATAGTCCTCTGTTATAGTCTTTTCTTGAATTTAATGGTTGCATTTCGCGAATGTTATTCATGTAGTTGTTAGTATAGATCGTTTTGTGTTTTTTTCTTCTAGTTATTCAAATAAAAGAAAAAGCATCGATCGTTTTTTTTTCGTTGTTTATTTCAATTACTGATCAAATGCCTGAGAATACAGAAGACTTTAACAGGGGTCGAATATTTTAATAATCATGTCGCCGTATATCAATATGCGATACAGTTCTCACGGAATTGAATTTCATTCTACCGAGCAATACATGATGTATCACAAAGCAAGTAAATAGATTCCTCTTAAGTATTGTATTTCTCACTGATGCTCCATTTAAGAACTGTTCAAAGATGAAGAGATAGCAGATGCAATCCTACACGCAGCAACTCCCGGCAAGTGTCGAGGATTAGGAAGAAGGGTAAAGAACTTTGAAGCAGACGTATGGTGGAATAACCGAACACGAATAGTTTCCGAAGGCAACTATCTGAAAGTAATATGAAAATATCCATTCTTTCTTGTACAAGATTTTGTTTGACTTCTTCAGTTCACACAAAATGCAACTTTGAAAGATCTTCTGCTGAATGAGCAAGACACACTATTTGTAGAAGCATCACCTTCAGATGCTATTTGGGGTGTCGGCTTAGCCGAAAACGATCCGTTAACTATTGAATGTACCCCATCAGCTATGTTATCAGTGCTCATTCTCTCATACTTATACGACACTAATCATCTTTTCTAACCATGCTTCAGTATGTGTTCTACTGCCTTCAAATTGTGACGAAGCTTCGGCGTAACTGCGATCGCACTGTGATCCGTAATTGTGGTGTGATTGCGTCGCAATCGTTAAAAAACAGACAAAATGGGCAGATACATCGACACTCTGCCTTCCAAAATGCATAAACTATTTCAGATTAGGAATTGCTTACGATATTTATGCATGATTCGAACCATCATTCGATGGGTAAAAAACTTATGTATCGTTTTTGAAAAAAATTATTGAGACGCTGAGAAAAGTGACTTGTATTGGATCAGATGTCGTAGCAAAATATCAAGATTTTTTCTTATTTGTAAATTTGCTCTGAAGTTCGATTTTTATCGTCACATATAGATAAAGAGAGAACGTAGGTTTCAATGAATATACTAACAAAGTCTTATAATAATGAGCACACGACGTTTAGTACTGAGCTCCTTTTCCCAACGGTGCACCTCATATACATATTCAAGAATAAATGGAGCATGTGTTTGCGAAAGGACTCATATTTCATCCATCTCTCTCTACCTGCGTGTTGAGTTAATATTGGAGCTTATTCTTATTTTATAGAGAAAGGAAAGAAAAAGATAAGTATAACTAAGACAGAGGGCCAATAAAAAGTGCGGTGTTTCTGTGCGACAAAGCGTGTGCTGTTGACATTTGAAGGAAAAATTGTTTTTTTTCTAAAAGAAAAATGACGAAGACATGCTTTATTCCTGTTAGAGTGTAAAAAGCGTACCTTTTTACGCATAGAAAAGTCATATTTTGTATAAGGAGATCAGCCAAAATAAAACATTCTATGCCTCTTAATGAATTACCTATCGAACTTGTTCAACGTATCATGGATCATATGAGCGGTGAAGATCTAATACTGTCCTTGTACAACGTTTGTAAACGATTAAATGATATTATTAATGTCTATCCTCGATATCAGGTAATGTTAAACCTGATTATTAATTTCTTTATTTGAAAATTTATCTAGACATTGACTTCACTCAACTTTTCAAGGAAGAATCTAGACGCACAAAAATTTCAACAATTGGCTAAGTTTCTAGAAACAAATTCAGTAAGAGTAGAGACTATATTTCGTACTACAACGCGTTTAACATGTATATATAGACAATCACTTCGATGAGTTTTATGCATAATCGAATTGGTTCAGAAGGAGCAAAGTATTTGGCTACAATCTTAGAAAAAAATACAGTAGGAAAAAGTTACTTTCATCTTTTGGAACTGTAAAATCTATTTACAGGCAATAACCGAACTATACTTTTCACATGAAAATATTGGTGAAGACGGCGCGAAACATCTTGCTAATGTATTAAAAACGAATACGGTATGAGAAATTTACCTTTTCTGGTACACTGTACAGTTCTTCATGTGTTCGATTACATACAGACATTAACCAATCTAACTCTTGAAAGTGATAATATTGGATCAAAAGGAGCATATAGTTTAGCACAAGCATTACGAATAAACAGAGTAAAGTCAAACTGAATTTCATTTTGCGTTCGACTGTCTAGTATTATTACATATAGACACTGACTGATCTTAATCTCGAACGCAATAGAATTGGTAATACAGGCGCACGACATTTTGCTCGTGCGTTGAATCAAAATACGGT